TCCTGTTGCCCGTGTGTCTGCAGCTTCAGCCGTCGCCTCCTGTCTCCTCTCCCCTCACTCTCCCTCCTCCTCCTCACTTGCCCGTTGTGACTACCACTAGCTTTGCTTATAATTGTGAACTCTAAACTATTTCTTCTTGAACTTGTGCTCAGAATGTGTGGTGACATTGTGATCCACCCTGAGCTTGTTTTGCTTTGCCTGCTCTGCTGATTACACCCCACTTTGGCTATGGGGGTGTGTCAGAATATTATTCTTATGTTCTAGCCTGTAGTGGGGTGCTCTATAGCGAGTACAACCCTTCTAGGGTTTGCTATTTGTATCCCCATTTCTGCTAGTTCATTCCTCTTTCTTCTTCTAATTTTGACATTTACCTCATCTCGTGTCCATGCTGCTTACCCCTGAGGGAGACCCGGATGCACCAGACATCCCGACCCCGCGCTTTTAAGCAGAGGCGGTTGAGGGTCCCTACTCCTCTCAGTGGCAGACAGCCATGGACGCAGAGATGGCTTCCTGGAAGTCCACAGGCTCTTACGTTGACGAGGTTCTCCTGCCTGGGGCGAACAATGTCGATGGCATGTGGATTTTCAAGGTGAAGCAGCCGCCGGGTTCTCCTCCTGTCTTCAAGGCGCGTTACGTTGCTCGAGGCTTCAGTCAGTGACAGAGAGTCGACTACTTTCAGACCTTCTCACCTACCCCGAAGATGACCACTCTTCAGGTACTGTTGCACGTCGCTGCTCAGCGTGACTACGAGCTTCACTCTCTTGACTTCAGCACAGCCTTCCTACAGGGCAGCCTTCACGAGGAGATCTGGTTGCGCCGCCCACCTGGCTTCACTGGGTCGTTCCCTCCTGGTATCCAGTGGAGCCTCCGGCGGCTAGTCTACGGTCTCCGCCAGGAGCCTCAGGAGTGGCACGAGACACTGAGGACGACTCTTGCGGCTCTTAGGTTTGCTCCTTCTACTGCTAACCCGTCGCTGTTTCTGCGCACTGACACTTCGCTGCCGCCGTTCTACACCCTCGTGTACGTCGACGAGTTGGTTTTTTCCACTGCTGATACTGAGGCACTGACTCTAGTGAAGTCGGAATTGCAGAAGAGACACACGTGCATAGACCTCGATGAGCTGCGCAGCTATCTTGGCTTGCAGATCACTTGGGACAGAGCACGCCGCACCATCTTCTGACTCAGTCACACATGGTGCAGCAGGTCCTTCAGCACTTCGACTTCTAGTACTCCTCGCCACAGTCCACTCCTCCGCCTACCGGTCACTCGCTCACTCTGCCTTCGGATGAGTCCGTAGAGCCAAGTGGCCCGTATCCAGAGCTTGTCGGCTACCTCATGTACCTGATGACCTGCACTCGTCCTGACCTTGGTTACCCTCTTAGCATCCTGGCACGCTACGTTGCGCCCAGGAGACACCGAGCAAAGCACTGGAAGGAAGCTAAGAGGGTGATGCGCTACTTGTGCAGTACGTCGGGCATGGGGCTCGTGCTTGGGGGACGGGGTCCAGTTGTTGTCACCGGTCACGCAGACGCTTCTTGGGTTGACGACTTGGCTACGCAGCGGTCGTCACAGGGTTACACCTTCAGCCTTGGTTCCGGTTCTGTCTCATGGCGGTCTACCCGCTCGAGAGTTGCAGCAGCGTGGTCAGCTTCGTCTTGTTTACGTAGCCTCTTAGGCCAACACGGCTGATATCTTCATAAAGGCACTTCAGCCTTGTGATCATCAACGGTTCTGTACTGTTCTAGGCCTTGTCCCCACTTGGCCTCACTTGCTCACTTCTTGACTTTGCTTGTACTGTGATCTCTATATATATACCTGCATCCTTACACTTGCTAGGTTGTGATCACATTCTTGCTTGTTCTACTTTATATATAACTCTGCGTGTGAACTGGCCTTGTGGCCGCTTGCTTGTGCTTGGAATGTGTGGTGACGTCGTGATCCACCCTGAGCTTGCTTTGCTCTTCTTGACTGGTCTTGTGACCTCTTGTCCTCCCCCACTTTGCCCATGGGGTGTGTCAAACTGTCAGAATGTTGCATTTGTCTAGCCTGCAGTGGGGTACTCTATAGCAAGTATAGCCCGAATTAGGGTTTCCTATATGTGCTCACCTGCTTGCTAGTGCAAATCTCTTTTTCCTGTTCTATCTTTCTGCCTACTATTTCTGACATGCTATCAGAGCGGTTACGCTCCTGGCATGTGCGCCCACCGTTAGCTTCCGCTGCTGTCCTGTGGGCGCGCGACGTTTTTTCTTCCCGCTACGCGCTCGGGGCGCGTGACGGTTTCTTGCCCGCCGAGCGCTCGGGGCGCGCGGCGGTTTTTCTGCCCTGTCGATCCGCGCGTCGCCCCCCGTCGCCCGTCGTAGCGCCCCCGGGGACCCGCGCGTCGCCCCCCGTCGCCCGAAGCGGCCCGCGCGACCTGCGCCTGGCCCGCGCGCGGCCCGTACAGCCCGCGCGCGGCCCGTATGGCCTGCGCCAGGCCCGCGCGCGGCCCGTACGGCCTGCGCCAGGCCCGCGCGCGGCTCGTACTGGCTGCGCTAGGCCCGCGCGCGGCCCGTACGGCCTGCGCGAGGCCTGCGCGCGGCTTGTACGGGCTGCGCCAGGCCCGCGCGCGGCCCGTACAGCCCAAGCGCGGTTCGTACGGCCCGCGCCAGGCCCGTGCGCGGCCCGTACAGCCTGCCCCAGCCGTCCCCCTTCACCAGGAGCACCGCTCCCACTGTTGCACGCTCTCCTGCCCCGTGCTGCCTGTGTTAGGGTTTGGGGGTGGCGAGTATGGGGGTGACGGATGTGTGAGCCGTCCCCTGCTCCTCCTCCTACTCCGTCTCCCACTGCTGCAGCTGCCGCTGAGGGGGGTGGATGTGTGGGAGACGCGGGTGTGGCGCTAGGGGGGTGTCGTGGGTGTAGTGCTGGAGGAACAGCAGGGGGTGTGTGAATGGGAGTTTTGGGACATTGGGGGAGGTTGAAGGGGGGTGGTCACCGTGAAGCGAGCAGCTCCAGTCGCCCGTGAGACCGTTGCGCCAGTTGCCCGTGAGCCCGTCGCTCCAGTCGCCTGTGAGCCCGTCGCTCCAGTCGCCCGTGAGCCCGTTGCTCTAGTCGCCCGTGAGCCTGTTGCTCCTGCCGCTCGTCTAGTCGCGGAGCCAGTTTCTCCAGTTGCCCGTGTGCCAGTTGCTTCAGTTGCCAGTGTGCCAGTTGCTCCAGTTGCTCGTGTGCCAGTTGCTCCAGTTGCTCCAGTTGCGCCGTGTGCCAGCAATTTCAGCTGCCGCCCACCACGTCCTCTCCTCTCATAGTCCCTCCTCATCACTTGCCCTCTGTGATAGCTTCTAGCTTTGCTTATCATTGTGAACTATTGCTCTGCCTGCTTGTTGTGCTGATTACACCCCACTTTGGCTATGGGGGTATGTCAGAATGTTGCATTTGTCTAGCCTGCAGTGGGGTACTTTATAGCGAGTACAACCCAAATTAGGGTTTCCTATATGTGCTCACCTGCCTCCTAGTGCAAATCTCTCTTTCCTGTTCTATCTTTCTGCCTACTATTTATGACACAAACTTATATGCTATGGTCTGTGTAGGCTGCAGCAGGGTAGACAATATGGGGTACAACACTTTTAGGTTTTCCCACTTGTACCCCACCTGTTTGCTAGGTGATCCATTCCTCGTTCTAACTTTCAACATATTTAGCTTTACGTTTGCTCAAAAAGCACCACTTTATATAATTTCTCTCACGCGAGGCCCAAAGTATGTTCAAAACTGGTTCTGCGGGGCGAAGTTTTTGACACGTGTCCTCTTGTTACCATTTGATGCACTTCCACTCTGAACTAACCGTTTGTCGGGGCAATTTTCGCGCTGGAAAAAAATTTGACGGGGCGAAAAACATTAAACCCCTAGGGGACCAATATACATTTTTGGGAGGGATCAACCCTTAACACGAGACCTGCTAGGTGTTTAGCGTTGATCCCTCCCGCGAATGTGTCCCAGCCAGTTTCCTAGGGGTTTTACGGTATGTTATTTGCCTCCGTCCAAATTTTCCAATGCGTGGAAGTGCATCAGATGGTGTAACAAGAGGACACATGTCGAAAAATTCGCCCCGCAGGACCAGTTTTGAACATACTTTGGGCCTCGCGTGAGAGAAATTCTAGAAAATGGTGTCGTTTTAGTTAACTAAGGGTACGGTACATTCCGCGGTGGACATGTCCCAATCGAAAGTGTCTCAATCGTTTCTACCGCACTGCATCGTATTACACCAAATTGCACCCTAGCTTCGAAATTTTCGCGTCTCTGGTTTAGTTCGGTTCAGAGCGGTACACTCGATTGGGACACATCGATTGGGACAGTGTCCACAGTGGAATCTACCCTCAGGGCTAAATATAAGAGAAATCTGCAAGTCAGGAGCTGGGATATACTTTCCCAAATATATTGCTTGGTTAGCAAATAGTTGGATGCCTTATGTACCACTCTGCAAAAACGCTGGTGATAAATTATGGTCCCAGGTGCCTGGATGCAGAGACTGGAGGGCAGAGGTCAGCTGGTACTTACGAGATAGCGCAAAGATGAACAGTTTATTAGACATACGAAGCATAAAGTCAGCCGATCAAGGCAATATTTGGTCTTGAATGGATAATGGCTACAAACAAGGACCTTTGTGGAGAGGATGTGGAGCAGGAACGGTCTACTCTTAAGGCACCTTAAAGGATACGGAACACCAGCAGTAGAGGCGGGCAGAGATGGGGTGAGAAGCAGAGCAGATGCAGGCGTGGTGAGGCAGAAGCTGCGAAGCTGGCGAGTTGATATGTGGGGCTAGATTGCAGGAAGAATGTCGAGTCTAGTTCCAAAGAAGAGTGTTGACTGTCGAGTCTAGACTGCGGGAAGAGTGTTGGACATGCGGAGTGTTTGGATAGTGGCAAGGAGGCCTTTGAATACCACAGCTGAGTAGGCGGAGCGGAAGGAGTCGATTGTAGCTCTTGGATTGCAGGGAGGGGATTGGGGCTAAAATTGCAGGAGTGTTGGGGCTAGATAGCAGGGAGGGTGTTGGACATGCGGAGTGTTTGAATGGTGGCAAGCAGGCCCTTGAAGACCACAGCAGAGTAGGCGGAGCGGAACGAGTCGAGCAGAGCAGGGGAGGGGTCGGAGGCAACGCGAGTGAGGCAGAACTCGAGGAAGCCAGACTGGAAGGCAGAGGGGCTCTTGAGCTGCTGCTGGTAACGCTGTAACCACAGGTGCGCCATGACTTGGCACATGGCCTCCTCGATCTCTGAGGGAAGCGCTGAGAAGGCACCTGCGGGGATGAGAAGGGAAGGGAAGAAAAGGCGGTTTGAGCTGCTGCTGGTAATGCTGTAACCACAGGTGTGCCATAACTTGGCACATGGCCTCTTTGATTTTTAATGGGAGAGCAGCGAAGGCACCTGTGGGGAAAGGAGGAGGGAGCGAGGCCAGGAGAGGGTTGAGAGCAGGTACTGCTGGTAATTGCAGTGCCCTGCCCAGGATCAACACACCCAGTATCGTGAGAGCCAAGTCCATACATGTCTCATAGCTCGTGACAGCAGGCGCTTGATCAACACTCAATGCATGCACGAGGCACGGGATGTACCATCGAGGATGAACCATGCATGCATTGTGCATGAGCTGATTGGCCATGACCCAGAGCAGAGAGAGATAGACAGACATCGGCAGGACCACCATGTATGCATGACTCATGAGGAAAGTTATGGCATGAAAAGACAAGGGGACTTACCATCGAGGAGGAACCATGCATGCATGAGCTGATTGGCTATGAGTCAGAGCAAAGCCAAACAGACATAAGGCACGCAAGGCAAGGAGCGACGTACCATCGAGAAGGAACCATGCATGCATGAGCTGATTGGCTATGACTGCCGCCGCTAGAGGTCTGATGGTGAAGGGGACAGGGGCGAGGGAGACAGGTGCGAGAGGAACAGGGGCGAGAGGGGCAGGTGTGGGGGGTACAAGGGAGGGACACAGGCGTCAGGAGGACAGGGGCGAAGGGGACAGGGGGGCGAAGGGGGTAGTAATGAGGAGACACAGAACCCATCAAGGAGGAACAATGCACGCATGAGCTGATTGGCTATGATGACTGCCCCGGCCAGAGGACTGGTGGTGATGGGGGGGAAGGGGGGAAGGGAACAAGGGCGGGGAGGACAGGGGGAAAGGGGACAGGGATGAGAAGCGAGAATACAAGGGGCATGATGGGAGGAGTGAAAGGGAAGAGGTGAGAAAGGTTTGCACGTGGGGAAGGAGGGGGATGGGTGGGTTGGTGTGGTGGAGTTGGTGGTTAGGATGGTGCATGGTGCATGCATGGTGCATGCATGGCACATGTGATCCAGCACATTGATACATGCATGGAAGGTGAATGCCTTGTTGGAACATACGCTGGGAGGCCGTAGAGAACGAAAATGCCCGAGACGGCAGTGGAGTTGACATGCGTCAGTGACAGCAGTGATAGCAGTGCACAATACACTCACACGACGACATGTTGGTCCATGCACAAACATATGCAAGGTGGTCGATGAATGCACGCATTTCCATGAAGGCAAGCCTACGGAAGGGCATGGATCATACGCTGGGAGGCCGTAGAGAATGACAATGCCCGAGACGGCAGTGGAGTTGACATGCGTCAGTGTCTTCGCTTCATGCGAGATGCCTGCAAAGGCCGTTGCTGTTGACCCTGGTGCTCGTACGACCTGGAAACACACAAGGGGAAGTGAGGGGTGTAGGAACGAAGACGGTGAGAGATCAGGGTTGGCTTCATGTGAGATGCCTGCAAAGGCCGCTGCTGTGGACCCTGGTGCTCGTACGACCTGGAAACACACAAGGGAGAGGAAAGACGGTAGAAACTTGGGTTAAGTGTCTTGGCTTCATGTGAGATGCCTGCAAAGGCCGCTGCTGTGGATCCCGGTGCTCGTACGACCTGGATATGCACCGGGCAGGGGAAAGTGAGGGGTGTGGGAACGAAGATGGTGAGTGAAAGGATCAGAGCTGGGTCGAAGAGGTGAGACGATACTGAGACTCACTGTTTGAAAGTTGTGTTTGAGAATTCAGAAACACTGCTTGGATATTGAGGGATGAGATGATACTTACTGTTTGGATGGTGGTTTCTTGAGTGAGGCACACTCCAGGCACCACCGCCAGGCGAGATGAACCCTGGTGGGTTAAGAAACGCCATGCAATGCCATGCCATGTCATCCCATTCCATGCCATGCAATACCATGCCATGTCATCCCATTCCATGCCATGCCATGCCATGCCATGCCATGCCATGCCATGCCATGCCAAGCGAAGCAGCAACCGTGCAGACAGGTACATATAAACCCATGCAACCAGCAGACATGCAGGAATGCAGGGACGCATGCAGGGATGCATGTGGTGAGTTGTGAACGGATCCCCACATTTATGGAGAGTGGGATTATACTAGTACAGTTCACATTGTGTTTGCAGGCCAGACCAGGAATGCATGTGGATCAGGGATGCATTCATGTGCATGCCACATGGGAAGGGGATCAGGAACATGAGGCATACCACATGAATCACCCCTCCCCATCTCTCCACTTCATTCCATCCAAATCTCTCAATCCCCATTATCCCCCAATCCCCCCCACCCCCAACCCTATTCTGACAACCTCCGCTCTCCACCTTCTATCCCTCTCTTCAACAACCCTCGCCCCCCCCCTCCCCCCCACCCCTTCTCACCTGTCTCTCGCCCTCAACAGCAGCTTGTAACGCCGCGACATCCGCGGTAACCACCCCCCTCCCTCCCTTATTCAACAACCCCTCCCTCTCTTCACACCCTCTGCCCCTCTGTTCCACCCCACCTCCCAACCCCTTCCCTCTCACCTGTCTCTCGCCCTCAGCAGCAGCTTGTAACGCCGCCACGTCAGCAGTAACCACCGGGAGCTCGTCGCCCATCACGCCCACAGCACCCCTCAGCACCGCTCCCAACCCAACCTCCTCGAAGAAACTCAGCACAGAGGCAAAAATAGGGGCACATTCAGAGGCCTCTACTACTAGAGTCCCCAGCGAGGAGGAGGAGGAGGAGGAGGTGAGGGCGGAGAGCGCGGAGCCAGGAGGGGAGGGCCAGGAGCAGGTGTTACAATCGGGGCAGAGCGTGCGGTTACCGCCAATGTCCACCATTGTGCATGTGGTGGGCTGCAGGAGGGAAGCGGAAGGAGTGGAGGGTGTGGGGGGCAGGGGAGGGGAGGGTGGTAGAGAGGCAAGGGGAGAGAGGGCCATGAGGTGAGGTGGGACCATGGGAGTGTTATGAGGATGAGGGAGTGGGGCGAGCGCTGACTCTCTAGAGGGTGCGGTTACCGCCTGTGTCGACCATCGTGCATGTGGTGGGTTGGAGGAGGAAGAAAACGGGAGAGGAGACGTCATGAGGCGCAGAGAGGCGAGGCATCTGTGAAGGGGCTGTGCTTAGCGCAATTTGTGCAGAGAGGAGCAATAACTGTTTAGCTGTGCTGACTGACCGACTGACTTATTGACTGACAGCACCTGGAGGCGAGTGCAGGCGGAGCAGAGGGGCGAGCCATCCGTGGTTGGGCTGTGCTTGGCGCAGTGCTTGGGCAATTAGTGGGAGTGACTGATAGAGTTCTGTTGAGTCCTACTGACTGACTGACTGGCTGACTGACTGACCGATTTATTGACTGACTGCACCTGAAGGCGAGTGCAGGCGGAGCAGAGAGGAGCAATCAGATTATCAGAGGAGGGGCTGTGCTTGGCGCAGTGCTTGTGCAATAAGTGGGAGAGACCCTTCAGTTCCTTCCATTGACTGACTGACTGACCGACCGACTGACTGACTGACTGACTGACTGTCTGACCGACTGACTGATTGACTGACTGACTGATGGCACCTGGAGGCGAGTGCAGGCGGAACAGAGGGGCGAGCCATCCGTGGTTGGGCTGTGCTTGGCGCAGTGCTTGGCGTGCCACAGGTCGTTGAGGCGATATTCAACCATGCCAGACTCGCTGGGGGCAATCTGAAAGAATCACACAGTGGAGGGGGTCATACACACACACACGGTGACAGGTGGTAAGGTGCTTGGCGTGCCACAGGTGGTAAGGTGCTTGGCGTGCCACAGGTGGTAAGGTGCTTGGCGTGCCACAGGTGGTAAGGTGCTTGGCGTGCCACAGGTGGTAAGGCAGTACCCCACCATGCCAGACTCGCTGTTGGCGATCTGCGGAAGGGCACAAGGGAGCATACATATGGGGATATATGGCAACAACAAGGGGTAGGTGGCAGAGGGGCGAGTCTGCTTTTGAGTCGACTCAAAAGGTGGCAGAGGGGCGAGCCATCAGAGGACGGGCTGTGCTTGGCGCAGTGCTTGGCGTGCCACAGGTCGTTGAGTCGATACTCGACCATGCCAGACTCGCTGGGGGCGATCTGTGGAGATTACAGAGGAACACAAGGGAAGGTTTTCGTGGATGGTGCTTACATAAGGGTCCCAGGCGTTCCTCTTAAGGCCATACATATCAAGGCGGCTAAAAAAAAAAATCATTTATGATAGGCACTTACATAAGTGTCGCAGACGTAGCATTTGGGGTGGAAGAGCTGGCGGTAGCACTCGGTGTGGTAAGTATCACCTTCCTTCACAGAGCACTGCAAGGGACAGGAAAGCAGTGAAAAGAGCAGCAAAATAAGAGAATAACTTAAAAAACGTATTGTATCAGGAACATCACGAATGATCAGCCGTTCAAAGGTAGCTGGTGAGGACACTTCGAAAGAACAACACAGAACCACACGACTGCTCAACGTCACTCGCTCTCTCTCAACCCTCTCACTCCCTCACTCTCACAGCCTCTCTCTTTTTCCACTCCCTCCCACCTGCCTTTCAGTGATTGGTTGGCAGTCACCAGTGGCGGTTCAGGGCAATCAGGTGGTGACCCATGTTTCATCCCATTCACATGACTCGCTCTCTCACTCCCTCCCCCACTCTCTCACCTGTATTTCAGTGATGGGCAGGCAGCAGTGGCAGCACTTGAAGCAGGCAGCATGCCAGTCACGGTTCAGAGCAATCATCTAGGGCCCCAGCTTTCAACTCTTTACACCACTCACTCACTTACTCACTCTGTCGCCCCCTCGCTCACTCACACAAACCCTCTCCCTTACTCTGCTCTCTCACCTGCATCTCAGTGATGGGCAGGCGGCAGTGGCAGCACTTGAAGCAGGCGGCATGCCAGTCACGGTTCAGAGCAATCAGGTACCTCCCGGAATCGATAGTCCGCTCACAAGCACCACATATGCCGTGCCTTGTGGGTCTGCAGGTGAAGGGGAAGGGGTACAGGGGTAGGGGTAGGGAGAATGGGTATAGGGCCATGACAGGGGCGGTTCAGAGCAATCAGGTACCTCCCCGAATCGAATAGTCCGCTCACACGCCCTGCATATGCCGTGCCTTGTGGGTCTGCACGGGGGCAGGGCGAGAGGGTAGGCAAAGGACACGAAGGGGTGAGAAAGCAGCAGTGGCGGTGGCGGTGGCAGCAGCAGCAGCGAGGCACAGGTCCGTTCAAAGAGGCAATGACAAAAGATAAACCCGAATCACTTCATAGCACAATCACTCACGTGGCGTGGAATCCCTTCATGGGTGTCACCAGCACCAGCGCCCCACTCGTCGCATCCAACCCCCCTCCCAATCCTCCTCCAGCAGCAGCAGCGGCACCAGCGGGCACAGGTCCGTCCACCAGAGCCAGCAGATCGACCTCCCCATTCGCCTGCTTTGGAGCCACTGAATTCACCTTCTCCAGGAGAGATGCCTCTGACGTGCTAGTGTCAATGTCCTGAGGTTGGTGAATGGGAGGTGGTTGGGGTGGGTGGAGGGTGGTAAGTGGAGAGACACATTACAGCAGGGCCAGCAAGTCGACCTCCCCGTTGGGCTGCTTGGGAGCTACCGAGTTCACCTTCTCTAGGAAAGAGGCTTCCGAAGTGCCAGTGTCAATGTCCTGGGGTGGGAGGTGGTGTGGATGTGGTGGGTGGGTGGGTGAAAGAAAACAAGAAACTGAATAGCAGCAGCGGGCACAGGTCCATCCTCCAGAGCGAGCAGGTCGACCTCCCCGTTGGGCTGCTTGGGAGCCACCGAGTTCACCTTCTCCAGGAGAGATGCCTCTGACGTGCCAGTGTCAATGTCCTGCGGTTGGTAGTGGTTGGGGTGTGTAATGGGGTGGGTGGGGTCGGTGGGAAGGGATGCAACGGAAGGCCAGCAGGTCGACCTCCCCCCGTTGGCCTGCTTGGAGAGACGCCTCTGACGTACCAGTGTCAATGTCCTGCGGTTGGTAGTGGTTGGGGTGGGTGGAGGGGGGTAAAGTGGAGAGACACGTTAGCAGCAGGGACACCAAGTCGACCTCCCCGTTTGCCTGCCTTGGAGCCACTGAATTCAACTTCTCCAGGAGTGACGCCTCTGATATGCCCGTGTCAATGTCAGGAGAGACCCTGAGGAGGTGCAGTGGGAGCACTGTAATGTAAAGCACCAGAGCGCCCGGCCCTGCATTTGTGCCCAGCCCCAGTAAATCGCCCTCCCTCACCATTTCGAGATCCCGTCCCACTCACCAGAAGGCTGATCTCTTGCTGAAACGCCTTGGAAATGAGGTCATCCGCATTAGGAGCACTGTAGAGCACCAGAGCCCCCGGCCCTGCGTCTGTCCCGAGGCCCAGCAGATCATCTTCCATGGATAGCAGGTCCGGTGGTGGCGATGCTGCTGCTGCTGCCGCTGCTGCAGCTGCCGCTGCTGCTTCGGCCTCTGCTGCTGCCTCCTCCTCTGCCTTTTGGCGGGCTGAAGGGAAGGCAGGGACGTGGCAGTGTGAGGGGTTCCAGTGAGAGAAAACGAAGGGAATACAGGGCGTGAGATGGTTTCAGAAGAAGCAGGTGAAGCCACCCTTTCCGTCTCCCATTTATGTATGATCGGTGATGATTTTCTATCAATAAGGATGCCCGTGGCATGTGCACATGCATGTGCCTTCGTTGTGTTGCGTCTGTGCGTGTTTGCTCGTGCGTGCTATTGCACCCGACTCATCTCACTCACCTCACCACTCATCAGGCCTTCACCACGCACCTCTCTCCTCCTCCTCCTCCTCCTCCTCCTCCTCCTCCTCCTCCTCCTCCTCCTCCTCCTCCTCCTCCTCCTCCTCCTCCTCCTCCTCCTCCTCCTCCTCCTCCTCTCGTCGTATGCGTTCCGCCCTCTCCTCCTCCCACTCCTCCTCCTCTTCCTTCTCTCGGTCGTTAAGTCCAATCCGCACCCAACCAAGCCATTCATGCATGCAATTTCACCCACTTCACCTCACCACTCATCCGCACCGCACTTCATCACGCACCTCTCTCCTCTTCCTCCTCTCGTCGTATGCGCTCCGCCCTCTCCCTCTCCCGCGCCTCCTCCTCTTCCTTCTCTCGGTCATATGGTCGATCCTGCACCCAATCAAGCCAGCCATTTTGAACCAGCCATTTCGAGCCAATACCCCAAACATACATGCAATCCGCAAGTCCATACATTCATGCCACGCCATGCCATGCCATGCCATGCCATGCCATGCCATGCCATGCCACGCCATGCCATGCCATGCCATGCCACGCCACGCCATGTCATGCCACGCCACGCCATGCCATGCCACTCCATGACACCATCACATGCCATGACATGACATGCCATGCCATGCCATGCCATGCCATGCCATGGATCCACAACAATAGCCCACCAAGAATCAGATACACCATGGCAGGTCATGCATCCCAGAACAACAATTCGAGATCAGCCATAACATAGCAACCGCACATGAGGATCCGTTAAAAATTCGTTACAAAGACCTGCCAACACTAACGACAATCGATTTCATTTCTATGTGCAATACGCTGAGCCTGGGCAAAACAATCATGCCCATATTGCCTAAACACGCACCCGCGCATAGTCGTCATAGCCATAGCGGCTCCCCCGCTCGTCGTCATATCGCCCGCCATACCCCTGCCTCATACCCTTCGCCATACCCCCCCTCATACCCCCCGCCATACCCCTTCTGAGTTCTCAAAAGTGTCTCCAAAACGCACCCGAGCATAGTCGTCATAGCCATATCGGCTGCCCCTCTCATCGACATACCCCCCCCCATACCCCTGTCCCTGGCCTCCCCCATCATAACCATAACATCTCACAAACGCACCCGAGCATAGTCGTCATAGCCATATCGGCTGCCCCTCTCATCGACATACCCCCCCCCATACCCCTGTCCCTGGCCTCCCCCATCATAACCATAACATCTCACAAACGCACCCGTGCATAGTCGTCATAGCCATATCGGCTGCCCCTCTCATCGACATACCCCCCCCCATACCCCTGTCCCTGGCCTCCCCCATCATAACCATAACATCTCACAAACGCACCCGAGCATAGTCGTCATAGCCATATCGGCTGCCCCTCTCATCGACATACCCCCCCCCATACCCCTGTCCCTGGCCTCCCCCATCATAACCATAACATCTCACAAACGCACCCGAGCATAGTCGTCATAGCCATATCGGCTGCCCCGCTCGTCGTCATATCGCCCGCCATACCCCTGCCCCTGGCTTCCCCCGTCGCTCCGCTGGTCCTGCAACTGGGGCGCGCGGTGGTCGTACCCGGGGGGCTGGGGAAGCGGGGAGCGGAGAAAGCGGGAACGGGGATCCGGGGGGGTGGGAAGAGCGCGCGCAAGGGGAACGGGATATGACGGGGTTGGAAGGGAGTTCGGAGAAACGGGGAAACCCGGGAGTGGGGGAGTGGAATGAGAATTTTGATGCGAGACATGGGGAAAAGGAGGAGGGGAGGGGAAGCGGAAAGGGGGGGAAGAGAGGGAGGGGGATGGAGGAGGAAGGGGGGGTTGGGGAGCTGGGGGGAGTGGGGAGGTGATAACACGGCAGTATTGCCCGATACGTAACGCCGGTACGTAACCAGGGACTACGTACCGCAGTACTGGACCATTTGAGCCACCAGGGCGATTCATCTTGCATGCCGCCATTGAAGCGGTACGTACGGCCGACGCCCTCGTCCATGTCGTCTTGCGGTAACGGCGCGTGCTGATGCTCCAACGCACTCATCACAAACCTGCCAGCACGGGAGAGGAGAGCGAGAGAGAAGAGCAGTACGATATCTAGAAGGCATGGAAAGAGGGACCAGACGGAGCGTCCGACGAGTGACGAGAAATTCGATCGATCGGACCGAACAAGCGACCACTGAAGAGAGCGTTCACTACAAGGAGAAAGGCGATACGCATGCTGCTTACGTGGAGGATTGAACGCCACATCTCACACCCGCGTGTTTTGTAACGCATTTTGAAATAACGCGTGGCATTTACTAATGACACATAAAAACTGAAATTGATCCCTGGACAAGTTGCACTAACAGTTCGCTAAAGATCCATTATCTTTTCATGACTGCAAGACAACAACAGGATAACCTCACAACTGTAGACGCGTCAAGATTACCTGATTTCAGGAGTTGCTGACAATGAAAACTTAGGAGATCGATTATTCTTTACAGGTATTTCGATGGACGGTTCAAATCATGCGTGTCTAATCATGAAAAGTTCATACCTTTGGAATAATGACGTGACATTGCCGACCACCTCGTCCGCTCGGACGTTTTTTAGTCGACTCAAAATTTATCATCAATGTATATCTCGCGCGTCTGATCACGAAAACGCATACCTTCGGAACCATGACGTGACATTGCCGACCACTTCGTCTACTTGCTCCATCTTCGCCGAATCAGGGAAACGAACTAATAGCGCGATAAATTACTTTATTCTTCTATTCCACGTCGAACTGGATTGGTAGAATCGTCCAAGGCTATAGCTTGCAGAATCTAAGCGAAGCTTTAGAAGAAAAAGAGGGCATATTGCGGATCAACTAATGGGCATATGGGCCTGAGGCCAGAAGCTTCTTAAACTAATGCGATACGGTAACAACCGGATTGCTCACACAATATCGGCTTGAGTCAGTGAATGCACGCATATCCAATCCTAGAACTCTATTGTGTCCGCCTCCTAAGCTTCACGATCTAAACTGCATTATAGACATCAGCGTTACTGATCTATGGAGATATTGCAACAAAACGCCCTGCAGAAAGAAAATGTCCCTGGATTCCGCCGAGCTAAGAAATTCCACCAACTCTAGGCGGGTCTTGGGATTACCAGCTCCTCCCAACCAACCAATCCGGGCTCTCGCACCTCACACCTGCCCCTGGGCTGCTTGGCGCGCTTTGCACAGGCTGAGAGCGCAGAAAGCTAGCGCAGGGATGGGCGCAGGTCTGCGCGGAATCCGCAGGTTTGCTTTGCTGGAGTGGAGACTCCAAGTTGAGGTGCGCGTGTACACTGAAGCGGAGAGTGCGGAGGCTGGGCTGCTTTGGGAGTAGGCGGACGTTTGGCGGAAAAGCGGGCAGGTGATTGCGAAGGTGTGCGACTGGCGGTTCCAGCGCAGCGAATTTCTTGAGGGGTGCGACCTGGATGTTTGATGTGCTTTCCAGCCGCCAGTTCGTGAGCAACAACGTCGGCCCTCAAGGTCGTCATATCCTCCTCTTCGACTGTTTCTTTTCCATGTAATCTAGAGAAAGTTTTCTACTTTGTAGTAAAAGAAGGAAACGTATGGCCTGCATCGGCCCTTCTGCCTCGCCCGGTTGTAGCATCAAAAACTCAAACCAGAATGCCATCATACAACCTTTCCTAAAGTGACTTCTATATTAATTGCTTGTACGAGGGGATGCAACGTAGTCACAATTTACATGCTTCACATAAATTGCACATTCAGCTGGTAGCAATGGTAAGGGCATAAACACCTTGAGAGTCACACGAGAGCAGGATTGGAAAGAAGTGAAGGGCACTCGTTCTGCCCCACTCCCCTCCCCTCGGCCAGAAGCAGTGAATCTTGATACGTCAAAATATCCTCCCTTTCCCAGCAACAGTGTATCACATGAGAGAGCAGTCACTCTGCGTTGACCCACCCCTGCGCTGCCCCCTGCCCTGAGGGGTTGGCGGGGAGGAAGTGGCGTGATGCGGTGTGGTGCGGCGCGAGGGGGATCTTGGTTGGGTGCTCCCCTGCTTGGTGAAGGTTGGGGGGTTGAAGAAAAGGAGGGGACCAGGGGAGAGTAAGGGAAGGAGGAGAGAGGGAGGTAGAGAGGGAGGGAGGCAGGGAGGGGGGGCAGTAGGGTGTGATAAATGAACCAGGGGAGATGCATGGGAAGGGAAGCAAGGGGGAGGACTGTACCGGTGGTTTTCTGGAGTCTACTTTTGAGGCGCCTCAAATGTACCTCTTAATAAGCAATCTAGATGAACTTTCTTTAGCTTCATCATAGCAATGCGTCCAGGACCCAGGTATATGTTCTCTGATGAGCCTGTGGTTTGCTGCATTTCAAGCATGAGTAGTCCAGATGATCCATACTCCTCACACCTCTCGTCCCTCGTTTGAGAATTCTCATTTTTATGTCACTTTTAATTGAGAACTCTCGAACTTGACTCCCATACATGACCCCAGATGAAGCATACTCGTCACACCTCTGGTCCTTCTCACCTCCTCTTCCCCTCCTCTCCCTCCTCCCTCCCCAGCCTCCCGACTCCCACTCCCCTCACCCCATTAATCCCACATGTCTTACAAATATGAGCCCAGTCGCTGCTTCCCACGTGCTGCCCCACCCACTGCTGCTCTCCCTCCCACCACCACCACCACCGTCGCTCCTCACTCCTGACACTGCTCGTCCCTCCCCCCTCCCCCCGCGCCCCCTCCCCCTCCCCCTCCCCCCTAACTGATGCACATCTATAGGCCCTGCTGCCCCTCCCACTGCTCCTTCCCGCCCCCACGCCCCTCCCCCGCTTCCCCCTTCACTGCGCACCTGCTGTACTCCCCCTGATCTTCCCCCCCTGCCTCCGCCCCTCCCCCTCCCCCCTGCCTGCTGCCTCTCTGCTGCTTCCACCTCCTGCTGCTGCAGCATCAGGGCGAGTTGAAGGTCGGAACTGGTGCAAGGGGAGGAGAAGTAGCAGAAGAAGGGAACAGGGCATAAGGGGATGAGACAAGGAACATTCTTCACACATCCCCTCCCCCCTGCCTGCTGCCTCTCTGCTGCCTCCACCTCCTGCTGCTGTGACATCAGAGCCAGTTGAATATCCGAAAGGGGAGGCAAAGCAACAGGAGAAAAGATGAGAGGAATCACACAGAGAAGTAGCAGGAGAAGGGGAAGAGGGCATAAGGGGATGAGACAAGGAGCATTCTTCACACATCCTCTCCCCCCTGCCTGCTGCCTCTCTGCTGCCTCCACCTCCTGCTGCTGTGACATCAGAGCCAGTTGGCGATCTGAAAGGGGAGGCGAAGCAACAGGAGAAAAGATGAGAGGAATCACGCGGAGAAGTAGCAGGAGAAGGGGAAGAGGGCGTCCGGGAAAAAAAACAAGAGTTTTCGGTTTTCACAGACCCCCTCCCTCTGCTTCCCCCATGCCGGCAGCTGCCCTTCCTCCACGCAAAGCAAGCTAAATTTTAAAGCTGGCATGGCAGCATGGAATATGCATGATTGAGTGCTTGTGGGGTGTGGTATGCGTGATACGTGAGGTGTGTGTGGGATGACTCACTGTGATACGTTGATGCCTGGCTGAACCGTGGATGCAGCACAGGTGTGTGCCTGAGTAACTGTGCGGCATGGTGTGGTGTGGTGTGGTGTGGTGTGGTGTGGTGTGGTGTGGTGTGGTGTGGTGTGGTGCGGTGCGGTGCGGGGTGGAACGTGTGAGGTTAGAAGAGTGCGTTGAGAGACTCACTGGTATGCGTCCATGCCTGGGACGAGCTCCTCTACCTCTAAGCTTCTTGGAGCGGTGAATGCAGCACGTATGTGTGAGGCCTAGAGCGGTGAACGCAGCACATATGTGTGAGGCCTAGAGCGGTGAATGCAGCACATATGTGTGAGGCCTAGAGCGGTGAATGCAGCACATATGTGTGAGGCCTAGAGCGGTGAATGCAGCACATACGTGTGAGGCCTAGAGCGGTGAATGCAGCACATATGTGTGAGGCACGAGCTCCAATCCTTCCATGCCCTTCAAAGCAAAGCCTAGGTATGTGTGCCTGCATGGTGTGGTGAGAGTGAGGCCTACGGTGTGGGATGAGAGACTCACTGGTATGCGTCCATGCCTGGCACGAGCTCCAACCCTTCCATGCCCTGAAAGGAGAAGCAGGCAGAGAGAGAGACAAGCACACGGAGAGCAGGGGGGAATTCATTCAAGATTGCTTTCAGACTATCCCATGGGCGAGTGTGTCAGTCAGGGCGTTGGCTGGCTTGCATGGGTTGCACTTTTGAGTCGACTCAAAAGCACACGGAGAGCAGGGGGGAAGTCATTCAGGATTCTTTTCAGACTACCCCATGGGCTAGTGTGTCAGTCAGGGCGTTGGGTGGCTTGCATGGGTTGCACGAGCTCCAATCCTTCCCTGCCCTGACAGTAGAAGCACGCAGAATGAGAGGCATGCAGAAAAGGAGTGAAAGGCAGAAGGAAGGGAAGTATACGAATTACGAATGACAAGCCAAGAAGGAAGCTACAAGCTATTACTCACAGCAGCAGCGGCAGCAACGATGGCAGCATCATCTTCATGCGTCCACTGGGCAGCAGCAGCGCCGTCATGAGTCAGGGCCAGTGACACTTGGTCACACTTGGTCACACGTGGTCACACATGATCACACGTGGTCAATACACCTTTTATAGCATGCCTGCATGCATGTGTCACTCACAGCAGCGGCAGCGGCGGCAATGGCAGCATCGTCCTCATGCGTCCACTGTGCAGCAGCAGCGCCGTCATGACTCAGGGCCAGCGACGGTGGAGGAGCAAAGGGAGTGAAGTCCCCCTCACAGAGTGTGGTGTCTCCCTCCACCTGCCCCAAGCTATACTCACAAAGACAGCTGCTGGTCATACTCACACCTGCCCCAAGCCACACATGCATGTGTCACTCACAGCAGCGGCAGCAGCGGCAATTGCAGCATCGTCCTCGTGTGTCCACTGTGCAGCAGCCCCCTCCCCCCCATGAGCCAGGGCCAGAGACGGCGGAGGAGCAAAGGGAGTGAAGTCCCCCTCACAGAGCGTGGTGTCTCCCTCCACCTGCCCCAGCCTCTCCCACACCACGCCCGGCTGGTTGAGGTAGCCCTGATCCGTCACCAGCAGGTAGATGTGGCTGGTGCGCTGAGGCAAGGAGAGGTGGGAGAGACGGAAGAGAAGGGAGCGAAGGGAGCGAAGTGAGGACGAGAGTTGAGGGAGTAAAATCCCCCTCACAGAGCGTGTTGTCGCCCTCCACCTGCCCCAGCCTCTCCCACACGACACCCGGTTGGTTCAGATAGCCCTGATCCGTCACCAGCAGGTAGATGTGGCTGGTGCGCTGGGGGTAACAAGGGTGGCAGGGTGGGGAAGGGAGAGTGAGTTGTCTCCCTCCACCTGCCCCAGCCTCTCCCACACAACGCCCGGTTGGTTCAGATAGCCCTGATCCGTCACCAGCAGGTAGATGTGGCTGGTGCGCTGGGGGTAACAAGGGTGGCAGGGTGGGGAAGGGAGAGTGAGTTGTCTCCCTCCACCTGCCCCAGCCTCTCCCACACAATGGCCGGCTGGTTCAGATAGACCTGATCCGTCACCAGCAGGTAGATGTGGCTGGTGCGCTGGGGGTAACAAGGGTGGCAGGGTGGGGAAGGGAGAGTGAGTTGTCTCCCTCCACCTGCCCCAGCCTCTCCCACACAATGCCCGGCTGGTTCAGATAGACCTGATCGGTGACCGGCAGGTAGATGTGGTTGGTACGCTGTGGGTGGGGAGAGGGAGGGACGGGTCACGGAAGGAAGTGGGGCAAGGGAGGCAAGGGAGTGATTTTTCCCCCTCCACCTGCCCCAGCCTCCCCCACACGATGCCGGGTTAGATGTGGTTGGTGCTCTGGGGGTCATGGCAGGGAGAAGGCGGGGATTGAAGGTAGGAAGGGAGTGAGTTGTCTCATCCCACCTCTCCCACATGACGCCGGGTTGGTTGAGATGGCCCTGATCCGTCACCAGCAGGTAGATGTGGTTGGTACACTGAGGGTGATTGGAGGAAAGGAGGGAAGAGAGGGGTGAAGGGAGTGGATTTGACTTGGCTGGTTGAGGTAGCCCTTATCTGTCACTAGCAGGTATATGTGGTTGGTGCGCTGAGGACAAGGGGAGGGGGGAGAGGGGAGCATGTGGAAAGGGAGGTGGGTGGGAGAAAGGGATGAGGCAGAGGGATGAGCAGTGCTTCAGAGAATAAAAGGGAGGTAATATGAAAACATATTATGAGGCACCTCAAGAGAAGATGGAAGAGGTATTGTGAAAGCAAATACTTGAAGGAGGCAAGGGCAGCAGTGAAAGAGGTGTGGTGGAGCGAATTCACCTTAAAAACCACCGAATCACCTTAAAAGGGAGTGCTGAAATTGTTGTTGCGGAAGAAAACGCAGAGCCCTGAGACGGCTTTGTGAGTGTATCTGTGAGCTTTATAAGTGAAAAGAGTCACCTTAAAGAGAGTGCTGAAATGATTATTGCGGAAGAATACGCAGAGCTGATTCTCCTTCACTCCCTCCTGTAGGCTGAAGAGGCTGGTGTGATGGGGACGAGGGAGGGGCGTGGTGGTGGTGCGTAATGGAAGGCATGTGGTGATGCAAAGGAAATACATATGGAAACATTCATTCGAAGGATTGACGAGAGGAATCCGAGATTTGACAGTGGTTGACGGAATGAGGAGAAAGCGAAGATAAGATTGAGGGGATGATGTAATAGGAAGGCGAGGAAGACGACAAGGATGAGGAGGAATCAAGAAATGTAGTCGAAACGAGAGGGAAGAGGCGACAGGGAAGAGAACTTGTTTTGAGTCGACTCAAAACAGCGCGTGTAATGAGTCGAGTTTTGAGTCGACTCAAATCAGGAATCAAGAAATGTAGTCGAAACAAGAGGGAAGAGGCGAATGGGAAGAGAACTTTTGAGAATTCTCGAAAGTCGCACTAATGAGGAGGAATCAAGAGATGTAGTCGAAACGAGAGGAAAGAGGCGAACGGGAAAAGAACCCTCGCCTTACCCGTGCTGACTTTTGAGTCGACTCAAAAGGTGAGGAAGACGACAAGGATGAGGAGGAATCAAGAAATGTAGTTGAAACGAGAGGAAAGAGGCGATAGGGAAGAGAACTTTTGCCTTACCCGTGGTAAGTGAGCTGGCTGGCTGTGTCGTTGAGAAACGTGAAGAGCAGCAGAGCTGACGGTAGGGGAATGGACACAGATGGCAGAGGGGAATGTGGAGAATGGAAGAATGGAGTGAGCGGGATAGATTGAAAGCAGCAAAAAAACAAGAGCAAAAATATTATTATGCGTGTACTTTGAAGTCGTTTAGAAAAGCACACCTGGTTAGGACCTAACTCACTGAAGGACCGCTTGAGAATTCTTCTGACCTTCCCGCACACCTGGTAGGACCTAACTCACTGACACATGACTCACCTTCCCGCACATCATCCTGCATCTCGTGTTTTGAGTCGACTCAAAACAGGACCGCTTGAGAATTCTTCTGACCCTACACATAACTCACCTTCCCGGATGACTTTTGAGTCGACTCAAAAGTCACCTCTTTAAAAAAAGCACACCTGGTTAGGAATAACTCACTGAAGGACCGCTTGAGAATTCTCCTGACCCTGCACATAACTCACCTTCCCGCACATCACTCACCTTCCTGCACATCATCCCGCATCTCGTGTTTTGAGTCGACGCAAAACAGGACCACTTGAGACTTCTTAAGACCCCGCACATAACTCACCTTCCCGCACATAACTCACCTTCCCGCACATAACTCACCTTCCCGCACATAACTCACCTTCCCGCACATAACTCACCTTCCCGCACATTATCCCGCATCTCCCCTCCCCATATCTCCACATCGTTTGAGGCACCCAAAATATAATTGGTTCCAACAGAAAGCAAAAGAGAACCCTCCCAGCCCCCATCCCAACTCACCTTCCCGCACATCATCCCGCATCTCCCCTCCCCCTGCCTGCTCCCCCCTTCCTACTGCCAGTGCAGCTCCCGCTTCACTCCTCCCCACTCCATCCTCACACCTGCGTTCCTCCCCTTCCTTCTGGTCTTCCTTCCCGTCATCTTCCCCCCCCCCTTCCTCGTCCTCCCCTATGCCCTCCTCTTCCCTCCTCACTTGCTCCTCGTCGCTTCTAACCTTCTCTTCAGCAGGCCTTTCTGGAGCAGAAGCAGCCTCACCCCCCTGCCTCGACTCTGCACCACTCTCTACCCCCTCCAACCCCTCACCACCCTTCTGTCTTCTCTCTACACTTTCTCCCTCTGTATCCCTCTCACACTCCGCCCCGCTTGTTTCTTCTGCAGCAGCACAGGCTCGGGCAGCCGAGGCAGAAAGAGGCTCGGAGGATGTACGAGGCTCGGAAACCGATGCAGGCTCGGATGCAGGAACAGGCTCGGAAGCTGGATGAGGCTCAGAAACCGGTGACGGATTGGAAAGTGGTAAAGGTTCGGAAAGGAGAAGAGAGGCAAGGGACTCAGCCAGGGCTGTTGCTGTCACTTCCCCCTCCCCCTCATTCACTGCATCTCCTTCATCTCCTAGGACTGTTTCCCCCTCCTTTTTTTCTTTCCCCGCTGTTGGTTTTCCCCCACCCTCCCGCCCACCACTCCCTGCTTTCCCCACATCCCCTCTTTCCCCGGCCCTACTTCTCACTCTTCTTTCTCCTAGTCCCTCTCCACCCCCTTTTTCCCCTCCACCTCCCCCCCCACCTCCCCCTCCACCTCCCACATCCCCACTTCCCCCTCTTCTTTCTCCTAGTCCCTCCCGACCACCTACTCCCCCAACTCCCCCTTCCCCGCTTCCCCCTCCCCCTCCCCCTCCTCCCCCTCCCCCGCCCAGCAGAGCAGCAGCAAGGTCGGGGTGGGAGGCCTGCAGGGCGACTAGGCGCTCCACGATGCTGTTGTAGGAGAGGGAGCCCACTGCTGCTGCTGTGGCCGAGTCCTGTTTTGGGAGCGGGTTTCAGGGGGGTTGAGAGGGGTTTGAATCACTTGCGAGGCCTGCCGGGCAACGAGGCGTTCCACGATGCTGTTGTATGAGAGGGAGCCCACAGCCGCTGCTGTGGCCGAGTCCTGGGGTGGGTTGAGAGGGGTTTTGATGCTATTGAGGCCTGCAGAGCAACGAGGCGCTCCACGATGCTGTTGTATGAGAGGGAGCCCACCGCTGCTGCTGTGGCCGAATCCTGGGTGTAGGGTTTAGAGGGGTTGAGAGGGGTTTTAACGCCATCTGAGGTCTGCAGAGCGACTAAGCGCTCCACGATGCTGTTGTAGGAGAGGGAGCCCACTGCTGCTGCTGTTGCCGAGTCCTGTAGGTCAGGGGTTTCAGAGGGGTTGAGAGGGGTTTCACCACTTGGGAGGCCTGCAGGGTGACTAGGCGCTCCTTGATGCAGCTGTAGGAAAGAGAGCCCACCGCTGCTGCTGTCGCTGAATCCTGCATGGGGTTCACAGGGTTTAGGGATCACAGGGTTCAGGGTTCACAGGGTTTTGGGCATCTACCAGCCAGCCATGCACGAGGCTGATGTCCAGCAGGTCGAAGATGGCAGCATGCTGTACCATGCTCTACCGTGCCGTACCGTGCTGTACCGTGCTGAACCGTGCTTACCGTGCTCTATCATGCTCACCTGCGAGTCCACCAGCCAGCCATGCACGAGGCTGATGTCCAGCAGGTCGAAGATGCCATACCATGCCGTGTCATACTACACCACCCCACCATGCCGTGTCATACTATACCACCCCACCATACCTGGGCTGGGCGTCCACTAGCCATCCATGCATGCACAAGGAAGCATGTCGAAGATGGCAGCATGCTGTACCATACCATACCATACCATACCATACCATACCATACCATACCATACCATACCATACCATACCATACCATACCATACCATACCATACCATACCATACCAGACCATACCATACCATACCATACCATACCATACCATAGCACACCCCAGATTGTCACAGCATACCATACCATACCTGCGAGTCCACCAGCCAGCCATGCACGAGGCTGATGTCCAGCAGGTCAAAGATGGCCGTCTCTGGTGTGAACTCAAACGCGTGGATGCTGGGAAGGGGGAGAGGATGAGGGATGGGGATGGGGATGGGAACACGCAAGGAGACGGGGAACGAGGAGGGGGAGGGGAAAGGGGAGAGGATGATGTCCAGCAGGTCAAAGATGGCTGTCTCTGGTGTCAACTCAAACGCGTGGATGCTGACACATGGGGATGAGACGGGGGAGCAAGCAAGCAAGGAACGGGATGGAAGGGGAAAGCTGATGTCTAGCAGGTGGACGGGATAGGATGGGGATGGACGGGAATGGGGGAACGCAAGGAGAGAGAAGGAAGGGGAAGGCTGATGTCCAGCAGGTCAAAGATGGCTGTTTCTGGCTTGAACTCAAACGCGTGGATGCTGATGCATGGGGATGGGGAGGGGGGGGAGGGGAGGGGGCGAGGGAGGGGGCGAGGGAGGGGGAGGGGGATGTGGATGGGGATGGGATAGATACACGCAACGAGAGTGGGGAGTGGGGAAGGCTGAAGTCACTGAACTCAGCTCATCCTGAAAATCCTTACCTCACACACAAAAGGAATCGCACTCATACCCTGTGAACCGCACTCAACCGCCGTATGCACCCCAGCTCACCCTGAACATCGCACTGCATGCCCCATCTCACCCTGAGCACTGCATTGCACGCCCCGTATCACCCCATGCACCGCACTGCACGCCCCGTCTCACCCTGTGAAGCGCACGTTGACATCAATCCCCGTGGCGAGGCGGGGCAGCAGAGCCATGCAGTCTGCCACGTTCTGCTGGCGGTTGGTCCCATACCCGGGAGAGCGGCCCTGTGCACCGCACTGCACCGCACTGAATGCCCCATCACACCCTGTGCACCGCACTGAATCTCACTGCACCGCACTGCACGCCCCAGCTTACCCTGTGAAGCGCACGTTGACGTCAATCCCCGTGGCGAGGCGCGGCAGCAGAGCCATGCAGTCTGCCACGTTCTGCTGCCTGTTGCTTATGTACTCTGCTGAACGGCCCTGAAGAGGTGAGAGGAAGGAAAGAAGGAAGGAAAGGAAGGTTGACGAGGGGTTGAATGGAGGAAAAAGGGTGAGTCACGTCACGTTCAAGCAGAGCCATGCAGTCTGCCACGTTCTGCTGCCTGTTGCTTATGTACTCTGCTGAGCGGCCCTGAAGAGGTGAGAGGAAGGAAAGAAGGAAGGAAAGGAAGGTTGACGAGGGGTTGAATGGAGGAAAAAGGGTGAGTCACGTTCAAGCAGAGCCATGCAGTCTGCCACGTTCTGCTGCCTGTTGCTTATGTACTCTGCTGAGCGACCCTGAGAAGGGTGGAAGGAAGGACGGATGCGAAAGCGAGGAGCAGCAAGTCACGTTCAAGTCAGCCATGCAGTCCGCCACGTTCTGCTGCTGGTAGGATCCAACTGAGAAATGCCAGACTCTCCTGTCTCACCTCTTCCCCTCTTCCCCCTCCCCGTCCCCACCAATCCCCTTTTTTCCCTCCCTCCCCCTTGCACGCACCTCCATGCCTGTGTTGCTGTCCAGCAGACAGTGCGGCACCTAAAGCCAGCAAGTCTGACTGGGAGATGCTATGCTCTTCCTTCCAACGCCCCTTCTTCCCTCTCTCCCCCCCATTCCCTTTCCATTCCACGCTTATACGTCCATGCCTGTGTTGCTATCCAGCAGTGGGCGTGCCACCAGAGACAGCAGGTCCCACTGGGAGATGCCATGCTACTTCCTCACCCACTCACCCACACTCTCCCCCACGCTCTCCCCCACACTCTCACCCAAAACCTCCCCCTTCCACGCACATACCTCCATGCCTGTGTTGCTGTCCAGCAGTCGGTGTGCCACCAGAGACAGCAGGTCTGATTGGGAGATCTCGGTGGCGCTGGGGCGGAGGGAGATGGCGTTGCGGAGCAGCAACACATTGGCTGCGACGGAAGGAAGTGAGAGGGGAATATGGAATAGAAACACGTGCTCTGAGTTGACTCGAAAGAGATCTCAGTGGCGCTGGAGCGGAGGGAGATGGTGTTGCGGAGCAGCAGAAGGAAGAGGGGGACGGATGGAAGGGGGAATGAACAGAGGAGGGATGAGGTGAGTGCAAGGGGGAATGTTGTAAAAGGAGGGAGGGTGGGTGATGGCTGTTTGTAAGGGGGTGAGCAGAAATGCAAGGAAGGGGCAGGGGGGTGAAGAGCTTACCAATGCCCAGGGGCAGGGTCCATTGTCGTTTTGCATGACGATAGGCACCTGCTGCCGCCCCAGGAACGACCCACAGGTCTTTCAGTCACGGTCAGAGGGGGAGATTGGGAGTGGAGTGAAATGATGCTCACCAATGCCAAGCAGGGGGCAGGGCCCGTTGTCGTTTTGCATGACGATGGGCACCTGCTGCCGCCCCAGGAACGCCACGCGCTTTATCTTGTACCAGCTCTCCGCCGTCTCCCCTCCCCCGCTCTGCCCCTGCCCCTGACCCCCACCCGATTGCGTCTCTTTTCCTCCTCCCCCCTCCTCTCCGCCCCGCTCCGCCTCCCCTCGCCCCTGACTCTGCCCCTCATCCTGACCCTGCCCTCCTCCCTCTGCCTCCGCCAACGGCGGCGCAGCAGGCGCTGGAGGACTAGCAGACGGCGCTCGGGGACTGGCGGAAGGCGCTGGGGGAGTGGCGGAAGGATCTGAGGGAATGGCGGAAGGATCTGGAGGAGTCGCGGAAGGTGCTGGGGGAGTGGCGGAAGGCGCTGACGGAGTGGCGGAAGCATCTGGGGGAGTGGCGGAAGGCGCTGACGGAGTGGCGGAAGCATCTGGGGGAGTGGCGGAAGCCGCTGGGGAAGAGGCGGAAGGATCAGGAGGAGTGGCGGAAGGATCTGAGGGAATGGCGGAAGGATCAGGGGGAGTGGCGGTTCCAGCGGAAGACTGTTGCGCTGTCATGGTCTCATGAGACGTCTCAACTGTCGCCACTGGGGAAGTGGGATCTGCAGCGGAGGATTGATGTGTAGCCATGGCCTCTGTGCCTCCGCAATGAACGGCTACAAACTCGCGGTGAAGCTAGACCCTCAAGTTCGTTAATAGGCGCCTCAAAAACAGGCCTCTGTGTCTCCGCAATGAACGGCTGCAGACTCACGGTGAAGCTAGACCCTCAAGGTCTGAGACGTCTCAAAACCAGGCCGTTATGCTGAGACGTGAGAAGACACAGGAGGTCGCAACTGGTGACAAGATTCGCTACAATTTGTAACCAAAATTGTTACGCTCCGAATGACGACTACAAACGTCAGGCTCCAGAATTTCCTGATTCCGATCCGTACGATCATCAATCGGACGGTTTCGGGAAAGACGAAGAGACTAGCCAGCACCACCGCTGCTCATGCTTGCTCGTATGCAGCCATGAATGCCTGGACTATCAGACAACTTGTGATTTTTATCGTAAGTGCTTCTATATCAGGACTAAGATTATCGAGGAGTGCTTGCTGGAATGCGAGGAAGGAACGCGCAGCGGATGATACACCAGACAGAAGGAAGTATGAAGATTGAATGACAAGACAAGACAGCCGGACGCAATTCCCCAGGTTCTATACCAGGACTAAGATTATCAAGGAGGAGTGCTTGCTGGAATGCGAGGAAGGAACGCGCAGACGATGATGCACACGGAATAGAGTATGACGGACAGGCTGACGGAATTCCCTAGGTTGATCGGACGGAAAGCATGAAATTGAATCTCTGGCATTGGGAAGGGAATATCCGAGCTGAGGTCGTCTCTCCAGCAAGTGTCAAGAGGGGCTAGTGTCATGACACCAACTCGAAAACACATGGAGGACTATCCCTCCTGGTGTCAGCTAAACCAACCAATGAGATCGCGGGAAATCGTCCAATGTGCCCAACATTGACACCAGGCTGGAGCCGCGCTCACACGCGGCTCCACTTGGTGTCAACCGTAAACAACGCTTGACACCAAGCCTTTCTTGACACTTGCTGGAGAGACGACCTGAAACGTAGCAGTCAAATTCCAGTCACCCCCGGTCACGGAACAATCTAGGAACAATACACCCAAGGAACCTAAACCAAAGGAACCGAATTCAAAACCAAATAAACCGAGCAGAAAAGACTTCACATCCCTTTGATGCGACATCACCCAAATGGTCCCCCACCCACGGATACGGTGACCGTGCCATCTGCTGCTGCTATGCCCAAAGGGCGGGTCATTCTCGTTCGTTTCAATGCGGCTCAATGAGATGTTTAACGTTTTACAGTGGTATAAATACTTTTAGAATGGTCGAAATGGGTATTAAGCAAAAATGAAATGAAAAAAAGTTTCCCCGATTCCCCGTGCCAAACCTTTTGGAACCGAGCATTTTCGGAAACCTACTCCCTGGCGGCTTCCTAGTTCTGGAGAGAGCCTCTGTGTGTAACATAAGGACGCGTCCCCTGAAGCGGATCGATCGGCTGGAAGATCGATTTTGCGCGTGGGGTGTAGAACTGTAGTGTCGTAATCAGCAAGGTAACTAGTCTCGCCAATGTTTACGAATGTACAGTAAACAAAGTTCCACCACCAATCGATGTAGCGAAGTGCACATATCGAGCGTGAGATTGCTTGGCGCGGTGTGGAATTTCGCGCCACGAGTGACAGTCAAAATCGATCTCCTTCGCTCGTCGTCGCATTGTTACTGCACGACGTCGCATACAGTGGATTTCCATGTGCGACTTTTACTCGCGACAACCTAGCTGTTGTCGCAGGTTGGATGTACCTCAATCCCGAAACCTGCCTTACCGAGCCTGTCACCTGTATATCGGTGCGCCGTAGTTGCGCAGTCCTGGGCACCGATCTCTACCGAGCCTAGGCTCGAAGTGACGATCGGTGCGGATCGGCCAATCTTCGGCCGATCCGCTTCAGGGGACGCGTCCTAACACCGTCGGCGCAATATTTCCTCGCGGCCCAAGTCTAACCCTATGTGACGTTCCTAATTGCACCCTTTTTTTCTAAAACTGGCACAGTATATGTGAGCTTGCCCTAGTTGCGTAATCTCGGACGAGGAGTCAGGCGGCATAATTTTGTCTGCAGCGATGATGACATACGAGGCAAGCCTATTCGTCTCATTTGGCTCTGGTTTCGTTCCGCGTTGCCGTCCCTCCGTTAGATTGCTGTCCTTCCGTCAGGTTGCTGTAGCTCCGTCAGGTTGTTTTCCGTCAGGTTGCTGTGTGACAGTGTAGGTGTGTCCCTTTCGTGTCATGTATGCATGCACCAGGGCGGGAGGAGCAGCGCAAGGGGGCGATAGGGGAGGCCCTGACGCATTTGGCGGTGCTCCCAGCCAGTGCTGTGCTCCTCTTGTGCTGCTTGCGGTGTGCTGCTTGCGGTGTGTCATTCTTGCTATGCACTTGGCATGGAAGGAGGAGCAGCGCAAGAGGGCGATAGGGGAGGCACTGACGCACACCTTGTTGCCGGCCAATCCAATCCAATCCAATTATGTGCTCAGACTGTGCTGCTCACGTTCTTTCTTGCTATGCACTTGCTGTGACTATGCTCGTATGGCAGGAGGAGCAGCGCAAGGGGGCGATAGTGGAGGCACTCACACACTTCTCGGTGCTCTCGGCCAATGCCATGGCGACAGGTGTCACCACCACGCGCATGCGCCTGCAGCTCATGAAAGTGCGTGCGCTATAGTCACATGTCTGCCTGCGTTATGGTCACATCCCTGCCTGCGTTATTGTCACACCTCTGGTATCTCAATGACCTCATTTATGTCCACATCGCACTCACCTTGTCACACTCACCTCATCCCTTCCTCTCCATTCCGCTCCCCTCCACTCCCCTCTCCCTCCCTCCACTTTCTCCCGCCCCTGTTCTCCTCACCACCAGAAGTACTCAGAATTGTGGGACTTCTGGTTGACAGAGGAGGATGTAAACCCATCAGCGCCTTTTTCCACCTCTTCCCACCTCATTCTGCCCTTTTCCCTCTCGTCTCCCCCCTTCCCCTCCCCCTCCCCGTCTTCTCTCTCCCCACCACCAGAAATACTCAGAAGTGCAGGACTTTTGGTTGACAGAGGAGGATGTGAACCCATCAGCACCGCCTACAATCCATCCCGACCTGCTTCATTACATCGTCACACACGATCCCCGCCTCTCCCCCTCCCCCTCCACCCGCCCCTCCACCTCCTCCCCCCCCAACGCCTCCTCCCCGCCCCTCTCCCCCTCCTCCTCCGCCTCCCCCCCCAACACTCCCCCCCCTCGCTCCCTCACTCACTCTCGCTCGCTGGCGGATGGGCGGACAAGGGGGAGGATGGAGGGAGAGGAGGGAGAAGTGGAAGGAGGAAGGGAAGAGGAGGAGGGAGGAAATGGAGGGGAGGAGGGAGGAGGAGAAGGGGAGGGGGATGTTGATGAGGGATTATCAGTGGTATCGGATATGGAAATAGATGGGATGGTAGTCGAGGGGGGAGAGGAGGGGGATGGGGAGGGTGGAAGGTTGGGGGGAAGGGAGGATGAAAATGAGGAGGAAGAGGAGGCGATGGGATGGGGAGGTACAATCAGGCGATCACGGTCAAACCCGCTCATTTGAAGATCTTATCTCCCTTCAAGCAAGGGGCCTACGCCTACGATAAGGGGAGGCGATGGGGTGGGGAGGTACAATCAGGCGATCACGGTCAAACCCGCTCCTTTGAAGTTCCCGCAAGCAGTCTTACACGGGGAGGGGTTACGGGGAGGAAGAGGAGGAGGAGGACGAGGAGGCGATGGGGTGGGGAGGTACAATCAGGTGATCACGATTGAACCCTCTCCTTTGAAGTTCTTTCTTCTCCTAGCTTCCTCTTCTGTGCTCTTACAGCGAAGGGCCTACACCTACTCGTACATCAGGCGATGGGGTGGGTGGGGCGGTGCAATCAGGCGATGGGGTGGGTGGGGCGGTGCAATCAGGCGATGGGGTGGGTGGGGCGGTGCAATCAGGCGATGGGGTGGGTGGGGCGGTGCAATCAGGCGAGGGGCGGTGCAATCAGGCGAGGGGCGGTGCAATCAGGCGTTGGGGTGGGTGGGGTGGTGCAATCAGGCAAGGGGTGGGTGGGGCGGTGCAATCAGGCAATCTCGGTCAAACCCGCTCCCTCGAAGTCCAACTTTCTTCCCTTCAGGCCTCTAGGTTTGAGGTGCCTCGGGAATAAGAGGAAGAGAAGGGGATGGGGTCGGATGGTACGGTACCATCAGGCGACGCGATCAAGGCCAGGCGACGCGATCAAGGCCAGGCGACGTGATCAAGGCCAGGCGACGCGATCAAGGCCAGGCGACGCGATCAAGACCAGGCGACGCGATCAAGGCTACTTTTGAGGCGCCTCAAAAGCCGGATGGTACCATCAGGCGAGGCGATCAAGGCCAGGCCCACTCTTTTAACAACTTCTTTCTCGTTAAGTTTGCTCTTCCCCATGAGTGAGGAGAGGAGGATCCCTGGGGGGGGGCTCATTTCGTTTTAGATCAGGAAAGGAGATCACGGACGGGCAAATTTGCCTCTTTGAGTTTCTTTCTACCACCGCTTGTAGTTGGAAACTGCCCTCTATTTCAGTCTTGTAACAATGGGTCTACACCTGCACCTTCTTTAGCTTAGCTGCTGTTGAGGACGTCTGCTTTTCACAGAGCTAAAGGATGAATATCCAAAACCGCTGGTACTATATTCAGAACAAAAATAATATATGCAGCACATACCCACAAGGCGAGACCCCCCCTAACTCTTTTGGCTCATGCTGTCCTCCACAGGACGGAATTGCATAGCAGGCTAGCTGATAGCTGCAGCATGGCAATACAAAAAAAGCTATACAAAACACTACATACAAATAGGATACACAAGTTAAATAAATCATAACTTGTACATAGCAGAAACCAGCGGGCCTGGTGCTGGCCAATCACATGCAGCCGTGCGTCAGCGAGACCAGGAACACAGAGAGCTGTTTCTGTACAGAAAGTGCAGCAAGGGTTAAGGAATAAAATTATTCGACTGCAGCAGTCACAGCACATGCTACCAGCACATGCAGCCACAGCACATGCAGCAGTCACATCACATGCAAACAGATCACATACAGCGACATCATATGCAACAGTCACACCACATCACATGCAGCCGTCACATCACATGCAATCACATTCACATCATATGCAGTAGTCACATCACTTGGAGTCACGTCACATACAGTCACATCACCTGCAGTCACATCACCTGCAGTCATATCACCTGCAGTCACATCACCTGCAGTCACATCACCTGCAGTCACATCACATACAGCCAAGCCAACCACCTGCCAGACCAGGCAGCTTAGCAGTCAAATGGGAGGAGAACGAGGACTAAAATGGGTGGGGACCAATGAGGGACGAAGGGGGGAAAGTAGAGGTCAGGGCCAAGGGGGATGAGGGGTGGATAGGTCGTGGGAGGGGGTTCAGGGAGATGATGGGTGATGGGGGGGGAGAGGGGGGAGGGGGGAGGGGGGAGGGGGGAGGGGGGAGGGGGAGGATCGGGAAGAGGAGGGAGTCAAGAGGTGAACGGGTGATGAGGGTGATGAGGGGGGGGGGGGGGGGGAGAGGGGGGAGGGGGGAGGCGGAGAGGGGGGAGGGGGGAGGGGGGGGATCGAGAAGATGAGGGAGTCAAGAGGTGGATGGGAGGGAGACAAGGCGTGAGCAGGGACGAAGTTCAGGTATGGGTGAAGGGAGGAGACAAAGAGTGAGTCGGAAAAAGGGGAAGCAGGAAGGTGGGGGAAAGAGGGGGAACGAGGGGTGAGTGAGTGGTGGGAGATGAGGGTGGGCGTGAAGGAAGGAACAAGAGAGCGCGGCAATGATATGAAGGGGGTGCTGAGGGGGAGAAGGGAGAGAGGGGGGAATGAGGGGAGAGCGGAGAAGATGAGAGAAGAGCGGGAAAGATGAGGGGAGGGCGGGGAGGATGAGCGGAAAGCGGGGAAGATGAGGGGAGGGCGGGGAGGATGAGCGGAAAGCGGGGAAGATGAGGGGAGGGCGGGGAGGATGAGCGGAAAGCGGGGAAGACGAGGGGAGGGGCGGGAGGATGAGCGGAGAGCGGGGAAGGTGAGGGGAGGGCGGGGAAGGTGAGGAGAGAGCTGGGAAGCGGAGAGATGAATGACGTTACTAGGCTAGGTCATGGGGTGAAGAGGGAGAGAAGGGGAAGCGGGGAAATGGGGAGGGAAAAGGGGAAAATTAGGGGAAAATGGCGGTTTCACCTGTTATCTTTCGCGGATCCTCTCCGTCCTCAAAAAAAACATTCACCGCCCATTCTCCCGTTTCTCCCCGCCACTCACCTCCTGCCCTCCTTATTTACGTCTTCCATCCGGCTACCGTCGACGCGCTCTCTAATCGACGATACGCGCAGCGTTACTAATGCGTTAAAAGTGACGCGACCAAATCGTCCGCGTACAAATGATACTACTCCGCCCGGTATCCGCAAGTGAGAAAAACGTCAGATCTGGAGGCGTGCAACCGAACGCGGTGGGGCGACAACTGAAATGTCGGGTATCCAGATCTGATTCTGCTAGCACGCTACCAAACGCGTGAAGCGACGAACACTAAGAACGACGATTAGAGTGTGCCACAACAAGAAACACGATGCCCTTACGCTCCACTTCGACTACCGCGCTAAGATCTGGTAAACAAGACAAGAATCAAGAAACAGCTATCTAACAAGACGAGAGGCGAAACTACCACTGATAGTGTGTCAAGCCTCGAGCGATTACATCTGGAGAATGACGGGTGAGAGAGAGGGGGTTAGGTGTGGCAGGTTCGGCAACTCGAGGTTCGGATTGTTGATAATGCCCTGGTCCATTTCTATTGGCTCACGTGAATCTCATTTCATCCAACCATTGTATTTCCAGCTGCCCGAGTCAGCTGAACTTTTCCGCGCCACTCACGTTTCCCATAGTAACTAAACGAAAGCCGTCCCGCACCTCACGCAACACTCACACGCGTTCGCACATAAAAACTCATGACCCAACCAAAAAAAGCGCCACGTCAACCATCTCCTAGAAGTTCGAGCCTGCCCTTGCTGTTGCGCATCACCAATTTCCCCAGCCCGAAATACGCGTCCTTGGCAAACGCGTTTGCATACGAGCAAGTCAAACCAATCTGCAATTTCAAACCCAAATGTGTAAATTGAATGTACTGTACAATCTGGGCTGGCCTGGTTGGATAAGGTGGGCCCACCTCAAAATGTTCCCCACGCGCCGCCCGACGAATGTCCCCTGCCGCAATCTCGACGCAGCATTTTATTGGCCGATGACACAAGCTACCACACCTCTTCACCGTTTCGGTCAGCTGCACCACCACCATCCATCCATTCAAATCACACTGCACTCGCACCGCGCTGCCAGCCTGGTGTCAGGATCCAGGAATTCCCTCCCACACATTTAGACCACACCAGCGTCGCGCCCCGTCTCACCGCACTGCACCTAGGTAAATGCTGTTTCGTATCACTGCAACCTGCATTCACCTATCACTTTTGGGTTGAAGTGAAGAGCCGCTAAGACGAACCGCGAGCGCCGCTGTTCAGAATGGCTGCACTGAATTATTTCATCCACTGATCAACGCTTTTCCTTCTGCTTGCACCTCTCTCGAGCTTCATCCGCTCCATATAATCTAGCAATGTTGCCTTTGTATCGTTCTTTTCCTTTCTTTTCAAACTCTTGGAAGGATTGTCAAAGAGCTCCAATGTAATGAGCACCTGAAGCTACCTGAAGTACACGGTGAAGCTCGAAGCACGAGGCGGCGTTGAGTTAGGGGTTGGGGTGGGTTGGGTAGGTGTCGTGAGGAGCGAGCTGCCAAGTGTTTCAAGCCGAACCGTGTGCTGACGGATTCTCGCGGCAACATATCACCGCGACAAGATAGTAATCTCCACTGCAAGATCTACGTTCCGCGAGATCATCTCCACAAGAGCAGAAAGATCTTCAAGCGGTTCAAGCGGAAAGAGCTTCAGGCTGGTGGTGCGACATCCCCGTCACCGCTGGTGATGCGCCATCCCGTCACCGCTAGTCGTGCGACATCCCTTCACCGCTGGTCGTGCGACATCTCGTCACCGATGGTCGTGCGAAATCCCGTAACCGCCGGTCGTGCGACATCCCGTCACCGCTGGTGGTGCGAAATCCCGTAACCGCTGCCATTCAAGTCATCACCACATCCCGAGTTGAAGACGGTCGAGTGAAGGTAAGAGCAGTTTTACTCAACATCCCGAATTGTGCAACATCGTTCAAGTTTTTTCTGCAGTTCCTTCACTGTTTGACGATTTTCTGAGAAGTCCTAACTTGTTCCTTTTTTTCCTGCAGATCATCTTGCCGCTGTTCATCTCGGAGGATCTGAAGCTTAAGTCAAGCTCGCGGTAGGCGCTTCAATCACGGGACGGCGCTTCAAAACCCAAGCCAAGCCGGAAGCCCAAGTGTCCCCTGGCGCCACTTCCGAAAGCCATGCTGAGTCAAGATGCTTCCTGGAGCGGCCCCTCCCGTCGCTTGTCAAGATCCGGCACGGCTCGCCAACTGTCGTCACGGATCCTGCACGGCTCGCTTCGACCGTCGCCACGGTATCATTGTGAATCATTGCGTTTCCAAGCTTGGCTTTGAGTTAACTTTCGTTCTTCTTCTCACTTGTCCAAGTTTCGTTCTTCTTCTCTAAGAACTAATATTTTGTTGCCTTCTCTTTCCAGACCCAAGTCAAGACGGACGAGGAAAGGAGCTTCGAGCGTCGTTATCGTCCGATCTCCGGTCGGGTCGCATTCAAGCCAAAGTCCATATCTTCGGACGGGTCGCGTTCAAGCCCAATTCAAGATCTCCGGATGGGTCATGAGAGGCGTTCCTCCGCCGTTTGCGCTTTGAGCTAAGAAAACCTGAAAGGCCGGACCTTATGGGTCAGAGTCGCGTCGTCAACTGTTGTTGCCTCGCCAACTGTCGTCGCCAACTGGTTTGCCGACCGTCGCCTCGCCGGCCGTTGCCAATGGGTTGAAGTACGTAATCACTGGCTCTATTACCTCCAATGGACTTTGATTTAACTTCACTTCTCCTCGTCGCTTGTCTACGTTTAGCTCTCACTAACTAATATGTCTTTTTTATTTCAGATCTCGGCGAACAACTTGCCTTCTTGAAGTTGCTCAAGTTGCGAAGACGGCCTCTCCCGTTGCTGCCGTCTTCACCTGACGGGACGGCCTATCCCGTTGCTACCGTCTTCACCTGACAGGACGGCCTCTCCCGTTGCTACCGTCTTCACCTGACGGGACGGTCTCTCCCGTCGCTGCCGTCTTCGCCTGACGGGACGGCCTCTCCCGTCGCTGCCGTCTTCGCCTGACGGCCTCTCCCGTCGCTGCCGACTTCAGCTGATGGCCTCTGCCGTCGCTGCCGTCTTCACCTGACGGCCTCTCCCGTCGCTGCCGCTCCGCCAAGACGGAAGAGTCTGTCACCTCCGCCAAGCCAGGAGGAGCCTGTCAAGAGGAAGAGGTAAGCGCAGTCCCTTTCAGCCGTTTTCAATGAGATCATTTTGCCTATTATTTTCCTTCGTATCTTATATTTTGGAGTACTGATCTCTTGCCGTCTCCTGCAGACGTGAAAACGACGACCGTCGCAAGTGACCGCCGCAGCGACGAGACGATCCGCCGAGACGATCCGCCGAGACGATTCGCCGAGACGATCCGCCGAGACGATCGCAGCGACGATCGCAGCGACGCTTCGCTCCGGTTGAGGTAACGTGACCTTGAGGTTGTATTGGCGGTTGCGCTTCGCTTCGTTTCGTGTTACTTTCTCTCTTTTCTGGATTCTTGACGGATTCGTGTTCTTTCTTCCTGCAGAACCTGACCGTCCGCCGGCGACGCACCGCGACTCACGGGCGGTGGACATGCATGGCGACGCGTGGCGACGCGTGGCGACTCACGGCGACGTATGGTCGAAGGGAGATGCTTCTTCGGGCTCGTCTAACCGTGCACGGCGCATCGGAGGCCCTTGGCGACGCTTCGACCGTCGCTTCCCAGCTGCGACCGTCGCTTACCAGCTGCGACCGTCGCTTACCAGCTGCGCCTCGCTGCGGTTGAGGTAACGTGACCTTGAGCGCCTCGCTTTTCGACTTGCATTGGCGGTTACGCTGGTTACGCTTCGGTTTCGTGTCTATACTTCCTCCTTTACTGATTCTCGTGTTCCTTCTTACTGCAGAACCTGACCGTCTGCCAGCGACGCACCTTGACGCCCGGCCGCGGATCACGGATGGTGACGCGTGGTGGCGTAAGGCAAAGGGCGACGCTTCTTCGGGCTCTTCTTGAGAACCTGACCGTCCGCCGGCGACGCACCGCGACTCACGGATGGTGGAAGCATTGCGAAGCGCGGCGAAGCGCGGCGACGAATGGCGACGCGTGGCGACACGTGGCGACTCATGGCGACGTATGGTCGAAGGGCGACGCTTCTTCGGGCTCGCCTAACCGTGCACGGGGCATCGGCGGCCCTTGGCGACGCTTCGACCGTCGCTTACCAGCTGCGCCTCGCTGCGGTTGAGGTAGCAGCTCGTTCGACCGTCGCTTACCTGCTGTTTCCGGCCTTGGCGGCTTACGTGTTGAAGGTTTACGTTCATTGGCGGTTGCTAATGCTGTTGGTTTCTTCCTGCAGAGGTTCCTGATCGCGGCGCACGGCGCACGGACGCATTTCTCGCAGGCGGACGGCGCGTTTAGCGGGCGGACGGCGCGTTTCGCGGGCGGACAGCGCGTTTCGCGGGCGGACAGCGCGTTTTGCGGCCGGACAGCGCGTTTCGCGGGCGGACAACGAGTCTTGCGGGCGGACGGCGCGTTTCACGGGCCGATAGCGCGACTCGTGGGCGGGCGGCGCGTCTCGCTGGCGCTTGGTCGTTTTTTCTCGCTTTTTTTTTTCGTTTGCTTCGTTTTCCTCGTTGTTTTCCTTGTTTTTTTCTCGTTTGTTTCCCTCTGCCGTGGTATCATGAAGGGTTGCAACGCCTTGTGAGCAGGAGCAAAAAGACAGGCGGACGACGCGTCTCACGGGCAGACGGCGCGTCTCACTGGCGGACGGCGCATCTCACGAACGGATGGCGCGTCTCACGGGCGGATGGCGCGTCTCCCGGGCGGATGGCGCGTCTCACGGGTGCTTGGGCGTATTTTCTCGTTTTTTTTTTCGTTTGCTTCGTTTTCCTCGTTTTTTCTCGCTTTTTTCTCGTTTGTTTCCCTCTGCCGTGGTATCATGAAGGGTTGCAACGCCATGTGAGCAGATTAAGCAAGAAGAAGGCTTCACACGAGGAGCCTGCGGGGTTGTGCGAGCGGGGTTGGGGCAGGGCGGCAGCGGAGAGGGAGGGTAGCCCCAGCCCGATCTCTCCGCTCCCCCTCCCGCTCCACTGCCCCTTCCGGCACTGCACCGACTCCCGGCACTGCACCCACTTCCGGCACTGCACTGCACTGCACTGCACGGCACGGCACGGCAATGTCACTCACGTGGTACATAGTCGCTTCCAGTTTCATGCTTTTGTTTTCTTCACGGTTCTAACTTCCTCTTGTGTGCTCTAGTCTTAGTGCAGCCATCAGCATTGAGAGTGGGAGCGCCAACGACGGACAGGAACCTTGGTAAGTCACGTTTTCAGTTTCCTTCCATTTTTTTACCAATATTCTAACTTTTTTTTTTCGGTGTGTGCTCTCTCTCTTAGCGCAGGCCTGCGGAGCAGCAGTTGCGGGAGCTGACGGCGCTGGCTGCAACGACTCCTTCGCGCTGGTACGCCGTCAGTTCCTGTTCCTTGTGTAATTATATTCCATGTTCTAACTACTTGTTTTGTCCTCTGCTTTAGTGCAGCTCGCGGCGTGGCAGCAGGAGCTGATGCCGCTGGCTGCAACGACTCACCCACGCGTGGTACGCTGTCAGTTCCGGTTTCCTTGTTTTTTTTTTTCCAGATCTAATGTCTTGCTTTGTTCTCTGTTTTAGTGCGGCTCGCGGCGTGGGAGCTGGAGCTGATGGCGCTGGCTGCAACGACTCATCCACGTGGTACGCTGTCAGTTCCGCTTTCCTTGTATTTTATTTCCTGGATTCCAACTAGTTGTTTTGTGCTCTGTGTCAGTTGGAGAGGACAACGGCGGGAGAGCGGGAGCCAACGGCGGGGACGACACGACGGCGCTGGCGGGGACAACGGCGCTGGCGGGGACAACAGCGCTGGGGGGGAAACGGCGCTGGCGGGGACAACAGTGCTGGCGGGGACAACGGCGCTGGCGGGGACGACGGCGCTGGCGGCTAGGAGCTTGGAGGAGGAGGTTTCATCCTCACCCCCCCTCCCCTCCCTCCCCATCCCCCTCCCCTATCGCAGATTCGGTTTGGATGGGTTTGGGTGGGTGTAGTTAGGCCGCGCGCGCGGGGGTGGGGTTGGTTGGGGTCAGGTAATTTGGTACAGGTGCGTTTTCCGCGCCTCTTCGGGCAACTCTTCTGACAACCTGGCATCTCTTCAACCGAGGAGCTGAGGTGTTTCCCGCCGCTACAGTAATAATTTTAACCTTCCCCTTCCTTTTTGAAAATTTCATCTGTTTCTCCCCTCTCCCAAACAGATCCCGCACGAATGACCTCCACCTCAACGCGGTGTGCGGGTGTAACGCTAGAGGCAAATGCCTCTAGCGGCCAAGAGGGGTCATGAAGACTCAAGAAAGCAAGACTCTCAAGACCCAAGCTGAAGCCTCAAGCTCAAGAAGAACCAAGCTGCTGTGGATGGCGCGACTGAAGCAGTTTAGCAGCTTTGCATACTAGTTAGTTAGTATTCTATTATGCCTTGTATTTTCGCAGCTTAATAGACTCTATAAGTTAGCTTTACGAGCAGTTGGCCTTATTAGTAGACTCTATCAGTTGTATGTTTCTGTACTGATTCAAATCTGGTTCTCCACACTTCGATGAAAATGAACGAGATGAGACTTCTGCTAGTCTACTGACTATCTAATCTCATAGTTGCCGTGAAAACGCACGCCTCGGATCTCTAGTCGTGTGTTTTTAAGAAAGGATCCATGTCGTCGCGCGTTGTCGCGTCGCACTTCATCTCATCGCACTTAGTCGTTCGTCGCGCGTAGTCTCATCGCATTTCGACCCGTCTCGCTCCGCGTTTCTGTCGCTCCTTCAGGTTTTTGTAGCTCCGTCAGGTTGTTACTCTGTGCGATGTCGCTCTGTGCGATGTCGCTCTGTGCGATGTCGCTCTGTGCGATGTCGCTTTGTGTGATGTCGCTTTGTGTGATGTCGCTCTGTGCTATGTCGCTCTGTGCGATGTCGCTTTGTGTGATGTCGCTTTGTGTGATGCCGCTCTGTGCGATGTCGCTCTGTGCGATGTCGCTTTGTGTGATGTCGCTTTGTGTGATGTCACTCTCTGCTATTTCGCTCTGTGCTATGTCGCTCTGTGCGATGTCGCTCTGTGCGATGTCGCTCTGATTTCGCTCCGCGTTTCTGTCGCTCCGTGAGGTTTGCTGTAGCTCCGTCAGCTTGCCGCTCTCTCAAAGCTTTGCTGGCGCCGTTGTGTTGCTTATGTGTGCTCGTGTGCCATGCGACGCGCATGCCTGCATGTGGCATGCTTTTGGTTGTGGTATGTGGTGCGCCATTATTTCGTCAGGCGAAGCGTCAGGCGAAGCGGGGACGATTGGCCAGGCGTCATTATCTCGTCTGCAGCGATGATGACATACGAGGCAAGAAAGCTTGTCTTATCTGGCTCTGGTTTCGTTCCGCGTTTCTGTCGCTCCGTCAGGTTACTGTAGCTCCGTCAGGTACTGTAGCTCCGTCAAGGTACTGTAGCTCCGTCAGGTTACTGCAGCTCCGTCAGGTTGCTGCAGCTCCGTCAGGTTGCTGCAGCTGCGTCAGGTTGCTGCAGGTCCGTCAGGTTACTGCAGCTCCGTCAGGTTGCTACCACGTCGTCAATGCTGTGGTCGCGCTGTGCTGCTCATGTGCTCCTTCCTGCTATGCGCTTGGTATGTGCCATGCTTGTGATGTGCCATGCATGCATGCATGCATGCGCCCATGGCAGGAGGAGCAGCGCAAGGGGGCGATAGGGGAGGCCCTGACGCATTTGTCGGTGCTCTTAGCCAATGCTGTGCTCCTCTTGTGCTGCTTGCGGTGTGCTGTTTCCGGTGTGTATTTCTTGGTATACACGTGGGATGGCACGAGGCACTGACGCACTTCGCAGTGCTCTCGGCCAATGCCATGGCGACAGGTGTCACCACGACACGCTGCGCCTGCACCTCATGAAGGTCCGTGCCCTATAGTTACATGTCTGCCTGCGTTATCGTCATACTTCCCGGCAGCTCTGATGTGACCTCCCTGCCCTGTGTTAATTTAGTTTCACTGCATGCCTGCGTTGTTGTCACATCCCTGCATTGCATTGTCACGCACGACCCCCGCCTCTCCTCCTCGCCTTCGTTGTTGTCACATCCCTGCCTGCTTCTCCATTCACCCCGCCCGACCTGCACTGCCTGCGTTGTTGTCACTGCGTTGTTGCTGTCACCCCGACCTTCTTCACTACATCGTCACGCACGACACCCGTAGTGAAGGAGGTCGGGGAAGGGCACGACACCCGTAGTGAAGGAGGTCGGGGAAGGGCACGACACCCGCCTCTCCTCCTCGCCTCTCGATTCAACTTCCCCTCCTTCCTCTTCCCCCTCGCTTTCCCCCCGTTTTCTCCCCCCCGGTCCTGTTCCCCCTCTGCCACCAGACGTATTCATAAGTTCGGGACTTCTGGTTGACTGAGGGGGATGTGAACCTATCCGCACCGCCCACCATCTATCCCGACCTGCTTCACTACATTGTCCCCGCCTCTCCCCCTCCCTTCCCCCCCAACCCCTCCTCCTCCTCCTCCCCCCCTAACACTCCCCACCTCACTCCCTCACTATCGCTCGCTGGCGGTTGGGCGGACAAGGGGGAGGATGGGGGGAGAGGAGGGGGAAGTGGAAGGGGAGGGAGGAAAGGAAGAGGAGAAGGGAGGAGGGAAACGGGAGGAGGGAGGGAGTGCTCCCCTTCTCTGCATTTCCGAATATCACATGAGGCACCGGGAGCGAGGGAGTGCTCCCCTTTGGCTGTCACATATACACACACCCCTCTCCACCCCTCGCCACCCCACCAACCTCTATCCATCCCCTTGTCACCAACCTCTCCCCTTGTCTGTTCCTCAGCTGGTGGACGATATGGGACCCGCATGTAGTCAGCAAACTCGGACTGTGGATTTGCTGCGGGAGTGTGCAGATGAACTGTGGGTTGCAGCGGTTAAACCGATCCTGGAGTTGACTTCAACTCGACCGGGACGTGTGCTGGGTGTTGCAGCGGTGAAACCCGTCGTCAAGAAAGCTTGAATCGACCTGGTGAGCACAAGGCGAGTTACAGCCATGAAGCGGAGGGACGGACACGAGGAGCGCAACTGCCTCGACAATGCCGGCTCGAAGGTGAGAGAAAGGGGTGTGTGCCTTGCTTCTATGGAAATACACTGCAGCCTTGAAGAGTGTTATTGGCGGTGACGAAACCCGATGGGACGGACTGGGAGTCACTTGTGAGAATTCTCAAAACGGGGAAAAGGCTCTGGCTGGATGGGTGAGGCTGTCTGAGCGTGACAGGGGCATTGCGGCGTGGCGGCAGCTGCTGCGGGCTTTGCTCGATGGGCGCACGGAAATCATCGAGTGCGTCGAGAGTGGGAAATGGGAGTGCTTTATCCCTCAAGCCCGCATGCCCTTGTCAGTTTCTTTTTTCTCGCCTCACCTCTCTCTCGTCTCTGATCGAAGAGCTGCTAACGCAGGGCGGAAGTAGCATTGGAGAGTTGCTTGGAGCGGGCCCCAGGCAAGGAGTAATCTCTCTCGGTCGGGTCAATGAGAGAGATTCCTGAAACTCAAATTCAGATTTCTGAGTTCCACCAGAAGTGCGAGCAGGTGATATGTACTGAATAAAAGTATGTAGCATAACTTGTCAACCCCTTCAAATGCAGCAGAACAGATGTGTTACAGTAACCATCTCGCCTCTATTCCCATCATAAAATTCGACACTCATGCTGGACTGAACATTGTGGGCACACGAAGTTTACATAACTGCATCTCTTCCACCTCATATCAAATTTAAAGTCATCCTCATTAGCTCATCAAATATTTTCCTCTCATTCCTGCTTCAACTCCTCATCCATTCTGTCCTCTATTGCTCTGGCTGACGAGCCACTATGAGCGAATGGAGCTCTCATGGATACATCATCTTCCCAGAATCATTCGCCTGATGAAACGCGGGGCATGTGATTTGGGCCAGCAACTTCACCAACACCCACAATAGATGATGCGAATTTCACAAATTTGGCAGAGTTTGCCAATATTCAATTCGGATGAATCTCAATATTTGGTAAATTTGCAGACATGAAACTCATGCAAGTGCTCATGCAATATGTGGAAGATATATGGTAGAAGCAATTAACACTTAAGGTGTATTGATTTATGTGAGCCCACGAAGCAGGCTACCATGCCGTCATACAATTATATCGTACGACATTGGGGTCGAATACTTAGGGCGCGTAACCTTTCACCTTTAAAACCGTCCGAACAGCATGCAAATTTCGTCAAAACCCGCATGATCTGCAATTCGATAACGAGCTTGGACGGTCGGGACCGTGAGCGGGATACCCTTTTCGCACACGGTCTGGACGGAAAAAGTTACGCGCCCTTAGGGGCATATGGGATTAGGGTGGGGCGCTTGATTTTTCCCCTCAACATAGCACAACCTCCCCGCACTGTGTTCCACCGAACCACCCCTCCCCGTGGACGTCGGTGGTGAGTGACCCTGCTCGCGATGCCGTGCATCAACGGTTCTCCCTCCTCAGTTCCCAAATTCAAACCCCCCCTGACCAGTTCCTGCCATGCACCGTTTTCATGATAGGATTTGGTGTGAGAGAAAAATACTAGTCCTTGAGGAAATGCGCTATATTATATATATGGTTCTTCTCTTCGAAACGGGTTGAGACTTTCTTGTTCTTCTTATTTTTGCGCGCGGGCAATAGGAAAAGTTTCCGGCACTACAGAACCAAGGTGCACCGCCGAAATTGTGTTTCAGCGCGCCTTGACGTGTGGGAACGAAACTGCCAAATGAAACGCGTTATTTCCCGCTTACCTCGTGGCCTGACGAGTCACACACACACCAGAGCAGAGCAGGAACCGTTGACTGTACTTGTTTCAACAACTCCTCCGCACAACTGGCCGGGCCGGGGCATCCAAACAGCCACCTCGTCCGCGCCACATCATGCGCACCCCGCGTCCGTCGGTTCCGCGATGTCAAGATAGCTGGTTTTGACCCGCGCACCTCCCGCCGTGTAAATCCGCTCGTCCTCCCCATTTTCCAAACGTGCACCCGGCCCAGAACCCGAACCTGTGGACAAACCTTGCCATCCGAAGCAAGCTTCCGCCTTACCTGACTTTTCCCCTTCCCCCTTGGCCTCTACACTGCGCAAGCGGGGGAGGCAGCAGGGGAATTCCTATCCGCAACACCCCTCAGCCTCCCGCCAAATCTGCTCCGGAAATTAAAACACAAACCCCAGCTGTGGAACATTCTGCTGTCGGGATGACGAACCTCGACTCAACACTCCCAAGCTTGTCGGTAGTCTAGGCTTGGAATCTCATTGCTGTACATACCTCAAGACAGTCGATACCCTTGGGAATCCCAAGTCGGGAATACTCCAGCTAACGCGGTGACTCGCATGCTCGCAGCACCCATTATCTACGTTCTCATATCACAAGGAACCTAGAAGCTCGCGCAAGACCAGCGAGCTAGGCGAGATAAGAGCCAGACAACACTTGATGACGGACGCAGTACCTTATCTACTCGTAGATTTGTCAGACCTCAGCGTTAGTTATTAAGTTGCTGTCGTAGTAGAACCCGTCTAGGTCGCGCATTCCTGGTACAAACTGCTGCGTTTCCAAGTATTCGGCCTCCGTCTATATTGGTCCGTTGACACACCCAACAGGATTGAAAAGAGTTTTCCCAGCAGCGGGGAAGGCGGAGCTTCTTAGAGCAGGTAAATGGCCAAGAAGGGCATGTATTTGCCTGCAGTGTGCTTCTCCTTCGTCCCGCATAACGTCGCTAGGCCAGCTCAAGCCTCTGCCAGCGCTTCTCGGCATGTTTACCATTTCTATGTCATTTTCAAAGCTAAAGCTTTTCCGTTCCCAGGCGCCTCGAATCCATACTATGTTTCTCTTTGGAGACCTAAAAGTTGCGAATTCGCTTAGTATTTCAAGCTTTTCGCAGCAGCAGCGCACTCATAGCACGTCCATTTGTTTAATATGTTACGGGCAGGGCAACCGTAATGGCCAAGTTGCTTGCTGGTCGCGAGGCTGAAGCACCGAGCCTTAGACATCGGATGTCTCAACTTCTTCCTTTCCATCCCTCTCGTTTCTCTCTCACTGAACGCTGAGTGCACTTCTCGTGTATGCTAAATGGGTGCTAGCAAACACAGGCTTATTCTTCTCTTCGCCTTCTTACCCCTCCGTCCCGTTTCCGCATTTTTCCTTGCTCTTTCGTCGCCGTATCATTACCCCTTCCTGCCCGTCACTAGGTTGACTAGCAGCCGCCAGCCTGTGCGTTTCGCCAGCACCAATGAAACCACGGCTGGAGCAGCGGCAGCCGGAGCTGCAGCCTCGGAGGCATACCTACTCGTCCTCTTCGTGCCCCTCCGCCTCCGCCTCCTCTTCCTCCTCATCTTCGCCCCATCCCTCCGAAGCGCGAATGGGGTTCTCATCCGCGTTATTAGCGCGTTCAGTGCATCAACAAAAAGCAGAGAGGGGAAACAGCCAGTGTAGGTTGGCAGCAGCGCAGCGGCAAGGAGAGTCGCACGAGCGCCTTCAGGAGCAAGGGCAGGAGCGGGGCTCGCAACGAGAGCCCGTGCGACGGCAAGCGTGGGCGGGCTGGCGACGATTCCAACAGTCGTCATCGTCGTCGCCAGCGTCGTCGTCGTCGCGGCCGTTCGCACTCCTGATTTCTCTTGTTGTGGTCGTTGCGTTGCTACATCGAGCGCCCGTGGTCGAATCCGCCGTCTCCGCGCATGGTGAGTTATGGTGGCTTTTGCGTCGACTCGCAAGTCGCCTTGTTTGTGGTCGTTGCGCTGCTACATTGAGCGCGCCCGTGTTCGAATCCCCCGTTTCCGCGCATGGTGAGTCGAGTCCCGGAGGGATGACGGAGAGGGGGCAGTCAGGAACCGAGGAGAGTGAGTTCGAGTTGATAACCTTGAAGTTGCCGGCCTCCTGTAGCTGACTCTGTGGTTGAACCTGTTGTTCCCCCCTGCTATTCACCATGCCGCTTCCCCGCCCCTGCCTACAGATTCATCCTACGAGGTGCAGAAGCTGCTCTCGCTAAAAGGCGTGTTCTCTTAGTACGAGCCGTCCTCGAGCGTAGAGGGCGGGGACCCATGGAATCAAACATCCCCCCCATCCCCCCACCCCTTCCCCGCCCCCGCCTGCCATTTCAGCCTACGAGGTGCAGAAGCTGCTAGCTCTGAAAGACGCGTTCTCTCAGTACGCGCCAGCAGCGCTGCCGTCCTGGAGCGTGGAGGGCGGAGACCCGTGCAAGAGCCAGTGGAAGGAGGGGAAAATCGCGTGCAACAACGCCGGACGCGTTATCAGACTGTAAGTGAGGGATGCTGTAACGGGGATGCATTGGAAGGAGGTTGTAAAAGGTAACTCTGGGCAGTTTGACAGAAGCAGGCATATAGTTTCTTAGATGACTCTAATCCCCCTCCTCTGTCTGTTCTCTCTCCATACTCTGTTCCCGCTTGTGCCGCAGAAACCTGTCAAATCAGAACCTCAAGGGACCGCTGCCAGGCCAGGAGCTAGCCAAGTTGGTGGCGCTGAGAAGACTGTAAGTCTCTCCCTTTTCTTCTCAACTTCTTACTCATCAGCGCCTGCAGAATGTAAGTCTCCCCCCCCTTTTCTCGCCATAAAACTGAAATGAGAACCTCAAGGGACCGCTGCCAGGCCAGGAGCTGGCCAAGTTGGTGGCGCTGAGAAGACTGTAAGTGCCTTCCCCGCTACTCCCATTCGCACCCACTCACCCCCTCTCCCTCAGCACCCACAATGACCCTCTCATTCTCTCCCCCCTCCTTCCCCCTCTTCCCCCCCACCTATTCGGCCAATTCCTCCTTGTCCTTACACACACGCCCGCTCACCCGCATGTGCCTCCTCCGGCCTCCCCACCCCCCTCCATGCACATACACACAGGGACCTCGGTTTCAACAACTTCACGGGGGAGATTCCAATTGAGCTCGCTGACCTCGGCAGCATCACCTACCTGTACGTCCGTCCTTGTGTAGAAACGAAATCTGTTAACATATGTCATTTAACTCTGGTTGTACTCAAGGGTCTGGTCCAATCAGTGTGCTCTATACGTACGTACGTCCTTGTGTAGAAATGAGATCTCGATTGACGTGTAGAAATGAAATGCCGCACTCCACTCCTCTCTCTCCTGCCGCTTCTTTCTGCATCCCTCTGCACCCCTCTCAGGTCGCTGGAGAGGAATCAGATCGAGGGTGCCCTTCCCAAGTGGATAGCTCCGGATTGTTTACAGCAAATGAGAAGGCACCACACCGCCTTTCCCCTCACTCAGCACCGCACTGCACTCCTCTCTCTCTCCCTCTGCTTCTTTCTGCATCCCTCTGCACCCCTCTCAGGTCGCTGGAGAGCAATCAGATCGAGGGTGCCCTTCCCGACTGGATTGGCTCAGAATGGCCCTCGCTGGTGCACCTGTGAGTGTTGGGAGGGGGTGGGGGGGGGGGGGGGGGGGGAGGGGATGAATAAGGTGTGACATCTCAAAACCCGTTGGAGCACCTCTGAGTTGGGCTCAGAAGGGCTCTGATGTCAGGTTGGGCGTGACATGACATCTTAAAACGGCTCCTTTCTCCCCTGTTGACTTTTGAGTCGACTCAAAAGTCGATATCTGAGAAGGGCTCCGTTCTCCCCTTCTCCCCCCCAACCCCGCGCCTCTTGCTCCTTCCATACCTAATTCCGTAGTCTCCTCCCTTGCCCCTCCCCCGTTTCCCCTTAGTATTTATCCTTATTTAAACAAACCGTATGTATCCTTATCTATCCTTATCTGAACAAACCGTTCGTTGTTTCTGCCCTCACTGTGTGCGGGCCCTCACTTATCCTCGCTGACCCTCCCATCTCTTTCCCCTCTCGGTGTGCGACTTTTGAGACGTCTCAAAAGTCTTCAGCCCTCGCTAACCCTCCCATCCCTTTCCCCTCTCTGTGTGCGTCCAGGAGGCTGGCCAGCAACCAGTTTTCGGGGCAGATTCCGAACGGCTTCGGGCAGCTGAAAAACCTCGTGATGCTGTAAGTGGTCCGGGGCTGCATGTGATTCTAGTTTCTACCCCCTCACACCATCCCTGCCCTTTCACCCCCTCCTTTTCCATACCCCCTCACACCATCCCTGCCCTATCACCCCCTCCTTTTCCATACCCCCTCACACCATCCCTGCCCTTTCACCCCCTCCTTTTCCATACCCCCTTACACCATCCCTGCCCTTTCACCCCCTCCTTTTCCATACCCCCTCACACCATCCCTGCCCTTTCACCCTCCTCCTTTTCCATACCCCCTCACACCATCCCTGCCCTTTCACCCTCCTCCTTTTCCATACCCCCTCACACCATCCCTGCCCTTTCACCCTCCTCCTTTTCCATACCCCCTCACACCATCCCTGCCCTTTCACCCTCCTCCTTTTCCATACCCCCTCCCACCATCCATGCCCTTTCACCCCCCTCCTTTTCCATACCCCCTCCCACCATCCATGCCCTTTCACTCCCCTCCTTTTCCATACCCCCTCCCACCACATGCTCTCTTCCCCCAGAGACCTGGCGTTGAATCAATTCTCGGGCTCCATCCCAACGGACATTCAGCCTTGCTCGCGCCTGGAGCACTTGTCTTTACACCCCTTTCCCACCTCACCTGCTCCCTTCCCACCCATGTGCCCACACCTGTCCATGTCTGTACAGGGATCTGGCGTCGAATCGATTCTCGGGCTCCATCCCAACGAACATTCAGGCTTGCTCGCGCCTGGAGCACTTGTCTTACACCCCTTTCCCTCCTTCCCCTTCCCACATGCTCTCCCCCCCTCAGCGACCTGGCGTCCAATCAGTTCTCGGGCTCCATCCCTACGGACATCCAGGTGTGCTCGCGCCTGGACCAGCTCGCTCTCTCCCCATTCAACCCCTCCCCTTCCACACCCCCTCCCATGCTCTCTCCCCTCAGTGACCTGGCGTCCAACCAGTTCTCGGGCTCCATCCCAACGGACATTCAGGTCTGCTCGCGCCTGGAGCAGCTCTCTCCCTCTTCCACTCACGTCCCTCCCTTTCCATACCCTTTCTTTTCCTCTGTCCACGTGCTCTCTCCCTTTACCCAGGGACCTAGCGTCCAACCAGTTCTCAGGCTCCATCCCTACGGACATTCAGGTGTGCTCGCGCCTGGAGCAGCTGTCGCTTTCTGGAAACTCCCTCTCGGGCCCGCTCCCCACGTGGATCGGCAGCCTTAAGCAGCTGCGCGTGCTGTGAGTGCACCACTGCGTACCTCTCTGTACCACTTTGTTGCACTGAATACCACTGTGTGCCACTGTACACCACTGTACACCTTCTCACTTCTTGAAATGTCTCCCTCAGGTCCTCTCGTCTTCTGGATCGGCGCACTCTGCTCTAACACTCACTCTCCTTTTCCCTGTTGCCTCCTTCGCTCCTGTCCCCTCTGCTTTGCCCTCACCCCGCCCTCCCTCCAGTGAAATGTTCTCAAACAACCTCTCCGGCACCATCCCTCCTATTCTCAGCTCTACTTGTGGTTCCTCGTGGTTCCTCGTGGTTCCTCCCCAACTCATCATAGTTACTTCTGCACTCACTCCCTTCGTCCCTTCTGCCCGCCCTCCCTACAGTGAAATGTTTTCCAACAACCTCTCCGGCACCATCCCTGCCGAAATCGCCCAGGCCACCTCCCTTGAATCCATGTGAGTGCAGCATCCTCATTCATACCTTTATTCATACCTTTTTTCCTAGTCCTAACGAAGCAACCCACCCATACTTAGCTGAAAGTTTCAACGGTGACCACACGGCTTGCTGCGTTTCGAATCCTTCATTACTCCTCGTTATAAGCTCAATCGTGTTTAGCATGCTCTGGACGACAATGACCTTTCAGGCACGCTACCAGTCGCGCTGGGCAACTTGCCCTCCCTAGCTTCGCTCTACATGGCGTCCAACCTGCCTCTTGCCCTGACACCTGTATTGTACCCGAATTTCCCTCCTTGGCTGTGGCCCCTCTCCGCTCCTCTACCAGTGCTCTCGACGACAATGACCTCTCGGGCACGCTACCAGATGCGCTGGGAAATCTCCCATCCCTGGCAGCGCTCTACATGGCGTCCAACCTGCTGGAGGGGCCCATCCCCTACAGCTACCACCGCCTCAATGGGCTCATGTACATGTGAGTTGAGGCAGGTTCAATGCGGTACTCAGGTGTGTGCTGTGGTGCCTGCTTTCAATCTGCCCTCCCTAGCGGCGCTCTACCTGCTGGAGGGCCCCATCCCCTACAGCTACCACCGACTGAATGGCCTTCTGTACATGTGCGTGCGCTCACTCACTTAGAGAGGTGTTCAGGTGGGTTTCAAGCGGTACTCAGGTGTGTGTTGTGTGTGCTGAGAGCAACCTCCCCTCCCTGGCGGCGCTCTACATGGCGTCCAACCTGCTGGAGGGACCCATCCCCTACAGCTACCACCGCCTCAACGGGCTCATGTACATGTGAGTGCAAAGGAGGTGTTGTGTGCGGTGTAAAGCAGTACTCAGGTGTGTGCTGTGGTGCTGAGAGCAATCTGCCCTCCCTGGCGGCGCTCTACATGGCGTCCACCAACCTGCCGGACCCCCTCCAACCAGCCTCTCTTCATCCTCTCTCTTCCTCGTCTGTCTCTCCCCCTACCCAACAGCGATCTGAGCTACAACACGGGCATCAACGGCACCGTGCCCGAGTTTTTCGGCAACATGTGGCTGCTGGAGTCCATGTAAGCGCTGTGGCGTGCGGTGGGATGGGGTGGGATAGATAATGGCATGGTTCGGATGGGTTGGGATGGCATGGCATCAACGGCACGGTGCCAGAGTTCTTTTGGCAACCTGTGGCTGCTGGAATCCATGTAAGCGCTGTTGCATGGTAAGGGATGGGTTCAAATAGGTTTAAAGAGGGAATAAGGGGGGTTCAAATGGGTTGCGATGGCATGGCATCAACAGCATGGTGTTTTGAGTTCTTTGGCAACCTGTAGCTGCTGGAGTCCATGTAAGGGGCATGCGATGGCATAGGATGGGGGATGAGACTGCACAGTATGGCGGATGGCATGGCACAGCTTGATGCTAGGATTCCTTGGCAGCCTGTGGCGTTCCTCCCTCCTCCCCAGTCTCACCGGAACCATCCCAGCATCCCTCGGTTCCTTCTCCCTGCTAGTGGAGATCTTCCTCGACAACAACAAGCTCACCGGCTCCATCCGCTCCTTCCCTTCCTCCTCCCCACCTCCCCTCCACCCCACCTTCCCCAACTCTCCCCCACTCCCCCAGTGCGTTTGAGAACTGCAACCTGACCGGCACAATCCCAGCCTCCCTCGGATCGCTCTCCCTCCTCGTGGAGATCTTCCTCGACAACAACAAGCTCACCGGCTCCATCCCCTCCTTCCCGCCCTCCTGCCCTCTCCATCCCCTCCTTCCCGCCCTCCTGCCCTCTCCATCCCCTCCTTCCCGCCCTCCTGCCCTCTCCATCCCCTCCTTCCCGCCCTCCTGCCCTCCTCTCCTCCTTCCCTCTTCCCCACCTCCAGTGCGTTTGAGAACTGCAACCTCACGGGTACAATCCCGGCTTCCCTCGGATCGCTCTCCCTCCTCGTGGAGATCTTCCTCGACAACAACAAGCTCACCGGCTCCATCCCTGACACGCTCGGGGGCCTCGAGGCGCTCAACAAGCTGTACCTGAACCAGAACTTCCTGGAAGGTTCCGTGCCGTCCACGCTGTGCAACCTGACCAATGTGCGGGAGATCAATCTGTCCAAGAACGGGCTCGATGGGGACCTGCCCTTGTGCCTCGTGACTCTGCCGCACGTGACATCGCTCTTGGTGTCCTACAATCAGTTGTCAGGAGACGTGCCGGACATACCAGACGACTCAAAGCTCTTCTTCAGGTGAGCTGAGCTCTCTTCGTTCAGGTGAGATCTGGTTGGTTGGATGAGGTCTGTCTAGGAACGGGCTGGGCGTCAGAGAGAGAGACCACGCTGTGCAACCTGACCAATGTGCGGGAGATCAATCTGTCCAAGAACGGGCTCAACAGGGACCTGCCGCTGTGACTCGTGACTCTCCCACATGTGACTTCGCTACTAGTCTCGCACAATCAGCGTTCGGGATATTCCAGACGACTCAAAGCTTTTCTTTAGGTGCTGTCTCCAGGTGAGATCCAGGACTCAAAATCTTTCCCTTGTTCTCTCCTATCCCCTTCCACCCATCCCAACCAGATACGACCACAACTGCTACGAGGGAATGCCGGACCAATCCCCATGTGCCGAGCCTTCCTTTACCAGCGATGGCACCACCACCAGCGACGGGAATATCAACGATTATGGAGCAGACAACGCCACCTGGTCTGACACCACAGCGGACGATTACCAGCAGTTTTACGACTCGGATAGCGATAGCAGCAGCAGCGGTGGTAACCAGCAGCAGCAGAGCCAGTCATCCTCCAGTGAGTGTGCTGTGGGGTGTGTGGGGTGGAGAGGGGTGAGTGGAGGTGGAGAGGGGTGAGTGGAGGTGGAGAGGGGTGAGTGGAGGTGGAGAGGGGTGAGTGGAGGTGGAGAGGGGTGAGTGGGGGTTGGTTTGGGTCTGACACCACAGCGGACGATTACCAGCAGTTCTATGACAACGAGACCATGGGGGCCGGTGATAACCAGCAGCAGCAGAGCCAGTCATCCTCCAGTGAGTGTGCTGTGGGGTGTGACTGGGACTTGGTGGGGTGGAATGGGGTTGAGTGCGGCTGACAACGCCACTTGGTCTGATACCACAGCGGGCGATTACCAGCAGTTTTACGACAACAGTAGCAGCGGTGGGAGCCAGCAGAGCAGCCATTCGTCTTCTTCCGTGAGTGTGCTGCTGGGGGGATGGAGAGGGGTGGGTAGGAGCTGGTTTGGACTGATACCACAGCGGGCAATTACCAGCAGTTTTACGACAACAGTAGCAGCGGGAGCAGCCAGCAGAGCCAGTCATCCTCCTCCAGTGAGTGTGCTGTGGGTGGGGGAGATGTGTAGGATGGAAAGGGTGGGGGCGGGGGGGGGGGAGGGGAAGGGTGTGGTCTGCTGTTCCTGGCCGAGCTGCTGGCTTGCATTGCGGCACGGTGACTCAAAAATCGACTTATCACACACGGTGTGGTCTGCTGTTCCTGGCCGAGCTGCTGGCTTGCATTGCGGCACGGTGACTCAAAAATCGACTTATCACACACGGTGTGGTCTGCTGGTCCTGGCTGAGCTGCTGGCTTGCATTGCGGCACGGTGACTCAAAAATTGACTTATCACACACGCTGTGGTCTGCTGTTCCTGGCCGAGCTGCTGGCTTGCATTGCGGCACGGTGACTCAAAAATCGACTTATCACACACGGTGTGGTCTGCTGGTCCTGGCTGAGCTGCTGGCTTGCATTGCGGCACGGTGACTCAAAAATCGACTTATCACACACGCTGTGGTCTGCTGTTCCTGGCCGAGCTGCTGGCTTGCATTGCGGCACGGTGACTCAAAAATCGACTTATCACACACGCTGTGGTCTGCTGTTCCTGGCCGAGCTGCTGGCTTGCATTGCGGCACGGTGACTCAAAAATCGACTTATCCCACACGCTGTGGTCTGCTGTTCCTGGCCGAGCTGCTGGCTTGCATTGCGGCACGGTGACTCAAAAATCGACTTATCACACACGCTGTGGTCTGCTGTTCCTGGCCGAGCTGCTGGCTTGCATTGCGGCACGGTGACTCAAAAATCGACTTATCACACACGGTGTGGTCTGCTGTTCCTGGCTGAGCTGCTGGCTTGCATTGCGGCACGGTGACTCAAAAATCGACTTATCACACACGCTGTGGTCTGCTGTTCCTGGCTGAGCTGCTGGCTTGCATTGCGGCACGGTGACTCAAAAATCGACTTATCACGCACGGTGTGGTCTGCTGTTCCTGGCCGAGCTGCTGGCTTGCATTGCGGCACGGTGACTCAAAAATCGACTTATCACACACGGTGTGGTCTGCTGGTCCTGGCTGAGCTGCTGGCTTGCATTGCGGCACGGTGACTCAAAAATTGACTTATCACACACGCTGTGGTCTGCTGTTCCTGGCCGAGCTGCTGGCTTGCATTGCGGCACGGTGACTCAAAAATCGACTTATCACACACGGTGTGGTCTGCTGGTCCTGGCTGAGCTGCTGGCTTGCATTGCGGCACGGTGACTCAAAAATCGACTTATCACACACGCTGTGGTCTGCTGTTCCTGGCCGAGCTGCTGGCTTGCATTGCGGCACGGTGACTCAAAAATCGACTTATCACACACGCTGTGGTCTGCTGTTCCTGGCCGAGCTGCTGGCTTGCATTGCGGCACGGTGACTCAAAAATCGACTTATCCCACACGCTGTGGTCTGCTGTTCCTGGCCGAGCTGCTGGCTTGCATTGCGGCACGGTGACTCAAAAATCGACTTATCACACACGCTGTGGTCTGCTGTTCCTGGCCGAGCTGCTGGCTTGCATTGCGGCACGGTGACTCAAAAATCGACTTATCACACACGGTGTGGTCTGCTGTTCCTGGCTGAGCTGCTGGCTTGCATTGCGGCACGGTGACTCAAAAATCGACTTATCACACACGCTGTGGTCTGCTGTTCCTGGCCGAGCTGCTGGCTTGCATTGCGGCACGGTGACTCAAAAATCAACTTATCACACACGCTGTGGTCTGCTGTTCCTGGCCGAGCTGCTGGCTTGCATTGCGGCACGGTGACTCGAAAATCGACTTATCACACACGGTGTGGTCTGCTGTTCCTGGCCGAGCTGCTGGCTTGCATTGCGGCACGGTGACTCAAAAATCGACTTATCACACACGCTGTGGTCTGCTGTTCCTGGCCGAGCTGCTGGCTTGCATTGTGGCACGGTGACTCAAAAATCGACTCATCACACACGGTGTGGTCTGCTGTTCCTGGCCGTGCTGCTGGCTTGCATTGCGGCACGGTGACTCGAAAATCGACTTATCACACACGGTGTGGTCTGCTGTTCCTGGCCGAGCTGCTGGCTTGCATTGCGGCACGGTGACTCAAAAATCGACTTATCACACACGCTGTGGTCTGCTGTTCCTGGCCGAGCTGCTGGCTTGCATTGTGGCACGGTGACTCAAAAATCGACTCATCACACACGGTGTGGTCTGCTGCTCCTGGCCGTGCTGCTGGCTTGCATTGCGGCATGGCATGCCACCCAACTTCAATGTGTAACCTTGTCCCTTCCACCCCTCCCCCTCCCCTTCTAACCCTCCAGGCCACACCCCTGTTCATCTACATTCTCCTGCTGCTTCTAGCGGTGCTGCTCGCCTTTGCAGCAAGTACCATCCCCTCTCCCCTAACCCATCCCCCCCTCTCCCCTCCCCCTCCCCTACTCCCCTCCAGGCCACACCCCTGTGTTCATCTACATTCTTCTGCCGCTCCTAGCTATGGTGCTGGCATGCGTGGCAGCGTACCACTTCTCACCCAAGTTCAGAGATGCAGTGCACGTGCTGATCAACGGGAGGGACAAACGTAAGTCTTGTGTTACTTGCTGGTTGCTTGCTGTGTATGCCGGTCTTGCCTAGCCTGTGCTGCACTGCACCGTGCTGCTGGCGTGCGTTGCAGCGTACCACTTTTCGCCCAAGTTCCGAGACTCCGTGCACGTGCTGATCAACGGGAGGGATAAGTGTAAGTGCCCGTCTGTCTTGCCTAGCCTGTGCTGCACTGCACCGTGCTGCTGGCGTGCGTTGCAGCGTGCCACTTCTCACCCAAGTTCAGAGACGCCGTGCACGTGCTGATCAACAGGAGGGACAAACGTGAGTAACGTATTGTGGGAGGAATAAGTGTGAGTGCCGTCTGTTTGACTCTTGCTGGATGATTGCTAGACGCCATTCTTGCCTAGCCTCTACTGCACTGCACCGCAGCGTACCACTTGTCTCCCAAGTTCCGAGACGCCGTGCACGTGCTGATCCACGGGAGGGACAAACGTGAGTGCCGTCTGTTTGACGCTTGCTGGGTACTTGCTGTATGGCCGTCTTGCCTAGCCTGCACTGCAGTGGGCGTGACAGATTTTGATCTCTCGTGCACATCAGGAAGGCAACAGACAGGCATCCCCTTTGAGGCGCCTCAAAAGTGGGTACTTGCTGTATGGCCGTCTTGCCTAGCCTGCACTGCAGTGGGCGTGACAGATTTTGATCTCTCGCGCGCATCAGGAAGGCAACAGACTGGCATCCCTTTTTCCTCCCCTTCCTCATTCCCCCTGACGACCTCACTTTCCAACCCCTCTTCCAACCCGACCCGTCTTCCAACTTCTCTTCCAACCCCCACCCCCAACACCTCCCCCATCTCTCCCCCCTTCCTCTCTGCCCCTCTGCAGTGGCCGTGACTGAGTTTGACCTCACGCGCATCAAGAAAGCGACAGGAAACTTCACGGCAGAGTATGGACGGGGGAGCTTCGGGGTGGTGTTTTCAATCGTGTCCCGTTGCCCACTTCCCTTCTTCCCCCCCACCTTTCCCCTGTGCAGTGGGCGTGACAGAGTTTGATCTCATGCGCATTAAGAAAGCGACAGAAAACTTCACAGCAGACTATGGGTGGGGGAGCTTCAGGGCGGTGTTTCTCAATCTTGCCTCCTTTCCCACTCCCCCTTCCCTCCCCTCTTGCCTTCAGTGGGCGTGACTGAGTTTGATCTCACGCGCATCAAGAAGGCGACAGGAAACTTCACAGCAGAGTATGGACGGGGGAGCTTCGGCGTGGTGTTTCTGGCGGACGAGTTTTTCAAAGGGCAGGCGGAGCCGCGAGCCATCATCAAGCGAGCTCACGACCCGCAGAGTGAGTGAAGTGTGCATCTCTCTTTCGCCTGTGTTGTGGCTGGGCACATGGTATGGTTGCCGCAGAGTAGGGGTGTGGGAGCTTCGGGGTGGTGTTTTTGGCAGATGAGTTCTTCAAAGGGCAGGCGGAGCTGGGAGCAATTATCGAGAGATCTCACGACCAGCATGGCATCGACCAGGAAAAGCGCGCATGCTCTAACCCTCTCTACCCCCCTCCACCTCCCCCTCTCTCTCCCGTTTCCCCTCCTCTCCACCCATTCAACAGAGGTCAGCGAGTTCTTGTTCAAGTGCAAGGTGGAGATTCTGGCCAAGGCACGCCACCGATACGTTGTGAACCTGCATGGCAACTGCGTTAACCAGGGGGAGCGCATCCTTTCTAACCCCTCCTCACCCCTTTCCACCACTTTTCACCCGTCTCCACACTTCTCCACCCCTCTCCACACCTGCTCACCCCTCTCCACCCCTCCAGAGGTCAGCGAGTTCCTGTTCAAGTGCAAGGTGGAAATACTAGCCAAGGCGCGGCACCGCTACGTGGTGAATCTGCACGGCTACTGCGTCAACCAGGGGGAGCGCATCCTCGTTTATGAGTTCCTCCCTAACGGCACTCTCTTCGACCGCCTGCACCGTAAGTGTTTAACAAGGTTAAAGTGCATCCTCGTTTATGAGTTCCTCCCTAATGGCACTCTCTTCGACCGCCTCCACCGTGAGATTTTAAACACTACCTATACGCAGAATACATGTGGATACATAATGATTGAGTTGATGCTTCATCCAAGGGCAATTTCGTCCTGCTTTCCTCTCGTTCCTTCCCCTGTCTCTTGCTTTCTTGTCCCCCATTCAGGTCCCGAACTAGAGCCTCTCGCCTGGGAGGCCCGAGTTCGAGTGGCCTATCATGTTGCCAGTGCTCTGGAGCATCTGCACCACGACCTCACTCGCTCATTCCTCCTTTTCCTGCTTTCCTACCATCCTCCCTCGCCCCTGCAAACCCCCTCTCAGGTCCCGAACTAGAGCCTCTCGCCTGGGAGGCCCGAGTTCGAGTGGCCTATCATGTTGCCAGTGCTCTGGAGCATCTGCACCACGACCTCACTCCTCCTTCCCCCCTTCCCGGTCTTGCTTCTCTGCCCCATGAAACACAGGTCCCGAGTAGAGCCCCTGGCCTGGGAAACACGGGTTCGAGTGGCATACCATGTTGCCAGCGCCCTGGAGCATCTGCACCACGACCTCACCCTCTCATTCCTCCTCTCGTGCCTTTCTGTTCCATCCCTCTTCCTTAACCCGCTTCCAGGTCCTGAGCTGGAACCTCTGGCCTGGGAGACACGCTTAGAGTGGCCTACCATGTTGCCAGCGCCCTGGAGCATCTGCACCACGACCTCACACCCTGTCTTGCTTTACTGCCCATCACCCGCCCCCCCTTCCCACCAGGCCCCGAACTAGAGCCTCTCGCATGGGAAACACGAGTACGTGTGGCATACCACATTGCCAGTGCCCTGGAGCATCTGCACCACGACCTCACCCCACCGCTGGTGCACCGAGCAGTGACCTCCTCCAACATTCTCCTGGCTGCTGACATGACAGCTAAGGTGAGCTGCTGCCTTGGTTCCTCATGCCTCGAGGTGGGCTTTGGAGCATCTGCATCACGACCTCACCCCCCCGCTGGTGCACCGAGCAGTGGTGACCTCGACCTCACAAAGCAGTACACCCTTCTGCTGGCAGCTGACATGACTGCCAAGGTGAGCCTCGTGCTGCATGCTGCACGCCACATGCCACATGCTAAGGGCAGCGGCGGCGGCAAGAGTGCGTTTGACGACACGCCTCGGCGCAAGAAGAGCCGCAAGCAGGTGGCTGACGTGCAGTCGCCCTCTCCTCGTCTCTCACTCACTCCCACCTCTTCCCTTCCCTCCTCCTGTGCCCCTATGCCTGTCCCCAGCTGAGCGATTTCGGCATTGCCAAGGGTAGCAGCGGGGGCAAGAGCGCGTTTGACGACACGCCGCGGCGCAAGAAGAGCCGCAAGCACAAGCAGGTGGCCGACGTGCAGTCGCCCTCTCCTCTTCTCCCCAAATGGAGAGTGGCGGAGAGCGGTGGAGCGCGGTGGCGTCATGCCCTCGGCTCGTCTCTCACTCACCCACCACCCCTTCCCTTCCCTCCCTCCCTGTTCCCAGTTGAGCGATTTCGGCATAGCCAAGGGCAGCAGTGGTGGCAAGACGGCCTTCGATGACACGCCGCGGCGCAAGAAGAGCCGCAAGCACAAGCAGGTGGCTGACGTGCAGTCGCCCTCGCCACAGATGGAGAAGGCGGATGTGTATGGGTTCGGAGTGGTGCTGCTGGAGTTAATTACAGGGCAGAAGGCCATGAAGGAGGTTCACATTACCACCATGGTGAGAGAGGGTGCAGTGCGGTTGACTTGGGTTAAATCCTGGTGCAAAATGGTGGTGTATGGTGGAATGCGGTAGAGTGTGCAGTCGCCCTCGCCACAGATGGAGAAGGCGGATGTGTATGGGTTCGGAGTGGTGCTGATGGAACTGATTACGGGCCAGAAGGCGATGAAGGAGGTTTATATCACTACCATGGGTAAGAGTCACAGTGCAGTGCGGTTGAATGTGGTATAATCCTGGTAGAAAATCGGCCCCGTTTTGGAAGACCCGCAGATGATGCCTCTCATGGTGGGACCCTCTCTGGGGTGTCTGAGCCGCCCTCTCTTCTTTGCAGTGCCTGATCTCCCTCCCTTTCCCACCACATTTCCCTCTTCTCCCATCAGGCTGCCCCTTTCCTGGAGGGTCCTCAGATGATGCCTCTCATGGTGGACCCCCTACCTGGGCGCTCAGTGTCTAGTACTCACTCCTCGCTCCCTCCATTGACACCCCTTCTTCTCCACCCCCCCATCAGGCTGCTCCCTTCCTAGAAGACCCGCAGATGCAGATGATGCCTCTCATGGTGGACCCCTACCTGGGTGCTCAGTGTCTAGTGCGCTCAGTGTGTCCCCATCACAATCCCTGCTTCCCCACCACCCACCCAATCAGGCCGCCCGCTTCCTGGAGGATCCTCAGATGATGCCTCTCATGGTGGACCCCTACCTGGGCGCTGAGGGTGTGGGATTCGAGGTCTAATATCATAACGGATTCCCCACCTCATATCCCACTCTTCCCACTCCCCCCTTCTCCAGGCCGCTCCCTTTCTGGAGGACCCGCAGATGATGCCTCTCATGGTGGATCCCTACCTGGGTGATCAGTGTCTAGTGCTCGGATCAAGGCGCTCACCCCTCCCTCCCTCGATTCCCCGCCTCTCTCCCTTTCCTCCCATCAGGCTGCCCCTTTCCTGGAAGACCCTCAGATGATGCCTCTTATGGTCGACCCCTACCTGGGCGGCAATTATCGGCAGGAGGAGCTCATAGAGCTGGGCGGCTTGGCCCGCGACTGCATCCAAGAAAACGCCGCTTGCCGCCCGTCCATGCGCGAGGTTCTCGAGAGAATGGAGGAGAATCTGCCGTCCGTCGGTGTGTGTATCGAAGGGGACGGGATTGGAGGGAAGGCAGGAGGAGACGACGAGGAATCCGGGTTACTTGTGGAGGGGTACTCCGCGGCCGCGCCCACGTTCGGGCAGGGTGTTACGCACCTGCACCCTCCGAATGTGAGGGTGGACGGCGGGGGGCACGAGCACGGATCTGCTGTGATGCGGGAAGAGAGGCAAGTGACGGGGATATCGGGGATTTCAGCGCCGGCGTCTGCTTGGGCGTCAATTGAGGGGTTTGCCAAGTCGATCAAGAGCGCGATTGTGAACCCGAGGGGGCACCGGGGGGAGTCGGATCATGAGATGTCGTCGCTGCTGGTGCTGGGGACGAAGACAGGGAGCAGCAGCAGCAGTGGGCGGTGAGAGGTAGCAGCAGCCGCAGTGGGAGTGTGGGAGGAGGTGGTGAGGGTGGACGGCCGGGGGCACGAGCATGGATCTGCTGTGATGCGGGAGGAGAGGCAGGCGACGGGGATTTCGGGGATTTCAGCACCGGCATCAGCTTGGGCGTCAATTGAGGGGTTTGCCAAGTCGATCAAGAGCGCGATTGTGAACCCGAGGGGGCACCGGGGGGAGTCGGATCATGAGATGTCGTCGCTGCTGGTGCTGGGTACGAAGACGGGGAGCAGCAGCAGCAGTGGTAGGTGAGCGGCTACCAGCAGCAGCAGTGGGGGGACGGGGGCACGAGCATGGATCTGCTGTGATGCGGGAGGAGAGGCAGGTGACGGGAATTTCGGGGATTTCGGCACCGGCATCGATCAAGAGCGCGATTGTGAACCCGAGGGGGCAGCGGGGGGGGAGTCAGATCATGAGATGTCGTCGCTGCTGGTGCTGGGAGCAAAGACGGGGAGCAGCAGCAGCAGTGGTAGGTGAGAGGTAGCAGCAGCCGCTTTGGGAGTGTTGGAGGAGGTGATAAGTTATCAGGCAGGCAGTCATGGCGGCCTTCCAAGGCAGCAGCCGAGTGTACATGTCTCCAAGATATAACCGGCTATAATACCTCCTAACAAGATTGTCTAATTTATATACAAGCATAGTAGTGACAATTCTGTTGTCCCTTAATTTGTTTGTTTGTCTTTGTTTATTAGAAAGAGCGTGAAGACAAGCTTGCAGTCCTCAATTTTAATGTGTTTGTCATAAAAGATTTTCAGTTATGTCACACAACCGAAGTTCAGCTTTCATTACCCTACTGTATCTCATTGAAAGGGCAGCAGCGCGATTCCCGCTAGGCAGCAGCGCGATTCCCGCTAGGCAGCAGCGCGATTCCCGCTAGGCAGCAGCGCGATTCCCGCTAGGCAGCAGCGCGACTCCCGCTAGGCAGCAGCTCTTTCCTCGCTAGTAGCAACGCGATCCCGCCGCGTAGCCCGCGACCAGGGTCGTCGCTAGCAGAAATTTTTTGTCTGTTTGTCTTATATTCAGATCGAGTTTTTAGAGATCATCTGATTTTTCAGAAATTGGTTTTTGTAATTTCTGATTGGTAAGGAGTAGTTTTTAAGTTAATCTGATCAATCAGGTTCATGTTTTGGTTTCATCTGATACCGAATCCAATTACTGCAGGGGTGAATATGGGATTCGAGTTGTGAATGGGTAAATCTGATGCGTCAGGGGTGAATCTGTTAGTGTCAGGGGGCGAATCTGCTGTGTCAGGGGCGAAATTGTTGTGACGGGGCGAATCTGCTGTGTCAGTGTGACAGCGAATCTGCTGTGACGGACCGAATTTGCTGTGAGGGGGTGATTCTGCTGTGATTGGTCAAGTCCGAATCATTTGCCCATTCGATTGGCCAGACACGCATTTCGAAAGTATCTGATACATCAGACACGGTAAAATACAGAATCTGATGAATCAGACGGGCCCGAAGGGCCCGTCTGATGCATCAGGCACCCTCAAATCCTAGCGACGTCCCTGCCCGCGACTCAGCCTCTTAGCCCGCGATTCAGCCGCCCAGGCCGCGATCTAGCCGCCCAGCCCGCGATTTAGCCGCTCAGCTCGCGATCTAGCCGCCCAGCCCGCGATCTAGCCGCCTACGCCTCGATCTAGCCGCCTAGCCCGCATCTTAGCCGCTTAGCCAGCGATTTAGCCGCCCCGTCCGCGACCTAGCTGCAAAGCAGCGATCTTGCTGACCAACCGGTGATTTAGCCGCTTAGCCCGCGAATTGCAGGTAGCAGCGCGCAGCTAGGCAGTGGAACCCGTGCCGTAACAGCGAAATCCGCACCGCAGCAGCGAAAATCGCGCCGTAGCAGCGAAATCCACGCCGTAGCAGCGAAATTCGCGCCGTGGCAGCGAAATCCCCGTCGTAGCAGCGACATCCACGCCTAGGCAGCAAAACCCGCGCTGTAGCAGCGACATCTGCGTCGTAGCAGCGAAATCCGCGCCGTAGCAGCGAAATCCGCGCCGTAGCAGCGAAGTCCGCGCCGTAGCGTCGAAGTGCGCGCTGTAGCAGCGAAGTGCGCGTCGCAGCAGCGAATTGCGCGCCGTAGCGGCGAATTGCGCGCCGTAGCAGCGCAATCCGGTGCCTCGGCAGCGAAACCCGCGCCGTAGCAGCGAAATCCGCGCCGTAGCAGCGAAGTGCGCGCCGTAGCAGCGAAGTGCGCGCCGTAGCAGCGAAGTGCACGTCGTAGCAGCGAAGTGCGCGCCGTAGCAGCGAAGTGCACGCCGTAGCAGCGAAGTCCGGGCAAAGAGCAGTGAAGTCCGCCATGTAACAGTGAAACCCGCGCCGTAGCAACGAAATCCGCGTCGCGGCGGAGGGATCAGCGCCCAGGCAGCTATACTCGCGCGTAGGAGCGCCATCGCAGCGAAGCTCGTGCCTAGGCAGCGACTACCGCGTGTAGGGAGGGCCACAAAGCAAGACCCGCGCCTAGGTACCAACACCTGCAGGTAGGAGCGTCCAGCGTATAGGGGAGTCTCCGTGCGCCAGCGACGCCCAACACCTTCGACTCACCCGGACTGCGAACCTTATATCGAAGGCGGGAGGCGCCCCTCCAGCGCTCCCCGCAAACAGCTTACGCCATGAACAACGATCCAGACCCCCCAGACCGGGGGAGGAAGATCATCGCGAGGATTGGCCACAAGAGACCCAGGGAGGCAGCACCGAGTATGCAATACCCACAACTTTGTCGCCTCCACCACGAGGATGCACTCTGCCTTTTTGGCAAGCCCAGCAAGCGACAAAGGTATGGACCCCTCTCGACAGGGGGGGGGATAGAGGAACCACCCAAAGACACTCTCGGCGGCTTCGTAGGCGGCAGCGACACCATCTCCAGCCGGGACCTGGACGTGACGGACGAGGGCGAGTGCGGTCATGGGGTGCATAGGCAAGGTACCGGTGATGACGCGGCGATGGCTGCATGGGAGGCACACCGCCGGCGACTGCAGGAGTCTCATGATAGGCGGCGAAGGGCCCTGGGAAATCCTTCGGCACGCCCAGCCCTCACAGCTCCGCGCGGGCCTCGCCTGGCCCAAAGGCAGGAACCGAGACGGAGAGCTCGGGCGGAAGTGCAGCAATGGAGTCCAGCGGGGACCCAGCCCTCGAGGCAGGAGGGGAGGCAGCAGAACTGGCTGTTGGGGGAGGCCCAGAAGCCACAAGCAAGGGAGCAGCAAGTGCGGCCGGCGGGAGGGCAGCAGGAGCTGCCGGCGAGAGGGGAGCAGCATCTGCTGGCGAGAGGGGAGCAGGAGCTGCCGGCGAGAGGGGAGCAGGAGCTGCCGGCGAGAGGGCAGCAAGAGCCGCAGGCAAGAGGGCGGCAGGCGCGGTCGGCAGGCGAGCAGCAGGTACTGCCGAAGGGAGAGCAGCAGGAGTGGCCGGCGGGAGGGCAGCTGGAGCTGCCGGCGGGGGGGCAGCAGGAGCTGCAGGCAGGAGGGCAGCGGGAGGTGCCAGCGGGAGGGCAGCAGGAGGTGCCAGCGGGAGGGCAGCAGGAGGTGCCAGCGGGAGGGCAGCAGGAGGCGCCGGCGAGAGGGCAGCAGGAGGTGCCGGCGAGAGGGCAGCAGGAGGTGCCGGCGAGAGGGCAACAGGAGGTGCCGGCGAGAGGGCAGCAGGAGCTGTCGGCTGGGGGGCAGCAAATGGTAGAAGTGGAGATGGCCGAGCTACAGCCAGAGGTGCAGCAGGACCACTCGAGGAACCGGGCCCGGCCACACGCAGGAGGGCAGCAGGAGCCGCCCGGGGGAGAGCAGCGTGAGCTGCCAAGGGAAGAGCAGCAGGAGCTGCCGGCAAGGGAGCAGCAAGCAAGGGAGCAGCAAGCGGTAGAAGTGGAGATGGCCGAGCTACAGCCAGAGTCACAGCAGGACCAATCAGGAAACCAGGCCTGGCCACAGGCAGGAGGGCAGCAGGGGCCGCCCGGGGGAGAGCAGCTTGAGCTGCCAAGGGAAGAGCAGCAGAAGCCGCCGGGGGTGGGGCAGCTGCCGGCAAGGGAGCAGCAAGCGGTGGATGTGGAGATGGCCGAGCTACTGCCAGAGGTGCAGCAGGACCAATCAGGGAACCAGGTCCGGCTGCAGGCAGGAGGGCAGCAGGAGCTGCCGGGGGAGGAGCGGCAGGAGCTGCCAACAGGAGGGCAGCTGGGGCTGTCGGGGGGAGGGCAGCAGGAGCTGTCGGAGGGGGAGCGGCGGGAGCTGCCGGCGCGGGGGCAGCTGGAGGTCGCTAGTGCGGACTCTACAAGCCAAGCGAAGAGAACCCAAACACGGGGCCGAGGCGGGAGACGACACGCCCGTAAGACGCAAGGCCGAACTGGAAGCTGAGCTGCCGCCCAGCAGGCGGAGGGGCAGCCGGGGGCGACCGAGACACCCCCGGGAGCTCTGCGGGTGGGGGGGCAGCCCTGGGTGCCCGGGGCGCCCCAAGGAGAGCAGCAGCCAGGGGGGCAGCCGGGGGTGCCCGGGGCACCCCAGGGAGTGCAGCAGGCAGGGGGGCAGCCGGGGGGGCCCGGGGCACCCCAGGGAGTGCTGCAGGCAGGGGGGCAGCCGAGGGTGCCCGGAGCACCCCAGGGAGTGCAGCAGGCAGGGGGGCAGCCAGGGGTGCCCGGGGCACCCCAGGGAGTGCAGCAGGCAGGGGGGCAGCCGGGGGTGCCCGGGGCTCCCCAGGGAGTGCAGCAGGCAGGAGGGCAGCTGAGGGTGCCCGGGGCACCCCAGGGAGCGCAGCAGGCAGGAGGGCAGCCGAGGGTGCCCGGGGCACCCCAGGGAGTGCAGCAGGCAGGAGGGCAGCCGAGGGTGCCTGGGGCACCCCAGGGAGCGCAGCAGGCAGGAGGGTAGCAGGGGGTGCCTGGGGCACCCCAGGGAGTGCAGCAGGCAGGAGGGCAGCCGAGGGTACCCGGAGCACCCCAGGGAGGGCAGCAGGCAGGGGGGCAGCCGAGGGTGCCCGGGGCACCCCAGGGAGTGCAGCAGGCAGGGGGGCAGCCGGGGGTGCCCGGGGCTCCCCAGAGAGTGCAGCAGGCAGGAGGGCAGCTGAGGGTGCCCGGGGCACCCCAGGGAGCGCAGCAGGCAGGAGGGCAGCCGAGGGTGCCCGGGGCACCCCAGGGAGTACAGCAGGCAGGAGGGCAGCCGAGGGTGCCCGGGGCACCCCAGGGAGTGCAGCAGGCAGGAGGGCAGCAGGGGGTGCCTGGGGCACCCCAGGGAGTGCAGCAGGCAGGAGGGCAGCCGAGGGTACCCGGAGCACCCCAGGGAGTGCAGCAGGCAGGAGGGCAGCCGAGGGTGCCCGGGGCACCCCAGGGAGTGCAGCAGGCAGGGGGGCAGCTGGGGGTGCCCGGGGCACCCCAGGGAGTGCAGCAGGCAGGAGGGCAGCCGAGGGTGCCCGGGGCACCCCAGGGAGCGCAGCAGGCAGGAGGGCAGCCGGGGGTGCCCGGGGCACCCCAGGGAGTGCAGCAGGCAGGGGGGCAGCCGGGGGTGCCCGGGGCACCCCAGGGAGTGCAGCAGGCAGGGGGGCAGCCGGGGGTGCCTGGGGCACCCCAGGGAGTGCAGCAGGCAGGAGGGCAGCCGAGGGTGCCTGGGGCACCCCAGGGAGTGCAGCAGGCAGGAGGGCAGCCGAGGGTGCCCGGGGCACCCCAGGGAGTGCAGCAGGCAGGAGGGCAGCCGGGGGTGCCCGGGGCACCCCAGGGAGTGCAGCAGGCAGGGGGGCAACCGGGGGTGCCCGGGGCACCCCAGGGGGTGCAGCAGGCAGGGGGGCAGCCGGGGGTGCCCGGAGCACCCCAGGGAGTGCAGTAGGCAGGAGGGCAGCCGAGGGTGCCCGGGGCACCCCAGGGAGTGCAGCGGGCAGGTGGGGAGCCAGGGGTGCCCGGAGCACCCCAGGGAGTGCAGCAGGCAGGAGGGCAGCCGGGGGTGCCCGGGGCATCCCAGGGAGTGCAGCAGGCAGGAGGGCAGCCGAGGGTGCCCGGGGCACCCCAGGGAGTGCAGCAGGCAGGAGGGCAGCTGAGGGTGCCCGGGGCACCCCAGGGAGTGCAGCAGGTAGGAGGGCAACCGAGGATGCCTGGAGCACCCCAGGGAGAGCAGCAGGCTGGGGGGCAGCCGGGGGTGACCGGAGCACCCCAGGGGGAGCAGCAGCTAGGGGGGCAGCCGGGGGTGACCCGAGCACCCCAGGGCGAGCAGCAGGCAGGGGAGCAGCCGGGGGTGACCGGAGCACCCCAGGGAGTGCAGCTGGCAGGAGGGCAGCCGATGGTGCCTGGGGAACCCCAGGGAGTGCAGCAGGCAGGAGGGCAGCCGAGGGTGCCCAGAGCACCCCAGGGAGAGCAGCAGGCAGGGGGGCAGCCGGGGGTGACCGGGGCACCCCAGGGAGCGCAGCAGCCAGGGGGGCAGCCGAGGGTGCCCTGGGCACCCCAAGGAGCGCAGCAAGCAGGGGGGAGATCGATGGACGACCAGGAGCAACAGTTGGAGGAGTGGTGTCGACTTCTGGAGCTTGATACCCCCATGGCGACTGCGGAGGAGTCAGAGGCGGACGAAGAACCTCCCATGCCGCCTTCCCCATGCCCCCGCTTCCCGTGCGACACGTGTTTCCACACTTTCGCTACGCGGGGGGCCGCTGCGAACCACATGAGGGTATGCCGAGCTGCTAAGGCGGAGAGGCGTGCACGGGCTCTCGGCTCGATTCCGTCTCTGGTGGAGACCGACACGCAGGAGCGATCGACGCCGCGGGAATTTGGGGACGAGGCGTGGGCTGGGATTACGTCATGGGAATGGGAAACATTTTTCAGTGTGGAGGCGGTTGGAGGGAGGACAGCTCGCCGGATCCCACAGCGGGCCAGGTCGGGGGTCTTAGACGCGCTCTGTTGCATCCTTAAGCGCTTGAAGAGCCAGCCGGGAGATGAAGCCGCTACCCTCCTACTCTTGGCGTTTCCGCGCCTCATCCTAGCCATGCCTCCCAAGCCAGGCATAGGTCAGAAGGCGCTGATCACATAGCGGTTGGGTGCGTTCTGGGAGGGGAGGTGGCGGGAGGTGTTCGACTCTGCCATGGCGGCAGCGCGGCCAGCAGTTCGCCCACTTTCCTACACTCGCTCTGACCATGACCCGGATGCCATCCGCCTGTCACGGTGCCGATCTCGGTGCAAAGTGGGGGAGTGGAGCCGAGGATTGGCCTGCCTTACAGCAGGGGAGTTGGGTCGACCGTCTGAGGTCATGGTGCAGTCGCTGCGAGAGAAGCACCCGGCTAGCGCAGGCGAGGTACCACAGTGGGTCCGCGATTTCATCATCGATACCGCTCAGCGGCCTTCACTCACGACCGACATCCTGGCCAGAGCTATCCATACAGCCGCTCGAGCCTCAGCAGCAGGGCCATCGGGGTGGGTCACAGAGCATCTGCGCGACACCTTCCTAACTGAACCTACCTGCCTCTCCCACCTGTTGGAAGTGTTCAACCAATAGGTGGCGGGACAGGTCCCCGAGCGGGCTCGGCCGTGGCTCGCCGCATCCAACCTAGTCGGGCTTTCCAAGCCTAACGGCGACGTCCGGCCGGTGGCGATCGGGGAGGTGGTTCCTCGTATCCTTGCTCGAGCTCTCTGCATCTCGCTCCGCCCTGCGACGGTTTCCTACTTCCTGCCATGCAACCAGCTGGGAGCGGGCACCAGGGTCGGGGCGGAGATTCTCACTCATTCTTTCCGGTCAGCGCTGGCCACTCACCCCGACTGGTGTGCGCTACAGATAGACGTCGCAAACGCCTTCAATTCGTTTCACCGTCATGTGATGTTCGATGGGCTGCGGGAGTCGCCTTTCTCAGGGATGATCCCATTCTTGCGTGTCTTTTATGGGACACCTAGCGACCTGTACCTCCGAGCGGGCCCTTTCGTACAGAGCCTCGAGTCAGCACGAAGATCGAGGCAGGGGGACCCGCTCGGCCCTTTTCTTTTCGCGTTCACGCAGCAGCAGGTGATGGAGCCGGTTACTAGGGAGTTCAAGGACCTGCTTTTCCTCAGCTATGTAGACGATACCTATATTTTGGGGCCAGCGGCTAGGATTCTAGAGGCTTTTGGGGTGCTGCGGGAGCGGTTGGAGTGGGTAGGGCTGGAGGTGCAGGCGCACAAGTGCCGGTTTTGGGAGCGCGAGGGCAAGGAGGTGGAGCGAGCACTGCCGTTGGGGATGCAGCGGGTGGATGAGGGTCTTACTGTGGTGGGCGTGCCTATTGGAGAGGAGGTTTGGGAGGTGGTCCGGCTACGGGAGCGGCTTCGACAGTTGCAGGCGCCACTGCCATGGCTCCCCTTGCTCGACCACCCCTAGATGGCTTCACACCTCCTCGCCATTGCAGTTTCAGCGCGACCGATGTACCTCGCCCGGACTATGCCGCCGCGTCCGGAGGTGGTTGAGGCTTTTAGGGATTGGGACAGCTGTTTAGAGGATTGCTTTGAGCAACTTTTCCCACCTGGCACTTGGGAGCAGGACCCCGACCGGTCCAGGCGCGCACGCATGCAGCTGCATCTCCCTGTGCGTCTCGGTGGGTTCGGGATCCGGGCGGCGGCCTCTTTGAGCCCACTGTCCTATGTTTGCGGGTGGGCGCAGGCCGCGCGGGTCATTGCACAGTTAGGGGTGGCGGGTGAGGAGGCGATGTTTGCTGAGTACCTCACCACTTCGACAGGGGCAGAGTTTCTTGACCCGTGGTTTGTCAAGGCTCTCGAGCAGCTGCCAGCGACTATCCGCCACGAGATACCGGGCTTACCTCTGTGTGTAGCGGCCCCTCCTGTTCGGCTTTTCCAGGCGTGTCAGCGGCAGTTAGCTGTAGAGGAGCTCCAGGCACTGCGCCGCTTGGCTCGTGACGATGCTACCTTGGCCCGTTTCACATCCCTTCAGGGCCCGGGGGCAGGTGCATGGGTTTCGGCGGTTTCGGCTCACTGAGATCTCACATTCACTGCGGTTGAGTGGGGCATTGCTGCTGCTATACGGCTCGGCCTCCCAATTCAGCAGCTGCAGGTGGCGGGGAGGTGTGTTTGTGGCACAGCGTATGTTGACCCAGCAGACCCGCACCATGCCCTGAGATGCAGGCACCAGCATGGTCCTTCTCGGGTGCATGATGAGGTGAAGTTTGCGGTGGCGAAGATCTCTAAGGCGTCGGGGGGGGTGGTGACATTGGAGGATAGTGTGGTACTGCAAAGGAAGCGGGTTGCTGTGGCGGTGCGACGTCCAATGGCTGGAGAGGCTCACGCCCTAGAGATCAGCGTCGCGGACCCGCTATCGCTGTCTCCATCACTGCTGGGACAGTGCGGGCGTCAAATAGGTGTGGCGGCAAGGGAATGGGAGCGTCGCAAAACGAGTGATTACGCGCCTCTGCTTGCACGCAACCGGGGCGTGCAGTTCACCCCTTTGATAGTTGAGACGTGGGGGTGTCTCGGCGGTCGTTTTGAGCGGTGGCTTCGTCAGCAGGGGGATGCGCACGTGGAGCTAGCTGTGTCGCGGGGGGCTTGTCGAGAGGACGACTCTGTGTTTTCGGCTTATCTTTTAGGGTCACTGAAGGCGCTCATCGGGGTGGCGTTACAACGTGCGCAAGCCCGTGTCATCCTGCTTCGAGCGGCGTCTTCCATGGGGGGGATTAACGTAGATTTGGCGGATCGGGAGAGGGACGATGTCGATGTGGAAGGCGGGGCTCTCTGGGTGGAGGCCCCGTACATGGTCGATACGTTGATGTGATTGAGGGGGGGGGGGGGGGATGGGGCGTGGGATGGGATGTCTTGATGGGGTGTCTTGACTGGGCGTTTTGATTGGGTAACTTGAGGGGGGGTTTTATGTGTGTTGCATTTGGGTTCTTTTTGGGAGTTTCATTTTCCTTCTCCCTTTCTTTCTCCATTCCCTCTCTTTTTCAGACACACTATGGCGAGACACATGGTGTGAATGACTGTTCTATCATGGGTGTGAAAAAGAAAGATTTTCAGTTATTATGCTCTAACGGAGTTGGTGGAATGACAACCAGAGAGCAGATCAAAGACAAAATATTCCAGCTGGGTTGTGAAAATTGCAAAAGTATCCCGCCAACCGGATTCGAACCAGTGACCTAAGGATTGCTATTCTACAGTCCTCCGCTCTACCAACTGAGCTATAGCAGGTTGAAGTGAATGACACGTTAGGTTTTAAATCTATTTAAAGTTTAAATGGTACTAACCCACACCTCAAGATTACGTCTCGTCTGCAATCATGCGAATTCTTGCCGTACATCACGGCGTCTCTCGCCTCTGTACACTGCCTCTCCCCATCTCCACCGCATTCCACCGATTCCGGCCGACCTGTCTCTACATACCCCGTCCTCGGGCGTCTCAGTCTCCCGCCACATCCGCGCAATTCCTCGGGCGCTCTTCCGTCGACGCGCATTCTTCCGCGCAGGCCAACCCCGCGGAGATGGTGGCGGAGGCGGAAGCCCTGGACGGGTCTGGTACCGCCACTTCTCCTATTACCACGAACGGCGCTGGTACTAGCGCCACGAGCACTGCTGCTAGGTCATTATTACTAGATAGTATTGAAAGCACCGTTCCTTTCACACTCCGCGGTGTCGTTTTCGATATGGACGGGACTCTGACCGTGCCGTGCATAGATTTCGCCGAGATGCGCCGGCGCGTGGGCGCCACGAGCCCGGATATTCTGCACGAGATCGACGGTTGGGATGAGCCGAGACGAGTCGAGGCGTATCGTGTGATTGGGGAGATGGAGGCGGAGGCGAAGCGACGGCTGCAGATCATGCCAGGTGGGTGAATGGCGAATCTACGGTTGCAGTTCATGGGTGAATGGCGATTCAACAGCTGCAGATCATGCCAGGTGGCTGAATGGTAAATCTACGGTTGCAGATTATGCCAGGTGGGTGAATGTCGAATCTACGGTTGCATGCCAGGTGTGAATGGCTTATGTACTTTTGCGGATCATGCCAGGTGGGTGGATTTTGAATCGACGGCTGCAGATCATGACAGGTAGGTGGATTGGGCAATATGGGGTAAGAACCCCTGCATTGACCTGTGCCATGACCCATGAAGTGACCCATGAATTGACTCATGCACTGGCTCATAAGCTGACCATGAATTGACCGACCATGAGTTGATCCACCCATGCGTTGACCATGAGTTCACCCACCCATGCGTTGACCATGAGTTGACCCATGCGTTGACCCATGAGTTGACACATGCGTTGACCATGAATTGACCCAAGTGTTGACCGTGTGTTGACCCATGTGTTGACCCATATGATGACCCAGTTGCACTATCGTTCGCTGACCCGTGCTTTGACTCATCTCAAATGGCTTGATAGCCAACTCAAAAGCCACCATCCTCCTTGCCTGGTCCTCTCTCCCACTCAGTGCACATCTTTTCTGGACCTCTTTTTGCAACTTCTGGAACCACATATGGAGCAGCATATGTTCAGCAGCACTATTTGTAGAATTTTCCAAAACCGCTAACAGTAGTAACCCTCCTACCCTGTGCGTTTCACAGTAACCCTCCTACCCTGTGCGTTTCACAGAAACCCTCCTACCCTGTGCGTTTCGCAGTAACCCTCCTACCCTGTGCGTTTCACAGTAGCCCTCTTACCCTGTGCATTTCACAGTAACCCTCCTACCCTGTGCGTTTCACAGTAACCCCTCTACCCTGTGCGTTTCACAGAAACTCTCCTACCCTGTGCGTTTCACAGTAACCCTCCTACCCTGTGCGTTTCACAGAAACCCTCCTACCCTGTGCGTTTCGCATGTATTTTCAGGGGCTCGCGAGCTCATCGCCTTTCTTGATGCCCGGAACATCAGGCGAGGGCTTATAACGAGGAACGTGAAGGATTCAGTGGACCATTTCCATAGCAATTTCGAGGTCAGTCTCATACCCGTTGAGGAATTTCTTGTTACCAGCTCTGGGCTTATGACGAGGAATGTGAAGGATTAAGTGGATCATTTCCATAGCAGCTTCGAGGTGAGTTTCGTACCTGTTAAGAAAATCTTCGTTACCAGCATTAGGCTTTTAACGAGGAATGTGAAGGATTCAGTGGATCATTGCCATACCAAGCTTCGAGGTGAGCCTTGGATTATGAAGTACGGGTGTGTAACAAGTTTGCCTTGTTGTATGGTGGGGTTTTCTTGTCTGGTATATGTAAACTCTTGTTTTTTTTTTTTAGCTCATGCATCCATCTCCCTCCTCTTATTTTCTTCTTCAGCAGAAGCCATTAGTTGTGAGGTTTCACCAGAGCACCACATGCTGCATACTGTCTCTTTACTTGGCAAGGTCATCTTTGCAGCATGTGTTTGTTTTCTTTCCTTCTGGCCCAATCACCAGGTTCCCCCCTTTTCGCCTGCTCTCAGTCGTGAATTCCAACCCTATAAGCCACATGCTGCCCCGTTATTGCATATTTGTGAACAATGGGGTGTACATCCTTCGGAGGTGATTATGGTGGGAGACTCCGCAAAAGACGATGTAAGATGTCAAGTAGTGTAGCATTCGTGCGATTCTTATCATGTGTGTCCTCGTTATGCTCCTTATCATTGCTCCCTGCTCACCAATTATATCGTTGGGCTTTTGCAGGTGTTGTGTGGAAAGAGAGCAGGTGCTATCACATTTTTTCTTGACGAGGATGGCAAGTTCCCCAGCGTTGACGAGATGCCGGAAGAAATCAGACCCCATTTTCGTATCAGAACTTTGAATGAGATGCTGAATCTCCTCATGTCACCAATGTTTGTGCTACACTCTGACTAGTTTCATAAGCTCCTAAATGTATTGTGTTGCAACATATCATTTCACCCATGCTGTACTCGATCCGAACCATGCAACATCTACACGTGGCACCCTGGTTTCATCCCGTCGGTGTGTGATGTTCCGGCAGCCAGCCCCCGCCACCCCACGTAGCCCCCGTCGCAGGCCCACTCGGCCAATCCGTTGACCGAGCAACCGCGGATTTCTGGCATTGTTGACGGAACGTGATTGGTATTCAGTTCGTCCTCCGTCAAAATCAGCCGCCAGCTGTTGGCAACCGATAACGAGTTCGCCACGCTGGCGGGTGCAATAACCAGCCACAGCTGCACCACCACCACCACCACCACACAACAGTGGCCACCGTCTCATGAAATCCACCAAATTCAGTCATTTCGGCCCACGAGATTCGTCCATCCGAACCTCGACTTCTCCCCGCAACCCGAATATTTGACAGCACTGACGTCAGTGAGGACGACGTCCTCACCTAAATGGTACCCGCAGAAACGCTATATATACATTATAGACCAGTTAGAAACTAGTGATACTTCCACACCACGCTGCTTCAGCTCCCCTTACCAATCGTCCATCTCATGAGTCGGTGCGCTCTGCTGCTGTCGGTTACAATATTTGAGCCTCGGCACATGATGCCAGTCGTGCGGTTTCGTTCTGTCCGAGTCAACCTATCGCAGCCAGACCAGGCCCATCCCAGGTTCGTTGCCCGGCGACTGATTGGCTGTTCGGTTTGTTCGATGGGCTTGGTTACACTGTAGACGGGCAGCGAAAGTGGGAGAATCGAGACGAACAGCAATCACATCGGCCAGCACATTTTGCGACTCGCTGCTCTTTCTTCCGTTCCTTCGCTTGAAAATTGGAATGCTCGGAGTGGGTATCGTCAGCTTAGCTTCCGTAAGTGCCTTTCCTTCTTGTCGTCCATAAACACGAATTATTGCACCAAACCGCTTTGTACCTTGTTTTCCGTTAATTCTTTACCTCAGTTGTTGTTGGCTACCGTCGTGGTTGGTCGTCGGGATTGGCGAGTCGCGATTCTTCGCGTCGGGAGAATCGTGGTGCTTGGTGCTAGTCAAACCGACATGCTTGCTGCTAGTCAAACCGACACTGCCTGTCATCTTGCCGAAGCAAGTTCTGCCAGCTCAGTCTGACACACCTGAGGGTGTGGCATCATTCTCGCTATAACACCATATCCAATCGTTCAGGTAACCATTGAAACACTGTAAACCGTCAAGCACCTTGCCTAACCGTACTAGCGTGAACTACCTCCACTCACCGTGACAGCCCAGATTGACAGGTGGGTTTGACAGCTGCTAGGGGTGTGTACGGGCATCAGTGGGCGTCCAGCCAAGACCAAGGCCCAGAAAACTAGACCGATTGCGTTCAACTCGATGCTTTCCGTTCGATCGTTTACTAATGCATCCTACCTTCGATTCGTTCAGACCCAGAAAACGAGAATCTCCAGAATAATTTCGTTCGCGGATCACGAGCCTCCACTTAGCTATATTAGTGCTTCTCTAGAGACCCCACCGCACTATGACTCGTCCCTGTCTCCTCCGCAGCTTCGAAAACAAGAATTCTACCTTCTGAAGCCATCTTTCGTCGTTAATTCTACAAGGACTCTTAGTCAATAGCTCTCGGTTTCCCGAATCACGATTTACCCGGGCTCTAGTTCCTGCGTCGCCATTTTCCCGGTTTCTCTTCACAGCCGCAACCATGGTTGGGCCAAAATTATCCTCCGAATCCTTCCTTCGCGACTTAATCGGCGGACGCTACCGCAGAGTGCGGCTAATCGGGCGCGGATCGCACGGCACGGTGTGGGAGTGTGAAGACATCCACACGTCCCTCCGCGTCGCCTGCAAATCCATCCCGCACTTGCCGCGCGATTCGACTCACGCGCAAGCTCCGGTGCGCGTTGACGACATCTGCACGGAGGTCTGCGCGTTGAAGAAGGTCGGGGGGCATATTAATATCGTCGGTTTAATCGAGGTAATTGTGGACTCCGCCGAGGCGCACGTGATTATGGAGTTAGCTCCAGGCGGGGATCTCTTAACGGAGCTCATGCGGCGCGGTGCGTTGAGCGAGCCGCTGGCGGCTACAGTGATGCGGCAGCTCGCATCAGCTGTCGCGTTCTGTCACGCGTGCGGTATCATGCATCGCGACATCAAACCCGACAACGTGCTGCTTGTGCGCCCGCCGCCGCCACCTCCGCCGTCCGCGCGCACGCCGCCAGCGGCAGTGACGCTCGCAGCCGCTTGGGACCACAGCAGCAAAAGCAGTGAGGGTACCAGCAACAGCAATCGCGGGAGCAGCGGCTGTAGCAGCAGCAGCGGCGGCGGCGGCGGCAAGTCGCATCCTAACGGGAGCCACCATTACCACCATCATAATCACCCACCGGGGCACGCGGTTAGGGTTCTCCAGAACCGAACCAACGTCTTCGGGTTGGTAAACTGCCAGAGCACGGGCGCGCTCCCGTCGCGCGGAAAGGATGCTTCCGCCGCGCCTGCTTCCGGGCCTGCCAAGACCGGTTCAACGTCGCTCCCTTCTTCCCCCACTAAATCCAACCTACGTTCCGCTGCCTCCCCCGCTGCCTCCCCCGCTGCCTCCCCTGCTCTCTCGACCTCGAACGCCGCGAGTGCCCCACCTTCCCCACCCGCCTCCCCTTGCACTCCCCCCTCCCCCTTGCGCAACAAGAGCCCGCGACCCTGCATGTCCGCAGGCCCCTCTTGCGGTTCCGCCGTTCCATGCGCTTTTTCCGCGCTCGGCGCGACTTCCGCGCGCGGGGCAAGCGGTGGCGCACGCCTTGGCGGAAGCTTTGGCGCGAGCCGTAGCGCAAGCCTTGGCGGAAGCTCGCCGTTGGGGGAAGATTACGTGGGCGCGGAGCGGCAGATTGTGGGGGTGAAACTCGCGGATTTTGGGGTTTCCGCGATTCTGAAAGGGGGGATGCGCGAGCTCCGCCGCAGCAGGGGCGCAGGGACGCCCGCGTATATGGCGCCGGAAATGGGCTGGCGGAAGCGGGGGGGCGGGCGCGGGGAAGCAGAGGGGGAGATGGGGAACCAGGAGAATGGGGGTGGAAAGGGTCTGAACGCAGGGGTAAATAACCCAAGTTCTTCAGATCTGCCCGAGTACGGCGTGAAGGCGGACGTGTGGAGCCTCGGGGTAACACTGTGCACAATTTTGACTGCCCGGATTCCTTCCCATCCTGTAGACTTTTCAAAACCTGAATGGGAGGGGGTTTCGGCAGACGCAAAGGATCTGGTCCGTCGGATGCTGGTGGTGGACCCGGATCAACGGCTGAGCTCGTTCGAGGTGCTGGAGCATCCGTGGCTGAACCAGACGGCCGTTCGATCGTTGGACCCAGCTGTGCGCTGCCCCCACCTTCTCTCGCCCTCCCTGCCTGGCGAAACCAGTGGTAACCAGGTTACACGGATCGTCTGCGTGTAGCTGCTGTAGCAGGGAGAGCAGCCAAGGGGCTGTGGCAGAAGCAGCCTAAAGGCTGAGCCAGGGCCAACAGCAAAGGGGAGCAGAGGCAACAGTAGAAGCTGGAGCAGAACGGCTTTAAGCGTCAGCAGGACAGCCTATGAGTGTCAACAATACATGGGTTGACGGTTGAACGTCCACCGGACAAACTTTAAGCGTCAGCACCAAGACAGGCTTTGAAGGTCAACCATAGATGCTTTGAAGCATCCACTGGACAAATAACTGGGCGAGGGGATGGTGGGTGGGAGTTGTGCGGCAAACCCTAAATCAGCAGCAGTCGCTGAAGCAGAAAGGCATTCGTCAGCAGCAAGACAGGCTTTGAAGGTCAACAGTACATGCTTTGAAACGTCCGCTGGACAAATGACAGGAAGAGTGGGATGGTGGGTGGGAGGGTGGGTGGGTGGTGTGCTGTGCGGCAACTCCTACATCAGCAGCAGTTGCTGAAGCAGAAGGACTTTCAGTGTCGGCAGCAAGACCGGCTTTGAAGGTCAACAGTACATGCTTTGAAACGTCCGCTGGACAAATGACAGTAAGAATGGGAGGGTGGGTGGGTTCTGTGTTGTGCGGCAAACCCTACATCAGCAGCAGTTGCTGAAGCAGAAAGGCTTTCAGCGTCAGCAGCAAGACTGGCTTTGTGGGTTGACAGTACATGCTTTGAAATGTCCACTGGACAAATAACTGGGCGAGGGGATGGTGGGTGGGTGATGTGCAGCAAACCCTAACTCCGGTTGCAGTTTGGTGTACATCACTTCCCCCACCCTCCTCCTTGCTCCAATAACAGGGCGCTCCTTACAAGGGACCTTTTAGTAACAACCAGGACAGGACTACTGTACCTCTGCTAGTGGACTGCCTACTGTACCTCTGCCCATATCTTACTCCTTGTTTCTTTATTGTGGCGTGCATAGGTGATTGTACTGCAGTTTTGCCCAAGCAGAAAAAGAAAATACGGTACGATCGTAGGACCAGACATGCAATGTCTGTAATTTGATCACTATGGCTTCCGCAAGGGACTGTGAATCTGTAGGCACATACGGTACTGGTAATAGTGCCGGTATTCTTAATTAAGTGCACAAGGGCTGAGTCATGATACCATCCGTATCATGATTGCCAGCATAGGTTCCCTCTGTACACAGAAGCCCACTGTAGTTTAACCCTCCATACAATACAAAGCAGCTGAACTGCCCACTAAAAACGTCAAAACCCAGCCGCCTCACCTCAGCCTCTCCCTGTACAATACAACTATTATCAACTAAACCCACCCTCCCACTTGAGGGTAAAAAACCCAGCCGCCTCACCCTCCCACCCTCCCAAACGTAAAAAACCAGCCGCCTCACCCTCCCACCCTCCCAAACGTAAAAACCCAGCCGCCTCACCCTCCCACCCTCCCAAACGTCAAAACCCAGCCGCCTCACCTCAGCCTCTCCCTGTACAATACAGCTATTATCAACTAAACCCACCCTCCCACTTGAGTGCAGCTCCGAGGCAGCTCGCGTGGATCAAAACTCCAGCAGAGCTGGAAATTAGGCTCACTTTCCCACTGAATGAATGCCTACAATACAGAAAGGACCCCCTACCATATAGAAGCCCACCCACCCTCCCACTGAGTGCAGCTCCAAGGCAGCTCGCCTGGATCAAAACTGCGGCACTGTAGCAGACCTGCCCGAGGCAAGAGTGAGTGTTGCTACTGCTGTAGCATACCCTCCAAGATATGGCCCGGCATGGCTCGGTCTGGCTTGGTGTGGATTGGTTTGGCTCGGATTGGCTTGGTGTGGCTTGGTTAGTGAAACGGCTGCAACTGCTACGGATTATAGGGACTGACCCTGTTGCCTTTACCTGCTGCTCTTGCTGCAATCTTTCACTCATGCCCCTGCATCCTTTTCCTTATGCCCCTGCTACAACATCGTGCTACTGCACTTGCTGGAGTCTCAGCGTCCCTGCTACAGTTTTAGGACCTGACTACACTGCTGCATGCCCTGCCAGCCACAACAGCTACATGCAGACGATCCGTGTAACCTGGTTACCACTGGTTTCGCCAGGCAGGGAGGGCGAGAGCAAGTGGGGGCAGCGCACGGCCGGGTCCAACGATCGAACGGCCGTCTGGTTCAGCCACGGATGCTCCAGCACCTCGAACGAGCTCAGCCGTTGATCCGGGTCCACCACCAGCATCCGACGGACCAGATCCATCGCCTCTGCCGGCACCCCTCCCCACGCCGGATGATCAAAATCCAAAGGAACGGTTGGGATTCGCGCAGTGAGCATCGTGCAGAGAGTCATCCCCATGCTCCAAACATCAGCCTTAAAGCCATACTTCCCAGTTTCAGCTCCCCCTGCCGCCTCCGCCAATTCAGGTCTCCTGCTCTCGCGTCGCATCAGTTCAGACAATCTCGTGATTTCAGGTGCCATGTATACGCGCGTGCCCGCCCCCATGTCTTGCCGCTGGGCGGACAACCCTCCGCGCATAAGCGCTGCTACCCCAAAATCGGCAATCTTGACCCCGAGAATTTGCCGCTCTGAGCCAGGATGATGTGCTGGGGCACAAGTGGAGAGACTATGGGCTAGTAATTTCGACGCATCCACTCGGCTGCTGCTGCTGCTGCAGCAGCTGCTTGCGCTAATGCCCCCAGAATTGCTCGTATTTTCAAGGGTGGTTGCGATGTTAACCCCGCTGCTGCAGCGGCGGTTTGCTCGCTGTGCGTTGGGAGGGGAAGGGGATCGCCTGGATCGAACCGGAGAGGAGGGCTCCGATATAACGTCTCTTCGATATAAGGAGCCCTTGCGATCGTCGCGCGCAGGACTGCTGTGAGCCGATATGGCCGAATCGCCGTCTGGGAAAGCGCACGTCTCACCACCGCTGCTAGAACCGCTGCTGCTGCTTCTTTCCCACTTGCCGCTGCCGCAACCGCTGTTGCTGCTACAATCGCTGCCGCCGCTACAACCGCTATCGCTGTTACCGCCACTGCTGCTGCTACAGCCGCTGCCGTCGCTCGTCACAGCCTGGTTGGTGCGGACAGCGAAAGCCCGCACCGCATTTCCCGGCACGCGCCTCTTGAACCCCTCCCCCGAGACTCTCTCCCTTCCGAACCTTCCGCCCTCCCGTCCGAACCTCTCGCTCTCCCCAAACCCCTTCTCCCCCCTCTCCCCCGAGAACCTCCCGCGCGCCATTCCCTCGCGCAATTCCGCTCGCATTTCCCCCACCGGCGCTTCACATTCTTCCGCCGCTGACGTCATCCCCTGCGGCGTCCGCGTGGACGGCGCCAGTGGCGGCGGCGGCGGGCGCACGAGCAGCACGTTGTCGGGTTTGATGTCGCGATGCATGACGCCGCACGCGTGGCAGAACGCGACAGCCGATGCGAGCTGCCGGAACACAGTAGCGGCGAGCGGCGCGTCCAGCGGACCGCGGCGCATGAGCTCCGTTAAGAGATCCCCACCCGACGCGAGCTCCATAACGAGGTGCGCTTCGGCGGAGCCTACTACCACGTCGACGAGTCGAACCACGTTCGGATGTCCGCCGACAGTCTTTAACGCGGATACCTCAGTACAGACCTCATGCACCTGCGCATGCGGAGGAGCGTGTCGCGCGCCAGATGCGCCGCCTCTCGCGGCGGGAACCCCGACGGGAACAGCGCCGGAGGGGACGGAGGGCCGTCGATGGTGTGGAATGGATTTGCACGCGACGCGGAGGGACGTGCGGACGTCCTCGCACTCCCACACGCTGCCATGCGAGCCGTGGCCGATCACTCGCAAGCGCCGGTAGCGGCCGCCAATCAGAGCGTTGCTGCTTTCGGAGTCGCTGCTTCCATTGGCTGTGGCATAATCGCCGGAGGGCGGTAGAGGGAATGCACGTTCGCTTTTTCCGCGAAGACGCACGTCGAACATCGCATGAAGTGGCGGACAACCGGAAAGCAGTCGTGTAAACCGGTTGAAATACAATGGAGCGGTGTGAGAGTCGGTTGCAGAAAAAACTCGCAGTAGACAAAAAAAAAAGGCCGTCACCCGCAAATACTAGAGTCTGGAATAAACTCCGGAAATGGAAGAGATCGAGAGCGAGGGCGAGTGGCAGACGAGCGAGTGGAGAGGTCTCGTACCGCCAGACCCACTCGAGTCGATCGTTTCTAGCTCTACGTTCGATCGGTCCTGCGTCTCCAAGTGTTTTTGAGACTTCTAAGAAACGGAAAATCGAGCGGTGCGACCTTTGCTGAAATCTGTATGTCCGTCGAGCTGTTTCTACACGGTTGGGCAATCAGACAAGTATTTCTCTCTCTTTCCGCTCTCATGGCTTCACGAAAATCCTGGCGCGCCGCTTTCCAATTCAGAAGAAGAAGCGGTGGTCAGACGGAATAAAGCTTGCCGTAAGGTTGACGTGACGTGAATCATTCTCTCCGTGACCTGAGTAGGCGTGCTCCAGCAGCAGCTGAGGATGATGTTGATTGATGTGTACTGACGATCCGCTGTGATAGTTTTGTCGAGGCCCGAAATTGCTTGAGAGCAAAAATCAGTTGAGCTTGGTGAGGTGAAACGTGTGTCTGGAGAACAGGGTCGCTGTGATGCGTCTCGTGATGGTGTGGTGATAGCTAGCGAAGCGAGGTTCGAGGTTTTGATGTATTACAGTAGCCAGGTATAGTCCAGCGCTGCCTAGCGGTGCAAAACGGTGGAGAGGCTTTGCTACTTGCATTCGGACTACAGTGCAAGTGTGACTGCTGGTTGTGTGGCACGGGCGGCTGATTTACTCATTTCGCATTGGCGCTGAGCTGGAAGAGCCGCCAGGGCTGCACAGTTCCGCGCAGGTTTGACGTGGCCGTGACGAAGGAAGGCGGCCATGGGGGTGGCATTCCCGACAGGCAGGCAGGCCATCTCCCCTCCCGCCGCAAGCGACAGCAAAGCTTGCCGCGGAGCGGAACTGATTCTGCGCGTAGCCCTTGAGGCGTCGCGCGCACTCCGCACCGCAGACCTGGGCAAAAATGTCTCGACAGGTTGGGTCTGGTTGGTTTGGTTGTGCCAAGCGTGAATGCAGGTGAGTTTGGCTTGGTGCACCCGCACGTTGACAAGAGGCATGGCGGCGCACCGCGCGATGATTGCGCAAGCAATTCGGGGATTTGGTCCGGTTTTGGGGCGCTCAAGCCTGGAGCTGCTCTTCTCTGGGCCAAGCTCCCCTTTAGGTTTGGAAAATCGTCCAGGTTTCTGGCTTGTTCGTGTACAGTTCTGCATTGTCGAGCCAGCACAGCAGTCGCAGCGCTGCACGGCACCAAACGTGTGGATGGTGGGGATTTGCAGGAGGAAGCAATTTCGGCAAGAGCAGCTGCCTTGAAATCAAGCACAGTAACGACCAACCCAAAAATATCTAAGCTGTCACTCAGAATCTGTGTAGAGAAATGCTTAACCATCCAGTCCACAAATCCACACTTGAATGAACCAGAGTAGGAAATCCTTGAATGGCTGTCAGCTCAAAGAATGTGGAGTAAAAATAAAAGAGGGCACATCAGTGGAACGCCCTGGGTCGCATGTTGCCCGTCGTGACCTCATGTTCATTCATCGGTTTCGCACGAGAAATCACAGCATCTACCACACCAATAAGATCACGTCCACTCATCTGGCCCACTACCTGCTGCATCATTTACTACAGGCAGAGAGTTTCCCAGGCAGATTGAACCTGGAAAACGATCAGAAGATCGTTGAATCATACCAAAGCCGAGATTCTATTTGAGCAACAACCTGGCAGTGAAACGTAAAATTTTGGAAGTGGTTGGTGGAAGTTAATGTCGTGACCTGATTTTGGCGGGATACACCACTTCCAGAACTCAATACAAGTGTCTTTAAAAGCGTGTACAAATCGATGACCGCTTCCAAGGAGACATAGAAAACCAGACCTTTGTTATCCATGGCTTTAGTTTTGTCTCTGTTGAAACTCACTTGGGTTGAATTGCTAGAAGTATTGCAGAAACCTTCCGAGGATTAGTTTGCATGAGGCATCCTTCTGGAGGCATACTGCAACCGCAGAAAGGGGGGAAAAAAAAGGGAGATAACTTGCACTAAGAGGAAATCACGAATGACAATATATGCAATATTGGCTGTACTGACCTTGTTGCTCCAAATGGGCAGAGATCATTCAAGTGTATCTTCTCTGTTTGCGGTGCCAACGATCGTGCCGATGCATGGATGTGCGATACACCTGATTGCGTGACAATACTTGCTGCATTCTCTGGATTTACTCCACCTGAAACATAGGATACAGAGACGTGTCATGTAATGCCCTGTTAAAGGATTTTTAGATAAAAAATAATAATTGGACGCCCTGACAGCTGGCTGTGTTATTTCTGGATGTGGGGCCTTTTGTAACCATGAGCATCCTTACCTCGTTGATATTCACCTCCTCACCAGCCCTCCCAATCATTCCCTTCCCCCTGCCATGACTTGGACCCTTCCTCTTGCTTCTGTCATCAGCCTCTCTATCAGTCCCACCCCCTCCTCTGCTCTAGCCTGCAAAAACCAGTCACCCCAGCCCGTTTACTCGTCTCCCCCCCTCCCACGAAGCCCTCACCTCCACCCATGCCTTGGATCCTTCCTCTTGCTTCTGTCACCAGCCTCCCAACCAGCCCCATGCCCTCGTCTTTTGTTGAGGAGCCTCAGAAGTACCCTCCCTCCTCACCACCCCACTCTACTTGTCTCCTTCCTGACCACTTACCTCCAACCATGCCTTCGATCCTTCCTTGTGCTTCTGCCACCAGCCTCCCTGTCAGCTTCACTCCTTCCTCTGCTGCCGCCCGCTGCCAGGCAAGAATCCTTCAACCTGCCTCTGGATTCCCCCCCCCCCCCCCCCCCTCCACAAAAACCTTACCTCCAGCCATGATCTGGATCGTTCCTTGTGCTTCCGCCACCAGCCTCCCTGTCAGCCCCATGCCCTCCCTGTCAGCCCCATGTCTGCTGTCGTGCACTGTTCAGAAGCAACCCTACCACCCCACTCTACTTGTCCCGTTCCTGACCACTTACCTCCAGCCATGCCTTGGATCCTTCCTCTTGCTTCCTCCGGCCCAAAACCAGACACCCTAGCCCGTCTACTCGTCTACTCGTCTACTCGTCTACTCGTCTACTCGTCTACTCGTCTACTCGTCTACTCGTCTACTCGTCTACTCGTCTACTCGTCTACTCGTCTACTCGTCTACTCGTCTACTCGTCTACTCGTCTACTCGTCTACTCGTCTACTCGTCTACTCGTCTACTCGTCTACTCGTCTACTCGTCTACTCGTCTACTCGTCTACTCGTCTACTCGTCTACTCGTCTACTCGTCTACTCGTCTACTCGTCTACTCGTCTACTCGTCTACTCGTCTACTCGTCTACTCGTCTACTCGTCTACTCGTCTACTCGTCTACTCGTCTACTCGTCTACTCGTCTACTCGTCTACTCGTCTACTCGTCTACTCGTCTACTCGTCTACTCGTCTACTCGTCTACTCGTCTACTCGTCTACTCGTCTACTCGTCTACTCGTCTACTCGTCTACTCGTCTACTCGTCTACTCGTCTACTCGTCTACTCGTCTACTCGTCTACTCGTCTACTCGTCTACTCGTCTACTCGTCTACTCGTCTACTCGTCTACTCGTCTACTCGTCTACTCGTCTACTCGTCTACTCGTCTACTCGTCTACTCGTCTACTCGTCTACTCGTCTACTCGTCTACTCGTCTACTCGTCTACTCGTCTACTCGTCTACTCGTCTACTCGTCTTACTCCGTCTACTCGTCTACTCGTCTACTCGTCTACTCGTCTACTCGTCTACTCGTCTACTCGTCTACTCGTCTACTCGTCTACTCGTCTACTCGTCTACTCGTCTACTCGTCTACTCGTCTACTCGTCTACTCGTCTACTCGTCTACTCGTCTACTCGTCTACTCGTCTACTCGTCTACTCGTCTACTCGTCTACTCGTCTACTCGTCTACTCGTCTACTCGTCTACTCGTCTACTCGTCTACTCGTCTACCGTCTACTCGTCTACTCGTCTACTCCCGTCTACTCGTCTACTCGTCTACTCGTCTACTCGTCTACTCGTCTACTCGTCTACTCGTCTACTCGTCTACTCGTCTACTCGTCTACTCGTCTACTCGTCTACTCGTCTACTCGTCTACTCGTCTACTCGTCTTACTCGTCTACTCGTCTACTCGTCTACTCGTCTACTCGTCTACTCGTCTACTCGTCTACTCGTCTCCTCTTCTATTCGTTCACTCGTCTACTCGTCTACTCGTCTACTCGTCTACTCGTCTACTCGTCTACTCGTCTACTCGTCTACTCGTCTACTCGTCTACTCGTCTACTCGTCTACTCGTCTACTCGTCTACTCGTCTCTCCCCTCCCACGAAGCCCTCACCTCCAGCCATGCCTTGGATCCTTCCTCTTGGTTCTGCCACCAGCTTCCCTATCAGCCCCATGCCCTCCTCTGCTGTCGTGCACTGTTCAGAAGCAACCCTACCAACCTGCATCTTCTTATCTCCTTCCTAACCACTCACCTCCAGCCATGATTTGGATTCTTCCTTGTGCTTCCTCCACCAACTTCCTGATCAGCCCCACTCCTTCCTCTGCTGTAACCCGCTGCCCTGACGTCAGCAGCCTCGTCACTCCACTCGATATAAGAACCTGGTTGAAAGAACACTAGGTATGAGTCAACGGTTCATTCAAAAATACCTTATCAGCTTCACTCCCTTCTCTGCTGTCGCCCGCTAGCCTCACGTCAGCAGCCTCGTCACTCCATTTGATATAAGAACCTGGTTTGAAGAACACAAGGTACAGGTGAAAGGTGTAATGAAGAGAGACTCGCATCCACTCACATTGACTGGCATTGATCTGAGTTGACTTCATTGACTTGTATTAGCTTGCATTGACTTTGGACTTTCATGCCTTGCATTCCATCCAACTAATTTGAGAGTCGCAAAGCACACATACTGATTGAAGTGAAATGGTGGAGATGCATTGTCAACTTGCATTGACTTGTGTTGACTGCGCATTGACTTTTGACTTTCATGATTTGCATGCACTAATGCGAGAACCTGAGAGCGCACCAATTGATAGGAGAGAAACCGGGTAGATTGAAGTGAAACTGGAGAGATGTAATGGGCGATGTCAACTGGGGAATTTTTTTATAATTCTAAAAAACACCCTGAAACTGGGGAGATGTAATGGGCGATGTCAACTGGGGAATTTTTTGAGAATTCTAAAAAACACCCTGAAACTGGGGAGATGTAATGGGCGATGTCAACTGGGGAATTTTTTGAGAATTCTAAAAAACACCCTGAAACTGGGGAGATGTAATGGGCGATGACAACTGGGGAAAGGTCAACTTATGATCCCTCCTGCAACGCACCCAGGCGGTCCCATGGTATAGCCTACAAAATTAACTCACCTGCTAAGCACCCACAGGGTCTCACGTGTGGTCAAAGGTCCGGTGGAAGGTGATTTGCATGGCTTGCAGTGAAAGGAAGGAGTGAAGCCTAAGAGAAAGAAACTCTTTTGCAGAGCACCCACGGGGTCTCACGTGTGGTCAGATGTCCGGTGGAAGGTGGCAGTGAATGAACGGCCGCATATGTGAGGGAGTAGAGATGGGACAGAGAGTGGGTGGACCAGCAGCTCACCTGCAGCGCACCCATGGGGTCTCTCGTGTGGTCAAAGGCGCGGTGGAAGGTGACTGGCAGTGAATGGCAATCAGCACATGGGAGGGAGGGGAGACGGGTCAGAGAGTGGGTCGACTGGCAACTTACCTGCAGTGCACCGATGGGGTCCCTCGTGTGGTCAAAGGCGTGGTGGAAAGTGGCTGGCAGTGAATGGCGGGGCAGGAAAGACCAGGATATCTGTGAGCTTTTGTATTGGCTGAGTGAGAACTCACCTGCAGTGCAGCCATAGGATCTCTTGTGTGGTCAAAGGCCCGGTGGAAGGTGACTGGCAGTGAATGGCGGACCGCACTTGCGAGGAAGCGGTGAAGCTGAAGAGGGAGATGGGGGGGAGGGGAAGGGAAGGCAGTGTGGAGAGGTGTGGACGAGAGAGAGTAGGACTAACAGGTGTGTTCAAAGGCCCGGTGGAAGGTGACTGGCAGTGAGTGGCAGGCTGCACTTGAGAGGAAACGGTGAAGCTGAGGAGGGGAGAGGGGGAGGGGAAGGGTGAGAGCAGGGAAGAGAGATGATGGGAGGTGACTGGCAGTGAGTGGAGGGCTGCACTTGCGAGGAAGCGGTGAAGCTGAGGAGGGGAGAGACGGGGAAGGGAGGGATGCAGAGAGTGGGTAGAGGTTAGTGGGCGATAGGGGAAGGGAGGGAAGGAAAGGCACGGTGGAAGGTGACTTGCAGTGAGTGGAGGGCAGCACATGGTGAGGAAGCAGTGGAGCTGAGGAGGAGAGAGACGCGGAAGGGAGGAAAAGTTAAAAGCACTGGCTGGGGGTAACGGATGGATTGGGATGGGGAGAGAGCAAGGGATGTTCAGTGATTCGGTAGTGGGTTGAGGACAGATGGGGGAAGGAAGGAGAAGAGTTCCCAGGTGCGGTTAAACGGACCCATTTTTTAGTCTACTAAAAAATGGGATGGGGAGAGGGAGGGAGGTTCAATGAAGCGTGACCAAGCGTGACCAAGCGTGACCAAGTGTGACCAAGCGGGACCAAGCGTGACCAAGCGTGACCAAGCGTGACCAAGTGTGACCAAGTGTGACCAAGCGTGACCAAGCGTGACCAAGCGTGACCAAGTGTGACCAAGCGTGACCAAGCGTGACCAAGCGTGACCAAGTGTGACAAAGCGTGACCAAGTGTGACAAAACGTGACCAAGCGTGACCAAGTGTGACCAAGCGTGACCAAGTGTGACCAAGCGTGCCCAAGTGCGACAAAGCGTGACCGAGTGTGACCAAGTGTGACCAAGCGTGACCAAGCGTGACCAAGTGTGACCAAGCGTGACCAAGCGTGACCAAGCGTGACCAAGCGTGACCAAGCGGGACCAAGCGTGACCAAGCATAACCAAGCATGCCCTAGTGTGACCAAGCGTGACCAAGTGTGACCAAGTGTGACCAAGCGTGACCAAGCGTGACCAAGCGTGACCAAGTGTGACCAAGCGTGACCAAGCGTGACCAAGCGTGACCAAGTGTGACAAAGCGTGACCAAGTGTGACAAAACGTGACCAAGCGTGACCAAGTGTGACCAAGCGTGACCAAGTGTGACCAAGCGTGCCCAAGTGCGACAAAGCGTGACCGAGTGTGACCAAGTGTGACCAAGCGTGACCAAGCGTGACCAAGCGTGACCAAGCGGGACCAAGCGTGACCAAGCGTGACCAAGCGTGACCAAGCGTGACCAAGCATAACCAAGCATGCCCTAGTGTGACCAAGCGTGACCAAGTGTGACCAAGTGTGACCAAGCATGACCAAGCGTGACCAAGCGTGACCAAGCGTGACCAAGCGTGACCAAGCGTGACCAAGCGTGACCAAGTGTGACAAAGCGTGACCAAGTGTGACAAAACGTGACCAAGCGTGACCAAGTGTGACCAAGCGTGACCAAGTGTGACCAAGCGTGCCCAAGTGCGACAAAGCGTGACCAAGTGTGACCAAGCGTGACCAAGCGGGACCAAGCGTGACCAAGCGTGACCAAGCGTGACCAAGCATAACCAAGCATGCCCTAGTGTGACCAAGCGTGACCAAGTGTGACCAAGTGTGACCAAGCATGACCAAGCGTGACCAAGCGTGACCAAGTGTGACCAAGCGTGACCAAGCGTGACCAAGCGTGACCAAGTGTGACAAAGCGTGACCAAGTGTGACAAAACGTGACCAAGCGTGACCAAGTGTGACCAAGCGTGACCAAGTGTGACAAAGCGTGCCCAAGTGCGACAAAGCGTGACCGAGTGTGACCAAGTGTGACCAAGCGTGACCATGTGTGACCAAGCGTGACCAAGCGTGACCAAGCGAGACCAAGCGTGACTAAGCGTGACCAAGAGTGACCAAGCGTGACCAAGCGTGACCAAGCGTGACCAAGCGTGACCAAGCGTGAACAAGCGTGACCAAGGGTGACCAAGCGTGACCAAGGGTGATCAAGCGTGCCCAAGTGTGACCAAGCGTGACCAAGCATGACCAAGCGTGACCAAGCGTGCCCAAGTGTGACCAAGCGTGACCAAGCATGACCAAGCGTGACCAAGCGTGACCAAGTGTGACCAAGCGTGACCAAGCGTGACCAAGCGTGACCAAGCGTGACCAAGCGTGACCAAGCGTAACCAAGTGTGACCAAGCGTGACTAAGCGTGACCAAGCGTGACCAAGCGTAACCAAGCGTGACCAAGTGTGACCAAGTGTGACCAAGCGTGACCAAGCGTGACCAAGTGATGAGGTTCTATCGACCTCCAGCTGAGGTTCTATCGACTCCCTCGAGGTGATGAGGTTCGTTCGACCTTGCAGTGGTACGACGGAGATCCGGTCCGGCGAGAACTTGAGGTAGCCATACGCTAGTGCAATGCCGCCCGCCGTCACATGCGTCGTCGCCGAGAGCCCTCCACCGTTTCGTAGAGGAGATCGACGTTGACCATCGACGTCGGCACATGAGATGTCTGCAGCCGCCGTCGACTGCTGCACTCGCGCCTGACTCCTGTCGATGCCACCGTCGACCTTGATCACCCCTCGATGCTTTGTGTCGTCGTTGCCGCTGACTCGTGCACCACCGTCGACCTCGTCGTCAACGCCTCCTTCGTTTCGTACCGGACGAGGTGATGCAGGACGGGAAGGATGCTCCGTCGCCCACTGCGCCCGGATGCCAAACTAGACAATCGCCAAAGGGACCTTCCTGTAGTCGCCATCCTCAATGCGTTTCCGCGCATCAGCAAAACGTGTCTCCAAGGTGTCCTCTACCGCGCCGGCCGTTGGCAGGGTAGGCATCATGTTTGCACGTGCTGCCGGCCTACGAACGACTTAGTAGGTGCAAAAGTCGGCTCTTATCTCAAAGTAATTTGCGGGGCCGTCCACGCTCACCGCACCATGCGGAGAATCACTCTACAAAGTAGTGAGCTACACCACGGGGGGGAAAGGGGGGGGTGGCACGAACTACTAGGAGTGATCGTAGTTTTGATTAGTTTCCTTAGTGCTTGCACGTTCACAGGAGAAATCGGTCAGAGTTTCCACCAGGCAAAGGTTGCATTACAAAATGATTGAACAAGCAATAACAAAAAATGACTACATCAGGCACCTAAAAACTCTGTAGCTAGCCTGGTTGACCGCCAGCACAACTTGGTCGACCGCCTGCCATCGTTGCGCAGAGGAGCCGCGCCAGCACTGCAGAAAGGCGACCTGCCAACACAGCAGGTCGACGGCGTGCCAACGCTGCGGCAGAGCGGCTGTCCGGCGTTGCACCTGTGGATAAGAAAGTGCGCATGCTCGTAGTTGCGCGCAGACGATTGGTCCGACTTGCATCGTTGTGTATCCGTCGGCTGTAGTCTGCGCCTGACGAGCCACATCGACTTCGAGATACCAGCCCGAAGTCGACTTCGTCACCGCGACCTCGACGACGTTCGCGTGCCTCCGCAGAACTCGCCGAGCAGGTTTCCTGGTCGACCTGGACACCACCAGATGCACAGATCGACCACCAGGTGCCTCTGGTCGACCACCAAGTGCTCTGGTCGACCACAGTTCCCATCGAGCAACACCATGGTCGACGGTCCCCTCCGTCGACTAGCACTGTCAGCTGTTGTCGCCGAGCTCCCCTCGTCGACCGCTGCTCACATGTCAGGTCGACGGACTACTCCGTCGACCTCCCCGTCGAACTGCTCCTCCTGGTCGACGGCCCACCTGTCGACCAGCCCAGTCAATTGCAGCTGTCGAGCTCCCTGGTCGAAGGCTCCAGCACCGTGACAGGCCTGTGCAGGTCGACGACCACTTCATCCTCCTGCCCCGCAGAAGAAGGCCGTCAAGCACCCCTGGTCGACATTAAGACCACAGTTATCCCTGCAGCTCGAAGAAACCCGTCGGGCAGCTCCCTCACTGCGAACAGTCGACTACTTCTCCCATACATGCGACCAAGTCGTAGGCGTTGCCCAAGCGACGGCGGGGCCTGTTGGCCACGCTTGGCCAAGTGTGACCAAGCCCGACCAAGTGTGACCAAGTGTGACCAAGCGTGACCAAGCGTGACCAAGCGTGACCAAGCGTGACCAAGCGTGACCAAGCGTGACCAAACGTGATCAAGCGTGACCATGTGTGACCAACTGTAACCAAGCATGCCCAAGCGTGAACAAGTGTGACCAAGCGTGACCAAATGTGACTAAGTGTGACCGACCAATTGTGACCAAGTGTGACCAAGCGTGACCAAGTGTGACCAAGTGTAACCAGGCGTGCCCAAGTGTGACCAATCATGACCAAGTGTGACCAAGTGTGACTAAGCGTGACCAAGTGTGACCAAGAGTGCCCAAGTGTAACCAAGTTTGACCAAGTGTGACCAAGCATGCCCAAGTGTGACGAAGAGTGACCAAGTGTGACCAAGTATGACCAAGTCCCAAGTGTGACTAAGCGTGCCCAATTGTGACCAAACGTGCTCAAGTGTGACCAAGCGTGACCAAGCGTGACCAAGAGTGACCAAGTGTGACCAAGCGTGACCAAGGGTGACCAAGCGTGACCAAGCGTGACCAAGCGTGACCAAGCGTGACCAAGCGTGATCAAGCGTGACCAAGTGTGACCAAGTGTGACCAAGTGTGACCAAGTGTGACCAAGCGTGACCAAGCGTGACCAAGTGTGACAAAGCGTGCCCAAGTGTGACCAAGCGTGTCCAAGCGTGACCAAGTGTGACCAAGCGTGAACAAGTGTGACCAAGCGTGACCAAGTGTGACCAAGCGTGTCCAAGCGCGACCAAGCGTGATCAAGCGTGAGCAAGTGTGACCAAGCGTGACCAAGTGTGACCAAGTGTGACCAAGTGTGACCAAGTGTGACCAAGCGTGATCAAGTGTGACCAAGCGTGATCAAGTGTGACCAAGCGTGACCCAGCGTGACCAAGCGTGACCACGAGTGACCAAGCGTGCCCTAGTGTGACCAAACGTGACCAAGGGTGACCAAGCGTAACCAAGTGTAACTAAGCGTACCCAAATGTGACAAAGCGTGCCCAAATGTGACCAAGCGTGACCAAGCGTGACCAAGTGTGACCAAGCGTGACCAAGCGTGTCCAAGCGCGACCAAGCGTGACCAAGCGTGACCAAGCGTGACAAGCGTGACCATGTGCGATCAAGTGTGACCAAGCGTGACCAAGTGTGACTAAGCGTGACCGACCAATCGTGACCAAGCGTGACCAAGCGTGACCAAGCGTGACCAAGTGTGACCAAGCTATACCAAGTGTGACCAAGCGTGACCATGTGTGACCAAGTGTGACCAAGCGTGACCAAGTGTGATTAAGCGTGACCGACCAATCGTGACCAAGTGTGACCAAGCGTGACCAGGTGTGCCCAAGTGTGACCAAGCGTGACCAAGCGTGACCAAGCGTGACCATGTGTGACCAAGTGTGACCAAGCGTGACCAAGTATGACCAAGCGTGACCAAGCGTGACCAAGTGTGATTAAGCGTGACTGACCAATCGTGACCAAGTGTGACCAAGCGTGACCAAGTGTGCCCAAGTGTGACCAAGCGTGACCAAGTGTGACCAAGCGTGACCATGTGTGACCAAGTGTGACCAAGCGTGACCATGTGTGACTAAGCGTGACCGACCAATCGTGACCAAGCGTGACCAAGCTATACCAAGTGTGACCAAGCGTGCCCAAGTATGACCAAGCATGAACAACTGTGACCAAGCGTGCCCAAGTGTGATCACGCGTGAGCAAGTGTAACCTAGTGTGACCAAGCGTGACCAAGTGTGATCAAGCGTGCTCAAGTGTGACCAAGCATTCCGATTGTTAAATGCTTTTCACTGCGCCTAAAGGTTTCATGCGCTTTTTATGCATTTGACGTAAAAAACAGCCGAAATCATAGGCGCCGAACTTTTCATTGCGCACGAACCAAGCCAAAAGGGTTCTAATAGGTGTTTTTGAACATGAGCCACTCGAATATGAAATAACATTCAGGTTATTGAATGTTTTTCCTTACGCCTATAGGGATTCATACGCTTCCCAAACATTTGTCGACAAAAACAGAAAAAATCATAGGCGCCGAACTTTTCTATGTGCAAGAACCAAGTCAAAAGGGTACTTATAGGTGTACTTGGAGGGGAGTGTTTGGGCTGGGAGTATGAAAACGATCGGAACGGGAGGTATCGAGGATGAGCCAAGGATGAAAGGACAGACATGGAAGGACGAACAATCTGTGCAACTACACATGAATCAATGGAGGTTGGTATAGACATGGAGGGGATAGATTCGCTAATTACCTTTAGTTCGTCAATATCGCCTGAAGAAGTAAAAGCGCCCACCACCACACCCGCTGCCCTGGCTGTAGCACCTTCTGAGACATTTCACATTATATAGATTAGTCGATTCTTTAGGGAACTGGCATAAACGTTACCTTTGGTTCGTCAATATCGCCCGAAGGAGTCAAAGCGCCCACCACCACCCCAGCTGCCCCGGCTTTAGCACATGCTTTAATGTCACATGCCATCGCCTGGACTCATACGGAAATGAGATAGTGGCAGAGGTACAATTGCGTGAACATGTATACACCCGATTCTGTTACAATCCATGACACCTTTTGAGTCGACTAAAACACAATTATGAGTTCAGCATGGCATTGTTAAAGAAAGTTTTTTCGAGCAAGCGAGTTTTTGAGCGGGCGAGTGAGAGAGCAAATGAGTGAGTGAGTGAGTGTGTGAGAACAATGAAAGCAAGAGCTTACGGGAGGAGCGGACCTTCATCTCTTCTTCGCTAAAGACAAAATCGCCCGCCCGAGGTCGGATAAGCACGTGCACGGGAATGGGAATGGCCTGTACAACTGCCGTCACCACTGGGGATAGGGTAGGCATGGGGTGGTGTGGGAATGGCACATGCATGACATTGGGGATGGGGTGGGGATGGGGATGGGAATGGGAAAGGAGGAAAGAGAGAAACAGAAATGATGGTAATGGGAATAGCCTGCACAACTTCCGTCACCACTTTTGGCACATGCACGACATTTGGGATGGGGTGGGGGGGGGGATGGGATGCGGTAGGTATGGGGTGGGCATAGGGTGGGGATGGGGTGGGGTGGGGATGGGATGGGTATGGGAAAGGAGGAAGGGGATAAACAGACATGGAGCGGAATGGGGATTGCCTAAACAACTGCCGTCACCACCTTTGGCAGATGCATGAAGCTGGGAGGAGGAAAAATGAAAAGGAAAAAACGCCCACTCACAGCCTATACTGGGAGTGACCCCTCCTTCCACGAGACCTGAGCACAGCTCCACTCGATGGGCGCCACCTGGCAAGCAGGGATTGGATGGTAACGTGAGGGGGAGGCTGCAGAGGTAAGGGTGGTTATTCAAACTAGAACTTGGCAGCATGGCAGCAGCAGCATTAGTGAGCAGATTCGGCAGAATTTGACAGAATTCGGCGAAAGTTAACAGACTTGGCAGAATTCTGCAGAGCGCCCACCTTTATGAGCGGCGATTGCGGAGGCTACCGTTTCGACGCATATCTCTAGCTGTACGCTCATCACGACTGGCGAGGCGAAAGGAGGCGAAACGTGGCGAAGGGAGGCGAGACGAGGCGAAGAGAGGCGAGACGAGGCGAACGGAGTCGAGACAAGACGAGACGAGGAGAAACGAAGTGAGGCGAGGCGAGCAAAGGCGAGAGGAGACAAGTGAAGACGACACGAGACGACGAGAGAGGAAGAGACACGTTCGCCTGGTCACTTGTACGAATTCGGAGGCGCCTCGAGACACATATCCTAGGGACACATATCCTAGGCAAATTAGTCGGAGCGGGGAAGTTCAGTAAGGTGCGACATATGATGTGTTAATCGAAAACATGCAGTAGCCACTGGATTGATGTGATCGACAATCACCTTAGAACGAGGATATGGGCGTACAGATCGTACAAGAACCCGCCAAATACAGTACTTGCCTGGATGTCCTTTCATGCCACATGGCTGGCGATTAATGGTCAGAAGTTGCCTGCGCAGATGAAACAGCGCAGCATGAAACGCGAGACGAAGTCGTACAGCAATGAAAGTGGTGGTGAAGTTTCCGAACGACAGCCCAGCAGCGACCAAATTGCACCAGCCGCTGTCAAATTTCCTGGGTGTCATGTCATCCCTAGCGAACTACAATCGCAGGAGGTGTTCGCGAGTGAAAGGTGAAGCATTGCACTCCTGCATAACGTGCCACAACTAGACAAAACCTCTACGAACACCTAAACACAATACTAAAACATAATCACCACTTTCAGGAGACATTCAGCCTTTCGCGATCGTCGCATACGAAGACAACGCCCTTCGTGCACCCTGTCACAGCTTTCGTTACCCAGCGCGTTATTCGCCTGTCTATTCCGCGCCAATTCCACCTGTTTCTGGTGCTTATGGATGTCCTGTCATTTCTTTGCTAATGCTAATACTAACTAGGTGAAAATTCACACACAGCGCCTGCTGCGTTTTGCTGTAAAGCGAGCTCTCTCTCGTTTTTTCTCTTCGCCCCCTGTAGACGCGCCGTCTAAGTAAGCTAGAGTCAAGGAGAAACAGCGAGTCCCAGAACAAGTTTGAGGCACAGGGAACAACCAGACGCGCAGCAGGGCGATCAGCAGGAAATCAGCAGGCGGTCTGCAGGCGATCAACCAGGCGACTCGCGTCACTGTATCATCAGCCGCCATGATGCACATGACCTTCTACTGGGGCGTGGAGGCCACCATCCTCTTCTCCTCCTGGCACACGCGTACACCTCCGCAGTACTGCCTCGCTATCGCCCTTGTCGCGCTCGCCAGTATCGCGTACGAGGGCCTCAACTCTCTGCGCGTCAACGTTGCAGCGGGAAAGCTCGCGCGGGCGAGCGCTGCGACCGACGAATCCACGAGCACGCCACTGTAAGAGCCCCTGCGGTCACCCTCACATACCAGGATGTCCTTGTTGAGAGTCTCTCCGCGTCAACTTGGCAGCTTTGAATCTCTCCTCAACAAGCGCTGACTTCTCGGTTATTTCCGTCTCGCTGTTATTCAACCATTGAATTTTGGCGTCCCTGATTTTTTAGCGCTTTGACATTGGGTTTCTGGATATCTTTATGCCCTTGGATAGCCAGCCACAGTGGATGTGCATATTTGGACTCAATAACTGTTCAGCGCCCCCTGTTTCAATTTCCTATAGAATGAATTTGCGAACACATCTTCTTTCTCCTTCCGCTTCAGGCTTACCGGAACCTCTCGCCCTCCAGCTCGGCTTTCTTGCACAGACAAGCTACCTCTCTCCCTGCTCTACATTGCCACGTCAGCGCTGGGCTACCTCCTCATGCTAACCGCGATGTCCTTCAATGGAGGGATCTTCATTGCTATTGTTGTTGGGCTAGGTGTGGGCCATTTTATGTTTGGGTTGAACCAGGCTAGTCTTGCATCTCAGGCCAGTGGCGAGTCATGCTGTGCATAGTGATGCTGATGTAATTGTGTGAAATAGAGCACCAAATGTTTGACCACACAGCACACAATCAGGCATACTACCATTGGATTCTCTCATCGAGCAACCTTCATTCCAGTATCAGGTTGTAGCTGTATCAGGGTACAACATGTAAAAAATGCTCAATGTAGGCACAAAAAAGTGCTCAGTATAAGATGGCAACTACTATCAGAGTGTATTCCTATCCTCTTATCAAGAGAACCTCATATCAAGATTGTACCTTTTGCCTGGTAAAACTAGCGAAAGGTTTCGGGTTTAGGGAAAATTTCAGTGGGAGGATAGGAATTCTCTCTCAGGATATTACAATGAACACCCCAAACTTCTCTCCAACTAGTATTCTCGTTTTATTTGATTGTAAAAAATTGGAATGAATATATATATGTCAAATACATTGGAAATAATACCTTGATAACACGTGACAAAATGAGGCATGGGATAGAAAAATACATACTATCACGTGTTTAACGATTTTGATAAAAACCACTGTATTTACTGTAACAGTAGTTTTGTCCCGCAGCAAGTCCTAGCTCCGGTGGTCCTCCCGATCAGGCGTCGTGGCATGTCGCACATGCGACCTCGGAACACCCCAACCGCAATATGTTTGACGAACCATGCCTGCCATCGAACGGTAGCCTAATGTCTCCTCTTAACGAATGTTTCCATCGAACGGCTAAATCTCATGCGACGCACGGAACGACTAGCAGGTCTTCTGTCCCAGAAGGAGGGAAATCTGACAATGCGACACCCTCTGCTGTTGTTCCAGAAGTGAAGCCTGGCGGGAGTTGGGTGGAAAGTCCTTGTTCCTCGCAATCACATTTGAGGGTCCTTCTCACTAGTCCTTCCAGATTGTCTTGTAGCTTCTGAAGCTCTAGCACACACTACCATCAGTACCTAGTAGATCGGCGCAGGGTGTTGTTTTGTTACGGCATCTGTGCAAATTCTAACTTCATCTCGTTATCTTGGGCGCTGCCATGGCCGATCAATTGTCCGAGGATCAGATTGCGGAGTTTAAGGAAGCTTTCAGCTTATTCGACAAGGATGGAGATGGTGCGTGCGGGTTTCAGACATTGGAGAAAGATGTCGTTTTTTGGTGCAGAGTGACGAAGGACCAGAATAGGAACATGGGTTCTTTGTTAAGATCTGTCCTAAGATGCCATGTTTCGCATTTTTCACAGGTAGCATCACAACGAAGGAGCTCGGAACTGTCATGCGTTCGTTGGGACAGAATCCAACTGAGGCTGAGCTTCAAGACATGATCAACGAGGTCGATGCGGATGGTAACGGAACGATTGACTTTCCAGAGTTTTTGAACCTTATGGCGAGGAAAATGAAGGTAAGTGTGTCTGTGTTTTATTTTTTTCTGAATATGCACGATCAGGCAGTAGTAGAAGAAGATATTACCATCTGTATTGTTCTTAATGCAGGACACCGATTCTGAGGAGGAACTGAAGGAGGCGTTTAAGGTGTTTGACAAGGACCAAAACGGATTCATCTCGGCGCAGGAGGTAAGCTCATGCTTGGCTCTAATGGCTTGTTCGTGTGTTCTTTCCTTATCTTTCAAGTCTCGCTTTCATCTCTTGCATGCCCATTTCCTTCTGAGCGTGCTTCATTGATAATTATGAACGCGTCTTCATATCTTGCATTTCCATTTCCTTAATTTGCAGCTTCGGCATGTGATGACGAATTTGGGAGAGAAGTTGACGGACGAGGAGGTTGATGAAATGATTCGGGAGGCTGATGTGGATGGAGATGGACAAGTCAACTACGAGGAGTTCGTGAAAATGATGATGGCTAAGTAGGCTAGTATTTTAGTTGTTGTCAGAGCATGTTTTTCAGGTTATATCTTGCAAGGTAGACCAGCTGCATATGTAGGATCCAGAATGAAAATGTCAAATGGTGCTTAGCTTACAGACATCCTACGTTATTTATCATCCCTCTATGAAGGTAGCGGAATAAATGAAAGATGGGTGAGAAATTGCAGTAAATGGGTTCAGTTGTAGTTCCATGATGGCATATGTTGGGAAAATAAACGCATGACTTAGTGCGTTTCTGTAGTATCGAACCTCACCCGATACTGAAGCACAACAAAAGGAGTACGAAGTCGAAAAGGCGCGTACCACATCAAACCGCAACTAGAGGTTGCGAGCTGTAACCGCCTGGAGGTTACGTAACAGCAAGCGACGCTTCAGTGAACAGTAACCACCTCGATAGTCAAAGCGCTACGCGTCTCGATAAACATAACCGTTCCTTGTAATCTATCCTTTCTATATATTCCTGTATGCCCTTTACTTTAATCAATTACTTGTTCTCACATACCAGCACAAGTACATTCACTCAAGACTTCCGCTGTGCTACTCTAGCACTTACTAGCCTATTCTCTGCAAAGATCCTAAGGCTGAAATTCTCAGCCCAACATGGTATGAGAGCAGTCAGAGAACAAAGGCTCTCGTCATTAAGCCTCTTTCAGGCTACCAATCTGCAAACGACCAAGAAGTTCAACCTTCACTCAAGAAAGGCAAGACATGGCAAGTGGCAAAGAAAGAAGATCATCTACGGGATCTACTCTACCCCCGGTCTCCGAGTTGCAGACCGAAGGAGGAACAACGCCCGGATTAACACCGGAAGCGACGGAACGCTCCACTCAAGCACCAGTGGCGCCGCCAATCTTCAACCCAAGCCTAATGGAGGAGTTCTTCAACTTCATGTCGCAGCAGCAGTCCTCACAACCTGCAAACAGCAACAGCGTAAACAACGGAGCGGCACCAATGAGTATTGACAACTCATCGTTCGGACGACACAATCAACAAACACCAAATTCGGTCTCACCTGGTTCCTTCACGTTCATGCCGCCCCGCCATCCAGCGACTCCTCTTCCCGCCATCAAACGAGACCCCGAAGAAGTCCTGC